ATCCCCACTCCTCACGTGATCCCCATGAAATTCAACGCGAAGACGAGCATGGAAATGATTGAAACGATTGTTCCTCACGAAGAATTTCAAACAATCCACGAAACTCTCCCAATTATCGTACTCTAGTCTGAGCTCAACATCTTCTTTCATTAACAAAAGCTTTTCTTTGATAGGTTCAAAAGGAAGAAAGTCCAAAAAAGAAAAACTCACAGAGCGCCCAGCGATTCTCCATAAATCGCAGAAATTCACGACTAACGTCACCAGAAACATCACGATTGCCACGTGGTAAAGCGATTGACACACATCTGCACACTTGGATCGCATTATACATTGAGAGAAGCGAGCGAGTGACGCTTGAATCTCTATTGAAGCCGAAGCATACGCTTTCCAAAGGCTTTCTCTTATCAAGCGGCAAAAACTTCTGGACATCAAATTTTGGCAAAATCGTCGTGTTTTCATGAATACAGCTTATGTTCAAATAGGCGAAATGTGCGAGCTTTCGAAAAAGTCGCCCGTGAAAGGGATTCACTCCCACGGTCACATCACCTCTACGCCGCGGCATCTCGTCGCTCAAGAAAGAAAGCCAAAAGTTATCCACATGTAATATACTGTGATATGATAAACAAATGCTAATCGCACTTGCCACGATTCGTCCGTTGTTTTCATCTATTTGCGCGTTCAACAGCCTCACTTCGACTGTCCAGAAATTTGTCGGGATTGGCCCGCGAAATAGGACGTATGAGCGCAGATGGTGATTCACTTTTAGCAATTGAATTGCCTCAAACACCTTCAATTTATGTAGAATCCGTGTTTTGAGAAGAGACGGCAAAGAAGAGAAACTTTGGAAAGACATCATTTTTTTTTGTTAGGGAAAAAGTGAAGTATTTGGATGATTGGAGGGGCTGAAGACGAGAAAAATGCCCAAAGCAAAGCGGCGCGAACGTAATTGGAATCATATTTTGGCAAAATGTCACTCATTTTGCCTTCGGTTTTAAAATTTCACATCTGCTCTCAATAAGATCAAATCAATAATTCATGGGGGACCCACTTTCCACATCGATTTTTTTTCCCAACATGATGCAAATGATTTTCGATTGTTGTATCAGAAACATCGAAAATTTCTGCCGATTCTCGTGGCTATTGTCATATGTGACAGTTTGAGGACTTTCTTCAAAAGAAATCCATTTTGGTGTCAATGGAAAAGTTGTAGAGAATCAAAAATGAAGCTTATATCCAAATTTCCAAAAAGTTACACTTAACTTAACAAAAAGAAACTTAGTAGTTCCGCTTAAAATTTGCGTGTTCTGTGTGTTCTTTGGACGGCAGCGTAATCGCTCGTCGTCTGGCGCTTTTACATAACCCCCTTCCCTCTCCCTTTTCCGAACCAATCTTTATTGACATTTTCACCGATCCAATCAAATGTTTCACTTTCTCGGCAGGTAACGAATTGATTGGAGCGAAGAAAGTTGTTGTTCTCACTCGTAGCTACGAAAAAATGAACTTCTCAGACAGGTTGGCCGCTCGAGCAGATGGCAAAACGCCAAGCCAAGGTTTCAAGTTTTTCTCGGTTTATGATTAGGAAATTGGGTCAAACTTTATTACAGTTTTGGAGCTAGAGCTCTTCTGAATAAGAGCTAGAGCTCTTCTGACTCTAGCTCTTATTCTAGAACCTGGTCCAGCTACCGTAGCCACAGAGCCACAGCTACAGAGATCAGCCCTGAAACGTCTCCCAAGAACCGGCTGAAATCCGTGGCTGATAATCTCGAATCCTCAGGACCCAATTTTTCTAGTGTTACAGGACTTGTAGAACTTATAGAACTTGTACTTCTTGCTGAAACTTGTAAACGAACTCCTCTCTAGTGCACCGAATTCCCTCATTTTCCTTGGGTTTCAGAATTTTTGCTACGAGGGCAATATTGCAAAACAGAATGAAAGAAAGGAAAAATGAAAGAAATCGAGAATCCTTTTAAGTCTATGCCTTCCGACCTCACTTTTGTCAATCCTTTTCCCTTTTCTTTGCCTTTTCTTTGCCATTCACCGATTCCTTTCCACCGTGAAATCACATATTGACATTATTGTTCTTTTTTGAAGGACAAAGTAACTTTTCTGTGTTCGCTTCGAGAATTGAGGTATACTGGCTCATACATCTTTTAGTCTGGCTACAACTGTTCATTCACTGACTGGGTTACTGTATCACTGACTTGGCTACTACTGTATCCAGGCCACTGTTTAAGGAAACAGATACCGTTGTCCTTTTCGTTTCAATTTCCCGGATTAGCGTAGACCTAAAATTCGGTACAGCTACCGTAGTCGGTTTGTTTTGCTGCAGAAATTTATGGACGTGGTCTCTTAACTTTCAGTAGGTATCAAGAAGGAAAGTTTCTGCACAATATGGACTAGTTACAGGGCTTTCATTAGAGAAATTTGGTAGCTGGGTGATTTCCTCCAATTTCATGGTGTTAGTTGGGTAGGTTGAGACAATAATAGCCAAAGCTGGAGCACACCGGAGAGCCTGGAGATTGTAGAAGTTAGATATGGACTAGTTACAGTACTCTCATTAGAGAAATTTGGTAGCTGGGTGATTTCCTCCAATTTCATGGTGTTAGTTGGGTAGGTTGAGGCAATAATAGCACAAGCTGGAGCACACTGGAGAGCCAGGAGGTTAAAGAAATTAGATATGGACTAGTTACAGGGCTTTCATTGGGGAAATTTGGTAGCTGGGCAATTTCATCCAATTTCAAGGTGTTAATTGGGTAGGTTGAGGCATTAATAGCCCAAGCTGGAGCACACCGGAGAGCCTGGAGCTTGTAGAAGTTAGATATGGATTAGTTGGATAAAATCTATAGCTACACTATAGATAACTACATCTATCGCTGCTCTAAAGACTCTAATTGAGGAATTTTAATGAGCAAGCTGATTTGATTCGATTTTGAAATGTTTCCAGTTAAGTTTACGATGTTTTTCGAAGACTCGCAAGCTGCCCTGGAGGGCATAGATGTGGAACGATCCTCACTTTTCCCCACTCTTCCTCTCTTTTCCCTACTCTTCCTCTCTTTCCCCCTCCCTTTCCCCTTCTTTCCCCCTCCTTTCCCCTCCTTTCACTCATTTTCTCAAGAGACTGCCCCTCTTGGCGACTTTTGAGGACTTTTTTCTTTTATTTCTTTTATTTCTTTTCTTTTTCGATATTCAATCGAATCCTTTTCACCAATTCACTCTTTTATATGGTATTCAGTTGAGTGATTGGGCTTTTTCTTGGCTCTTTCTTGGCTCTTTCTTGACTTTTTCTTAGCTTTTTTCTTTTTTTTGCCCTTCCTGGAGTGAATCGGGGTGATAGGCTTTCACTTTGTCTCACTCTGAATGGCTTTCACTTTGTCTCACTTTCCCCAGCTGAATATCTTTTATCTAATAGCTTTCAACTCAGCTTCTAGCTCAGCTTCTAGCTCAACTTCTAGCTCAGCTTCTAGCTCAGCTTCTAGCCCAGTTTTTAGATCAGCTTCTAGCTCAGCTTCTAGCCCAGCTTCTAGCTCAACTTCTAGCTCAGCTTCTAGCTCAGCTTCTAGCCCAGTTTTTAGATCAGCTTCTAGCTCAGCTTCTAGCCCAGCTTCTAGCTCAGCTTCTAGCTCAGCTTCTAGCCCAGTTTTTAGATCAGCTTCTAGATCAGCTTCTAGCTCAACTTCTAGCCCAGCTTCTAGCTCAGCTTCTAGCCCAGCTTTTAGTTTATGATGGATATTCATTAGAAAGCTTTTCTTGGAATCCTTGTTCCTGTAATCCTTGTTCCTGTAATCCTTGTTCCTGGAATCCTGGAGTCGTTGTCTTTATTGTTTTATAAAATGTCAAAGCATTCTTTCATTTTCCCAATCTTCTCCTCAAATCTCAGCCACCATCCGCGTTTTTGTCACTTTTTTGGTTTTTTTGGGTTTTTTTGGGTAAAAAGTGGTTTCTCCGGACCAGTTTTCTTCAAAATTTCCCCAAATTTACGGCTTTCAATTCGCTTTCAATTCGAAAATTTATGGAATTTATGGATCTTTACGGTTATTCTGGGGGAGGGCTTAGCCGAGTGGACTGCGAGATTCAGCTGATTGCCTTGAAACTCGCCGTGAAACTCGCCTTGAAACTCAACGAATTCCTTCATTAAGGCATTTTGATACTTTTTCAGTGATTTACGAGCCGGCTTTGGCGTTTAAAAAGCCCTTTCAATCATAGGAAGGTTTTGATTAGGTTCTCATTTGGGGTGGATTAGGTTCTGATTAGGTTCTGATTTGGTTGTGATTAGGTTGTGATTAGGTTGTGATTAGGTTGTGATTTGGTTGTGATTGGGTTCTGATTAGGTTGTGATTAGGTTGTGATTTGGTTCTGATTGGGTTTTCATTAAGCATCGATTAGGTTTCGATTAGGTCCTCATTTGGTTTCGGTTAGGTTGCGATGAGGTTCTCATTTGGGATGGATTAGGTTCCGATTAGGTCCTCCTTCCGCATCGATTAGGTTCTGATTAGATCCTCATTCCGCATCGATCAGGTTCCGGTTAGGTTCTGATTAGGTCCTCATTCTACATCAATTAGATTCCGATTAGGTCCTCTTTCAGCATCGATTAGGTTTCGATTAGGTTTTCATTCAGCATCGATTAGGTTCTGATTAGCTCCTCATTCAGCATCAATTAGGTTCTGACTCATTCAGCATCGATTAGTTTCCCATTTGGTTCCGATTAAGACATAAAATCTACCAAATATCGATCGAGAAAAGCTGTGGATCAATTTTTCGTCTAGTTAACAATAAGAATGCATGAAAAATTTCAAGATTCATTGTTAAACGGCTTTTAATGCTCTTTTAAGGCTGGAAAGGCTCAGCCTAAGCCCCAGAGATAACCGTAAAGATCTGAATTTAGATCTTTATTTAAATATTTATTTAGATCTTTATTTAGATCTTTATTTGGATCTATATTTAGACCTTTATTTAGATATTTATTATTCTTTTTCTATTGCACAAACGAAACGAGGGATTCGATGTGGTTTTGGACAGGCTTGGGAAAGGTTTGTAAGCTGAAAAGCTGAAAACAAACAAAATTTGATCTATTGATCTCTTACACTCTTTTCTGGTAAACATTATTGTTCTAGTAAACCAGCCAGCCAGTAAACCAGCCAGCCAGTAAACCAGCCAGCCAGTAAACCAGCCAGCCAGTAAACCAGCCAGCCAGTAAACCAGCCAGCCAGTAAACCAGCCAGCCAGTAAACCAGCCAGCCAGTAAACCAGCCAGCCAGTAAACCAGCCAGCCAGTAAACCAGCCAGCCAGTAAACCAGCCAGCCAGTAAACCAGCCAGCCAGTAAACCAGCCAGCCAGTAAACCAGTCGTAGAGTTATCGTAGAGTTAAATTAGTTAAATTTTAATAAAGCCTGGTCCCAGAATAGACAAAATATCAAAAATTTCGAATTTTCAGCTCCTCCTTCTGTGTTTTGGCTTTGAAGCCGTCTCTTCATCGCTATTTTCTTGCTCAAACGACCCACTGGAATTGACGTTTCTTTTCGATTTGACCCCATCGGATACAGCCGTTTTCGAACTGCAAAAGGAACGAGTCAGGGATGTGATACGGTAGGGAAAAAAATTGAGTGCTTTGTGTTTAGTAGTGTGGTACAGTGCCTGCACGACAAAGTACGGTAAGTTCCGGATCTTATTTCTTCGATCTGGATATCACGACGTCTATTTAGCCTTTTACTTTTTGAAAATACGTCATTTTGGTTGAAGTGGGTTACGGTAGCAAGGGTACTGTACTAAAATACATTGAAAATACAAGGTAGTCCAATAAAATTAAGTCATATTTCTTCGATCTGGATATCACGACTTCCATTTAGCCTTTTACTTTTTAAAATACGTCATTTTGGTTTAAAATACGCCATTTAGTACCAATTTCCAGCGAGAGCTCATAAATCAAATTATCCGTATATTACGATAATTTCAGCCACTTGGAAACCAGTGCGCCAACTCGTTCGAAAACCTTTTCCCTAATCGCTTTTCATCGGCGACCCGTCAGCTTTCTCGAGCTAGCTGACCGGGCATCGGAAGAAACGAATCGGGTAAATTATCTAGATATTTAGATGTTTCGTTGTAAATTCTGATATCTGATCTAAAGACTGGTATAAGTATAAGTATGAGTATGAGTACAGGTATAAGTATGAGTATAAGTACAGGTATGAGTACAGGTATGAGTACAGGTAGAAGTACAGGTATGAGTACAGGTAGAAGTACAGGTAGAAGTACAGGTATGAGTACAGGTAGAAGTACAGGTATGAGTACAGGTATGAGTACAGGTAGAAGTACATGTAGAAGTACAGGTAGAAGTACAGGTAGAAGTACAGGTAGAAGTACAGGTAGAAGTACCTGTATAAGTACCTGTATGAGTACAGGTATAAGTACAGGTATAAGTACAGGTATGAGTACAGGTATAAGTATAGGTATAAGTATAATCTGATATTTAGCATAATCTGATAAGTTAGCATATCTGGTTCTGTTTCTGCTTTTAGCATTCTGTTTTTAGTTCCTGGGTGAGTTGGCTTCACTCCAGTCCTCTTCACAATTCCGCAACGAGACATCGGTGGCGAGAGCACTGGAGGCAGCAGCGAAACAGTATGCTAGGGTGAGTTTTAGAAAATTGGGAGACAAGGATACGGTAACTTTGGTACCAAAGATTGGGAAGATTGGGAGAATTGGGATACTGTAACTGTAACTGTAAATGTACCGTTAGGGTAGTGTAGCGTACCGTAAGTACTAAAAGTACGTAAGAAGTACGTAAGAAGTACGTAAGAAGTACGTAAGAAGTACGTAGGAAGTACGTAAGAAGTACGTAAGAAGTACGTAAGAAGTACGTAAGGAGTACTAAAAGTTGCTGTAACTTCTAAGTTTCTCTAAGAAACTGTACACAGTAGCGTAGTTTGATTTTACCGTATTTTAGTGCACCAACCAACAGTAACCCAAGCTTCCTATAGTTAGTATAGAAGGTTTGGGTTACTGTAGCGAGTTGCTGTAGCGTTTATCTACTTTCTGAACGCTTTACAAGTTTCGTGACAGTACCTTACCTTTGGATAAACCCTGAATCGTGGTTCTCTAGGTGAGGAGAGTACTAGGCTGTACATTGTACGGTTCTCAGCCATTTTCAGCTACATTGTACAGTTTTCAGTCATTACATCCATTCAGCCATCAGTTTTTAGCCTTTACAGCCATTCAGCCGTCAATATTCAGTCATTCCAGTACATTGTACATTGTACATTCCAGTAAATCCACTTTTCAGGACGGAAAGCCAGGAGCTCAGCGTTTGGCTTTCCTTGTTCATGACGGAGTCAATACGGATCTCGTGTCTGACACATTGGAAGCGGTGAAAGAGATCCGGGAAATGAATGTCACCATTTTTGCGCTGTCAGCCGGTGCTCGGCCGAATGGATTCGCTTTAGAGGTGAGCGGAGTTTTAAAGGTTTTCGAAAGCCTGGGGAAGCTGGGGAGTCTGCGGAATGAAACTACCAGATAGCTCTAGTCCCAGGAAACTGCCAGCTAGCTCGAGTCTCAGGAAACTGCCAGATAGCTCTAGTCCCAGGAAACTACCAGCTAGCTCTAGTCCCAGGAAACTGCCAGCTAGCTCGAGTCCCAGGAAACTACTAGCTAGCTCGAGTCCCAGGAAACTACTAGCTAGCTCGAGTCTCAGGAAACTACTAGATAGCTCGAGTCCCAGGAAACTACCAGCTAGCTCGAGTCCCAGGAAACTACTAGCTAGCTCGAGTCTCAGGAAACTACTAGCTAGCTCGAGTCTCAGGAAACTACCAGCTAGCTCGAGTCTCAGGAAACTACCAGATAGCTCTAGTCTCAGGAAACTACCAGCTACACAAAGTTATCCTTTAAAGCTACAGTAACTCTAAACCACCGTAATCCAATAGCAGCCCGTTTTTAAACGATGAAAACGTTCCCAGAACCCTAAGCTAAATAAAACGGCTACCGTAACAAAACGGCTACCGTCTACGGCTACGATAACCCGTAAGCTACCGCAATTTCCGGCTAAACGGTCTTCTACAGTAATCTACTTTAGACTACGGAAAAGCAATCGTAATCCCGTAATCCAAAATACCGTAGTCCAAGCCAGCTATTGTACTACAACTTCCCGTTCATCAGTACCCCGTTTATCTGATAATCTTAAGAAATCATATAGTAAAGACTACAGATATCCTCAAGCTGGATGTCACACTAGACCTTGAGTGAGGTAGAAAGGTTCTTTATCTTATAGGGAAGGAAGAAGGCATACTGTAGAAATTCTACAGTACCCGGATTACCGGATAATTCTAAGAAAATCTATAATCAAGAGGCCATAGATGCTCAAGCTGGATGTCACACTAGACCCTGAGTGAGATAAAAAAGGTACTATATCTTATATAGAAGAAGGCATACTGTAGAAATTCTACAGTACCCGGATTACCGGATAATTCTAAGAAAACATATAATCAAGAGGCCATAGATGCTCAAGCTAGATGTCACACTAGATCCTGAGTAAGATAAAAAGGCTCTATATCATATAGAGAAGAAGGCATACTGTAGAAATTCTACAGTACCCGGATTACCGGATAATTCTAAGAAAACATATAATCAAGAGGCCATAGATGCTCAAGCTGGATGTCACACTAGATCCTCAGTAAGATAAAAAGGCTCTTTATCTTATAGAGGGTCCGGTAGATAGCCATTGGTTCTTCCTTTTGATATTCTCGTAAATAATCCAAGTTTCATCAAATATCAAAAACGAATCCCAAAAGCCACCAGCATTCATGGAGCAAAAAGAGCTGACGTTGCCGCGAGTTGTTTTCTCTTAAGTTTCTATTTCAATTCAATTCGGATTTCGGATCTGATCTGATCGGATTTAATTCAATTCAATATATACGCCGCCTTATATACGCCGTCTTATATACGCTGTCTTATATACGCCGTGTTAGATAAGCCGTCTTATATACGCTGTCTTATATACGCCGCCTTATATACGCCGTTTTATATACGCCGCCTTATATAAGGCATCGTCTATAAGGTGACTACCGCAGCCTCAGCTACGGTTTACCTGGGGTACTACCGTCGTGAATCTAAGATAAAAGTCAATTTCAATTCCCCAATGCGGAATCCGGAACGTGCACGATTTTCTCCTCAACCTAATCCATCCATTTCCAGGGCTACACCGGGAAACGCTCTCGAGTCTACTCTCATGACCGAGATGCTTCAAACTTTGAAGAAGCTCTCGATTTAGCCATCGCCGCTTGTCCACTACAGTATCCACAATCGCTCATTGAACACATATTACAGGTAAACTGGAATATCTAAATCTGGAATATCTAGATCTGGAATGTCTAAATCTCTTCATTTTAGACTCGCCGCTTTGCCACTCGAGCCATGGACGCACCAAGGAAACGAATGCGAAAATTCGCTCCGGAACAAGAGTGTTCAGGAGATAAGGTGCATCGATTAGCGTCTTATATACGCCGTCTTATATACGCTGTCTTATATACGCCGCCTTATAGACGTTGCCTTATTTAAGCCGTCTTATATACGCTGCCTGGTTGGATTTTACTGAAAATTTTACCAAAAATGTAGCAGAGATTGATCTTTCTTTAGCATAGAAGTCCTAGATGGGATGGTGCTAGGCTCGGTAGGCTAATCCAAGCGCCCGGGCCAGTTCCAAAACCATAATGAGCATTGACAAGGCTTGTTCAGCTAGAACTGCCCATGAGCCAGACTTCTAAACGACCCTGGCCTTCTTTGGTTTAGCGAATCTGGGCGGAACCTCATTGCAAGTCTTGGGTTGAGTCTGATAGGGCTGAAGATTAGAAAGCTGTTCATGATCATTCATTTAAACGCTTCATTTAAACGTTGCTCGACTTTAGGTGGACATTCAAATCGTTTTGGACACCTCCGGCTCAGTGCATGCGGCTTTCGACGAAGAGCGGGCTTTCGCGCTGGATTTGATCAAACGTTTCGACAAAAAAGCTTTCGAGAAAAGGATTCAGGTTTTGAGAAAAGGATTCTATCAAAATATGTATCTAAATTCCATTTTGACAGGTCTCCGTGATCCGTTTCTCCTCCGATGCGCAAATTGTCGTCCCGTTCAGCATTGGACAGTCAAAGGCAGAGATTTTGAAGGTAAGACAGTTTAGTAAGGACATTAGGCCAGCCCTAGCGGCATTAGGTCAGCCCTAGCGGTATTAGGCCAGCCCTAGGGGCATTAGGCCAGCCCTAGCGGCATTAGGCCAGCCCTAGCGGTATTAGGCCAGCCCTAGGGGCATTAGACCAGCCCTAGCGGTATTAGGCCAGCCCTAAGGGCATTAGGCCAGCCCTAGGGGCATTAGGCCAGTCCTAGCGGCATTAGATCAGCCCTAGCGGCGTTAGGCCGTCCCTGGGGCACTAGAATACGTGTCAATGTCAATGCCAATGTCAATGTCAATGCCAATGTCAATGTCAATGCCAATGTCAATGTCAATGCCAATGTCAATGTCAATGCCAATGTCAATCAATGCCATGCATGCAACCGCGCCGATGCTCCAGTCAGCTGCCATGTCATGCATCCATGTCAATCATGCCATGTCATGTTGCCAGTCATGTCAATGCCTGTCATGTCAATTGATAGTTCGTTTGTCCAGTAAGCGAGAGATCTCGGTTCGAAGTCCAGAGTCAACCAGGCTGGCCTAATGCCGCTAGGGCCACATTTTTCTACAACCCAAACCCATAAAAGAATCGGATCAATGAAAAGAAAAAAAGATTTCTATATTTTTCTTTAGTCAATTCAATCCATTCCATTCACCGGCGATTTGACAAAAATCGCCACCGCTGTCGAGTTGGGAATTGAGAACTTGGAACGACACCAAAGGAATCGAGCTCAACAGGTTTGATTCGATTTTGGATCAACCTGCTATTATACAATTTCTAAAAGACACAACTAGCTGCAGTCCGGTACATGATCCGAATTCCTAAGCTGTACAGAACAGGTGCCTTACTTCAGTTTATAAACTGTGACTACCGTAGCCTTAGCTCAGGCCTCAGCTCAGGCCTTAGCTCAGGCCTTAGCTCAGGCCTTAGCTCAGGCCAAGCTCAGGCCTTGCGGCCATCCAGGCCTGCTCAGGCCTTAGCTCAGGCCTTGCTCAGGCCTAGCTCGGCCTTAGCTCAGGCTTAGCCGGCCTAGCCAGGCCTTAGCCGGCCTGCTCAGGCCTACTCAGGCCTTAGCTCGGCCTTAGCTCAGGCCAGCCGGCCTTAGCTCAGGCCTGCTCAGGCCAGCTCAGGCCTTAGCTCAGGCCTGCTCAGGCCATAGCTCAGGCCTTAGCTCAGGCCTTAGCTCAGGCCTTAGCTCAGGCCTTAGCTCAGGCCTTAGCTCAGGCCTTAGCTCAGGCCATAGCTCAGGCCTTAGCTGCGGTAGTCACAGTGTGGGGTACTATCGTAGTCTCATAAAGAAAAGGCATCGAGTCAAGCTAGATTTTTAAGCTTTTCTCTTGCCTTTCCCATGCTTTCCCATGCCTTTCCCACGCCTTTCCCATGCCAGTGTCTCAGCCACAATTACGGTGGCAGTAAGCCAAGCCCTGGGCTACGGTGGCAATAATGGATCCGGAGTAGAAATCTAAAACATAGCCAAAGCTACCGTAATCTTGAGATAGCCAGCTCTATCGTACTTTTATCCTCGTACTTTTATCTTCGTACTTTCAGCTTTTCATCCTCATCTCTGATGGGCATGGTCAAGAGTTTTGGAATGTCGTGCAGGAGACCGGGAAAAAGCTGCAACAAGCCGAATGGGAAGTGGGTTTTTCAGATTTGCATTTAAGAAGTTTTGTCAAAGTGGATGCAAATTCAGATTTAGATTTCCCCTGATACAAGTTTCAATAATTCTTAGGTGTTCTCGGTGACCGCCTCCCGGGACTACAACTTGGAAGAGCTAAAATTGTACGCTGGCGAGGATGCAAGAGTGTTTATCGGCCCGAAAAGTGCCAGGTATTATAGGTTATTCCATCACCGTGAATAGTACGGGTTTTACTGTACTTAGTACACGTACTACTGTACTTAGTACTTAGTACACGTGTAGTGAACTTGTTTAATAGCAAAATTAGGCCAGAAAGCAACCCTGAATCCGTTTGAGAGCCAGGCTTAGCTCTGTACTAGATCAGGCCTAAGATTAGATTAGATTAGATCAGTCAGGCTATATCAAGACAGCTACAGTAACCTAAGCCTGAGTCTAAGCTTATGCCTATGCCTGAGCCTGAGCCTGAGCCTGACCCTGAGCCTGGCCCTGAGCCTGACCCTGAGGCTGAGCCTGAGCCTATACCTAGGCCTAAGCCTATACCTAAGCCTAAGCCTAAAGCGGCTGAGATCCAGAAAATGGGGGTTCAGCCCAAACCCAAATAGACTTAGTGCTAGGCGCTAGCGCTAGCCTACGCACTAAGTCCAAGCCTAAAAAATGGGGGTTCAGCCCAAACCCAAATAGACTTAGTGCTAGGCGCTAGCCGCTAGCCTACGCACTAAGTCCAAGCCTGAGCCTTTGCCTAAGCCTGTGCCTAAGCCTAAGCCTAAGCCTTTGCCTAGTTCTAGTACAAGGCCTAGCCAGGCTAGGACAAGGGCAGATCTCTTCTTGAGTAGAGCAGTCTATTAGGTTTGATCTAGGCCTGGTATTAGGTTTGATCGGTCCTGGACGTTTTCTCAGGCTACGATAGCATAGTCAGCTTTTAGAATGACCCATTAGCACTAAACCTTTCGGATTACGGTAGCTATTAGATCCAAAGCATATCAGCTACAGTACTTCAGCACAACTTTTCAGTTTCCTATCGATCGTCGGCAATTTCATCGATCGCTGCATCGCAAAGGTGAGCTTAGTTTTATGTTTTTCATGAAAATTTCTCATTTTAGGACCAAGTTGAGGGATCCGGAGAGGTTGAGGTACGTTGAGTGTCGAAAATTTTAGCAAGCACGAGATTTCTGGTGTATTGATTTTAATATAGGAGGCTTTAGGCCAATGTGGAGCCTTTAGGCCCCGCTTTGCCATTGACAATCTAACTTTGAGCTTAAATATCTTGGTGTTGGGCTGTCCAATTTAAATAGTTTTTGGTATCATTAGATGCACCAAGTCTTTCTCTGTCGATTCGTATAAAAACTATTCAAATTGGGCAGCTGGACGCCAAGATATTTGAGCTTGAAGTTAGACTGCCAAAGCGTAAAAAGGGCTGGGCGCCCCCTTTGTCATTGGCAGTCTAACTTTGAGCTCAAATTTCTTGGTGTTGAGCTGTTCAATTTCAATAGTTTTTGTATCAATCGATAGAGAAAGACTTGCCGCATCTAATGATATCAAGAACATTTAAATTGGACAGCCCAACACCAAGATATTTAAGCTCAAAGTTAGATTGCCAATGGCAAAAGGGCAGGGCGTATATAAAATGTCCGATAGCATCAATTCTTAATGGGAAGCTTGCTTACCTTCAGCTCCTACTTGACTAGCAATCCGGTAGTCCTTAGCCGATAGTACTTAGGCTTGACTCAGTTCTAAACCATGAGAAACGTACCGTAACCCAAAGCTTAATCATACCGTAACCCAGAGGATTAACCCAGAGGATTAACCCAGAGGATTAACCTAGAGGATAACCTAGAGGATTAACCTAGAGGATAACCTAGAGGATAACCTAGAGGATAACCTAGAGGATAACCTAGAGGATAACCTAGAGGATAACCCAGAGGATTAAACTAGAGGATTAAACTAGAGGATTAAACTAGAGGATTAACCTAGAGGATTAACCTAGAGGATTAACCTAAATGATTAAACTAAAGGATAACCTAGAGGATAACCTAGAGGATAACCTAGAGGATTAACCTAAATGATTAACCTAGAGGATTGATCCAGCTTAATAATACCAAAACCCAACCCAAGTACCCATACGGTATCAGATCAAACTCTTGTTTTCAGGGATCCGGCATCGATGCACCTCCTGCAACTCCAGCATCAACTACAACTCCAGAATCAACCACAACTTCAGCACCAACCAAAAATGAGGCTTGCAATTCTTGGCCCAATCATAAAACATACTATTTTAGGCGCTGACAACTGAAGAAACGCTGACAGTTGAAGCGGTGAGTTCATCGCTAATTCTCTGCATCGCTAAACTTCTCTAAACATCCCCATTTCCAGAACTGTGACCTGGACGTGGTGCTGGTGGTGGATCGATCTCAGTCCGTTGAGAGTGATTATCAGGTTTTTTTGACTCTAGAGAAATCAAGATCAATCAAGATTAAGATCAAGAAATTTCCTCTAGTAAATAAGTCACCAATTTCCTTTAAGAAAGAACTCAAAACTGCTCAAGATGTCGTCGCTTTGGCCTCAAATTCCGCGTTCAATGAGGGAAAAGTTCGTGTCGGAGTGACGTCGTTCGCGAATGTACGTTAATATTGTGGAAATATTAGCTATCATATTTTCAAGCAAGAACCGGGCTGGGCTGGGCAGCTGGGCTTAAAAGGGTTCAGCTTTCGTACAGTATTAGGCTAGAGTCCTGAGCTAGAGTCTTGAGCTAGAGTCAAAACAGGGCAAAGCCAGTGCAGCCAGGCAAAGTCAAGGACAATCCTAAAGCCAAGTCAGTGCCAGATTACGAAAAGCTTAAAATAACGAAGATTTCCGCTGATTCCGGAGACCTCAACGAGAAAGCCTTCTGGGAGCAACTATATCAAAATCTAAGGAAAGATACTGTAATCCTGGAGCGCACTGTAGACTCTGGCAAGCTTATTTTGGCCAAAGACGAGAAAGTTAGACCTACCGTAATCCTGGACCCTGGTACTGTAGCTAAAAGTGAGAAATACAGTATCCCAAACTCTAGCATTTTAAAGGGTGACCTCCAGGATGAGGCCTACCGTAGTCAGAATAATTCTACAGTAACCCAGACTCCGCCAATTCCGTCGACAAGCATCTACCGTAACCCGAAAACTTCAAATACGAAATCATCTGAAGCTAAGTCTAAAATTTGGCATTAGTGACCTCCAGGATGTGGCCAAGCGTAGTCAGAATAATTCTACAGTAACCCAGGACCTTCCAATTCCTTCGATAAGCATCCACCGCAACCCGAAAACTTCAAATACGAAATCATCTGAAGATAAGTCAAAATTTGGCAATAGTGCGCTCCAGGATGTGGCCTACCGTAGTCAGAATAATTCTACAGTAACCCAGGCTCCCCCAATTCCGTTGATAAGCACCTACCGTAACCCTGAACCGTACTAGGTAAAGGCCTGGCCAACTGGCTGCAGTCAACTGGTCAACAACTAGGATGGCTGCAGACCGGTGCCGGCCTGACCAGCGCTAGTCAGGGTTATTCCAGAGGCAATCTTTCCGAGTCAGGTCTAAAACTTACCTGAGCTAGGCCAGAACCTGGCTCAGGCTCGGGCTCAGGCTCTGGCTCAGGCTCTGGCTCAGGCTCAGGCTCAGGCTCAGTCTCAGGCTCAGGCTCAAGCTCAGGCTGAGGCTGAGGCTGAGGCTGAGGCTGAGGCTCTCTTTACCAGAACCTAGAACCAGAACCAAAGTTTTTGACTGGCTTTTTCACCAGAAAATAGGTTCAAATCTGGGTCTGGTCTAATTGGCACTCCGTAAATCAAAGATCAAAGACTCAGACCGGGCCAGAAGCCAGGGGACCTGGCTGGTTTGACCTGGATCGGGACTCTGGCTGGTCAGATCTGGATCCTGTATCTAACCCTGATTCAGGTCCAGAACTTGGCTCAGGTTTGATCCAGATCCGAAATTTGATCAGATCCGGAACTTCAAACTAGAGCTGAGATTCAATAAAACATTCAGGAGGGTCAAGTCGAGTTGGGACTCTCGAAAAACACGCGAGAAAATGTGACAGAGACGATTGGGGAAATTTTCCACACCGGTGGCACCACATCGGCCGTTCGTGGCGTCAATCAGGCGTTAAAGGTTGGGAAATTTGAAACGCTATTAAAAGGCTATTCAAAAGGCTATTAAAAAGCTATTAAAAAGCTATTAAAAGGCTATTAAAAGGCTATTCAAAAGGCTATCAAAAGCTATCAAAAAGCAAAGAGCCATAAGCTTAAAACTGATATCCAATATCGTTGCCGTTTCAGCTTGTCTTACTTAGCTTCCTTATCTAGAGCTTACTTATCTATTAACAGCTTATACTTATCTAGATTTTATCTCGTTTAACCTACCGTAGTACCCCACCCCCCTCGTACAGTCGCGTAGTCGCACAGTCGAAGTCGGTAGTTTTAGTATTTCCCTTTTCAAAGCGCCCGTACTCTCAAAAAATGCGTCTTTGGAATCAAAAAATAGCTGAAATTCAGGGCTATTTAAACAAGGTTTTTCTCGACACTGGTTTATGCTACAATGCTCGAATAGGTCTCAAATTATAGCTGAGATTCAGGGCTATTTTTTGATACCTAAACGCGCATTGTAGCATAAACCAGTGTCGAGAAACATTCGTTCAAAGCTAAACTACGCAAGTTAGACTACGCAAGCTAGACTGCGCAAGCTAGCCTGCGCAAGCTAGACTACGCAAGTTAGACTACGCAAGCTAGACTACGCAAGCTAGACTAGGCAACGCGCCGCACCGTCATTATGGGGGTGGGGTACTATAGTACTATAGTACTATCACAGTACTTTTACAGTACTATTACAGTATTTATGGTAGCTTACAGTAATGCCACTAATCTATCAACCAACTAACATCTAATCAACTAATCTATCTACCAAAAGCCGCCAAACTCTACAGTCAAACTGGAGATTTAATAGAGATCTAACTAGAGATTTAACTAGAGATCTAACTAGAGATCTAACTAGAGATCTAACTAGAGATCTAACTAGAGATCTAACTAGAGATCTAACTAGAGATCTAACTAGAGATCTAACTAGAGATCTAACTAGAGATCTAACTAGAGATCTAACTAGAGATCTAACTAGAGATCTAACTAGATCTAACTAGAGATCCAACTAGAGATCTAACTAGAGATCCAACTAGAGATCTAACTAGAGATCCAACTAGAGATCCAACTAGAGATCCAACTAGAGATCTAACTAGAGATCCAACTAGAGATCTAACTAGAGATCTAACTAGAGATCTAACTAGATCTAACTAGAGATCTAACTAGAGATCTAACTAGAGATCTAACTAGAGATCCAACTAGAGATCTAACTAGAGATCCAACTAATCCAAAACTAACTTCTCTAACCTTTCAGACACGCCGGTGTGCTCCAGCTTCCGGAAACAACGCCTCAACTAACTCAGCTAACATCTCGAAATCGGATAAAATCACCCAACTACCAAATCTCCCAAATGAAAGCCCTAAAGCTCTATCTCCGTTATCGAAATCCGAAATTCCGTTATCCAAATCTAAAATCTCCCTTCCCGATCCCTTTTTAAAGTTAAGAGACGCTGGCTTTAGATTTCTACAAAACGGACGGACTACGGTAGTTGTACCAAACTTTAGAACTACAGTAATCCAAGATATTGAGACGAAAAGGACTACGGTAGCTGTCCCGTTAAAGAGCGATCTGTCTACCGTAACCCAGACGAGTACCCAGCCGAGTTTTTCCACCGTAAGCCTGCTAAAAAGTGGCCCAGCTACAGTGGCCCAGCTAAAAAGTGGCCCAGTTACAGTGGCCCAGCTAAAAAGTGGTCCAGTTACAGTAATCCGATCGAAGAATGGGCCTTCTACCGTAACCAAGCCGAAAAACCGACATTCTACCGTTCCCCCGGCGAAAACGACAATAATGGGCCAGGTGGAAATGCTAAAAAGTGACCTGGCAACTGAAAACCAGACAATTACCGTATTCCCGACGCTAAACACTACACAAATTACCGTAATCCCCGCCGGTTCACTCATTCTAAAGAATGGAGAAACTACCGTAAACCCGAGACGCCTAGTTACCCGATCTCCGGTTCTAAATGATGCTACTGTACCCAGCAATCATTTGCTAAAACGTGGAAAACCCACCGTACTCCAAAAGAAGACAAAAACTACCGTAATCCCTCGGCCAAAAAGTACCCAAGCTACCGTAACTCAAAAATCCCTTCTCCCTAATCCATCCACTGAAATCGAAACCCCGAAAAAGCCTAGAAAACCGAAATTTCCATTGAAGCGGCATACTAAAAATTGCCCTGAAAAGCTTACGGTAACGGTAACGAAGATTTCCGCTGATTCCGGAGACCTCAAAGAGAAAGCCTTCTGGGAGCAACTATATCAAAATCTAAGGAAAGATACTGTAATCCTGGAGCGCACTGTAGACTCTGGCAAGCTTATTTTGGCAAGAGAAGAGAAAGTAAAACCTACCGTAATCCTGGACCCTGGGACTGTAGCTAAAAGTGAGAAGTACAGTACCCCAAACTCTAGCTTTTTAAAGGGTGACCTCCAGGATGTGGCCTACCGTAGTCAGAATAATTCTACAGTAACCCAGACTCCGCCAATTCCGTCGACAAGCATCATCTACCGTAACCCGAAAACTTCAAATACGAAATCATCTGAAGACAAGTCCAAATTTGGCAATAGTGACCTCCAGGATGTGGCCTACCGTAGTCAGAATAATTCTACAGTAACCCAGGCTCCGCCAATTCCGTCGATAAGCATCCACCGTAACCCGAAAACTTCAAATGCAAAATCATCTCAAGACAAGTCAAAATTTGACAATAGTGCGCTCCAGGATGTGCCCTACCGTAGCCAGAATAATTCTACAGTAACCCAGGCTCCGCCAATTCCTTCGATAAGCATCCACCGTAACCCTGAACCCACAAATGCAAAATCATCTGAAGCTAAGTCAAAACTTGGCAATAGTGCGCTCCAGGATGCGCCCTATCGTCAGCAGAATAATTCTACAGTAACCCAAACTGTCCCCAATTCCGTCGATAAGCATCCACCGTAGTTTACCCCCGGCTATCGTACCCCGGGCCCAGATTTTCCGCGACGAGACCCCGGAATTTCGAATTTTGCTCAATTCCGATGATTATCAGCTACAAGAGGACTCGACTTTAGCCCCGTTCAAGCTGCTGGAAAATTTGAATGGAGAATTCTATGAAGAAAAAGATATTCAGCCGAAGAAAAGAAAACGATCGAAAATGGCGGAAATTTTGGAAAATTCGGGTTTTGTGCGTTCCAGATCGGAGGAGTTTGGCGAAAATTTTCTAAAACCACCAAGTGGGACTCTGAAAATTGATCGAGAAGCGTGGAAACAAGAAACTCAGCTAAAGAAAGAGAAAAAAGCAAATTTTTTTGCTGATTCGAATGCTGTGCGCTCCAGTTCTGACGAAAATTCTTTAAATCACAAAAACGGAACCCTAGAAATCGATAGTGATGATCGTCCATCGATCAAAGTGAAATCAACCGAACAAAATCGAGCAACTTTGACGGAAATTTTTGATAATTTGGGTGTCGTGCGTTCCAGCTCGGAGAAAACCGGTGAAATTTTGTCAAAACGAAAAATTCGAACACTGAAAATCGATGGGGAAGCGTTTCAGCCAAGAAAAGTCATCAAGTTAACGAAAATCTTTGAGATTTTGCCGACAAAAGCTGAGATTGATCAGAATTTGGCTGAGATTGCTCAGAATTTGGGTGAGAATTCAACCACAACACCTGCTACGACTGTTTACAGTACAACTACGCCTGTTTACAGTACAACTACGCCAACTACAGTACCCCTCAGCTACAGTAGCCCAAATCCTCCAGAGAAACAAATCCTTTGGCCTTTCGTTTTCAATCCGAAATTGTTTAATTGAATATCTTGATCTTTTTGAGATAACGTAATCCCTGGCCTAACTACAGTGGCCTAACTAAAGGCCTAACTAGACTGGATATCTGCCAAATCGTTTTTAAAATAGCGTTTAAAACAGCGTTTAAAAGTGTTTAAAATAGCGCTTAAAATAGCGCTTAAAATAGCGTTTAGAAAAGCGCCGTTCCAAACAGTGCCTTTCCAAACAGCGACTTTCGAAACAGCGCCTTTCCAAACAGCGCCTTTCCAAACAGTGCCTTTCCAAACAGCGACTTTCCAAACAGCGCCTACACAAGAATAGCGCCGTTTAAAACAACGTCCATACAAAAATAGCGCCAAATTTAAATACAAATTTCAGATTTTAATGTAGATTAACCCACGCTCTTTTGGGTTTTTCAAAAAAAAAGCTTAGTTTTTTGGTACATTTTCCGTTGGCATTGAGAAAAGGTAATAGATGTGAAGGAGCTCCAAGGACAAGTCATTTAATAATTTCCTTCGTCAGAACTCCAGCAATTTGATCGCTTTGTTTGTGACGAGCCATTTGTTGAATTTCCTTGGCATTGAGAAAAGGTAATAGATATGGACGAGCTCCAAGGACAAGTCAATTAATAATTTTCTTCGTCAGAACTCCAGCAATTTGATCGCTTTTCGCGCCACAGTGTATCTCACGTATCCAAAAATAAAAACTAGAAACAATAAGTTAAACAAAACAATAAGTACCTCTTGTGTTTCTTTGGTGTCGATGGTAGGCTAGTCGTAGCGTGCTCGTTTGTGACAGAAAGAACTCCAATCGCTTCATCTTTAGTAGATATCGACATTCCTAAATGAAAAAATGTTGAGAAACAAAAATCTGGCAGAAAAGAGGAAAAAAACTAGCTTAATCTATCTTAGCACATTTATTTTAGATCAAAGATCAAAGAAACAAAGTAAAACAAACCTTAAACAGTTCGTAGCGTGTTCGTTTGTGACAGAAAGAACCCTAGTCGCTTCATTTTTAGTAGATATAGACATTCCCAAATGAAAAAAGATGTTGAATTTATTTTAGATTAAAGAAACAAAGAAGAACAAACCTTAAACAAGTAGAATTTCTTTGCAAACGATATTATGTGGAAAGTACCTGTGATTATCGCACGTCGAATCATTTGCAACGATCCTTCTATTCCTGCAAGCAACGTTCGTTTTTTTGCGCCAGTGTATCTAAAAATAAAAACTAGAAACAATAAATTAAACAAAACAATAATTACTTCTTGTGTTTCTTTCAATGGCAGGCAGATCGTAGCGTGTTCGTTTGTGACAGAAAGAACCCTAATCGCTTCATTTTTAGTAGATATAGACATTCCTAAATGAAAAAAGATGTTGAATTTATTTTAGATCAAAGAAACAAAGTAAAACAAACCTTAAACAAGTAGAATTTCTTTACAAAAGATATTGTGTGAAAAAATAGCTGTGATTGTCGCTAACCACGGCGAATCACTTGCAATGTCGCTTCTATTCCTGCAGGCAATCTTCTTGTTTCTCTCGTTCGTTTTTTGCGCCACAGTGTATCTAAAAATAAAAACTAGAAACAATAAATTAAACAAAACAATAAGTACCTCTTGTGTTTCTTTCGATGGTAGGCAGATCGTAGCGTGCTCCTTTGTGACAGAAATAACTCTAATAGCTTCATCTTTAGTAGATATAGACATCCCTAAAGAGAAAAGATGTTGAATTTATTTTAGATCAAAGAAACAAAGTAAAACAAACCTTAAACAAGTAGAATTTCTTTGCAAAAGATATTATGTGGAAAGTACCTGTGATTGTCGTTAACCACGGCGAATCACTTGCAATGTCGCTTCTATTCCTGCAAGCAACCTTCTTTTTTCCCGCTCGTTTCTTGCGCCACAGTGTATCTAAAAATAAAAACTAGAAACAATAAATTAAACAAAACAATAAATTAAACAAAACAATAAGTTAAACAAAACAATAAATTAAACAAAACAATAAATTAAACAAAACAATAAATTAAACAAAACAATAAGTACCTCTTGTGTTTCTTTCGATGGTAGGCAGATCGTAGCGTGCTCGTTTGTGACAGAAATAACTCTAATCGGCTTTTGGCTTAGGCTTAGGCCTGGGCGTTGTTTGAATGGCGATCTTTTGAACGGCGCTTATTTGGCGGCGCTGTTTTCGCGGCGCTAGTTTCAACAGCGCTATTTTCAACAGCGCTATTTTCACTAGAATATCTTTATTCTTGCGTACTTTAGTCAGGCCATTTACTGGAATTACTTTACTTCTAACAAACAACTACATGTATGTGTCGTAGCCGTTTACGAAATTCAGCCGCTAACGAATGAGGGTATTTCCGGGCATCCAATCAAAAAGTCACCCACATAAAAAATGTTCATAATACATATATTTTATAATAAATTTTTGAAATTAGCTCATTTGGTTCAGTAGAAAAATTTTTTTGAGCCCCCAAAGTTTAGGTTCAAAAATGCCCTAAAATGGCTATAAAAAATTTTCTATTCAGCCAAAAAACTTCCCTAATAGCTTATTTTGTAGCCAATTTGATGTAGATTCTTAAAGTAAAGCTACATTGAACATTTGTTTTTCAAAGCTAGGAGAAAGAGGGCGAGGAACGACTTCAGTTGAACTCGGTCGCTGTTTTCACATTTGAGAATTGCCCGGAATTTGTTCCTCGCCCTCTTTCTCCTACTTTCGACGAAAAATTGTTTTAGATGGCTTTACTTTAAGAATCTACATCAAATTGGCTACAAAATAAGCTATTAGGGAAGTTTTTTGGCTGAATAGAAAATTTTTTATAGCCACTTTAGGGCATTTTTGAACCTAAACTTTGGGGGCTCAAAAAAATTTTTCGACTGAACCAAATGAGCTAATTTCAAAAATTTATTATAAAATATATGTATTATGAACATTTTTTATGTGGGTGACTTTTTGATTGGATGCCCGGAAATACCCTCATTCGTTAGCGGCTGAATTTCGTTAGCGGCTACGACATATGTACTTTGTACTCGCTAACCAATGAAGAATTCAGTGCGTTTACAAAAAAGTACACAGTACAAAGCTGCCTAACTTTACTAATATTTGCACATTTTTAGATATATCCACCTATTTTACTTATTTTATCTAACTTATTATTTTTATTTAACTAATCTTTTCATGGGTCCGTTTGCTTTAAAAACCTTGCTTGATTCGTTGTTTTTTTCTAAACGTTGTTTCTAAACGTTGTTCTAGTCAAATTTTTGAAATAAACCTTATCTGAGAAAAAAAACAGATCTAAATGCATTTTCGATACAGTTTTTAGATATTTTCAATAATCCTGGATATCACTTTTTCAGTTTCTCATCCCGAACCGCAGAAAAACGGCAAAATTACTCTTTTTGCTGATCTCCGACGGGCATAGTCAGGATTTTTGGAGGGATCTCGTCGCGACTTCGGAGTTGGTCAAAAAGAATTGAATATTATAAGTAATGGCTTAGTGTGCCTGCGTTTAGGATGTTTTTTTGGCGCCGAATGATTCTAGCTGAAGTAGTCTAGCGCTGAAAGTCTTATGCTTGGCCTAAAACCGGGCATAGAAGCCTAGAATCCGGTAAAATAACCAAAAAACTCAAACCAAGCCAATGACGGTTCTGGCCTAGCTTTCCAGAGTTCCCGGATCAATCAAAACTCAAGGTATAGTTAGTGTACTGTAGCGGATTTGCCGCTAGAGAAGCTAGAGAAACGCTAGAAACGCTAGAGAAACGCTAGAAACGCTAGAGAAACGCTAGAAACGCTAGAAAAGCTAGAGAAACGCTAGAAACGCTAGAAAAGCTAGAGAAACGCTAGAAACGCTAGAAAAGCTAGAGAAACGCTAGAAAAGCTAGAGAAACGCTAGAAACGCTAGAGAAACGCTAGAAAAGCTAGAGAAACGCTAGAAACGCTAGAGAAACGCTAGAAAAGCTAGAGAAACGCTAGAAACGCTAGAAAAGCTAGAGAAACGCTAGAAACGCTAGAAAAGCTAGAGAAACGCTAGAAACGCTAGAGAAACGCTAGAAAAGCTAGAGAAACGCTAGAAACGCTGGAGAAACGCTAGAAAAGCTAGAGAAACGCTAGAAACGCTAGAGAAACGCTAGAAAGCTAGAGAAACGCTAGAAACGCTAGAGAAACGCTAGAAAAGCTAGAGAAACGCTAGAAACGCTGGAGAAACGCTAGAAAGCTAGAGAAACGCTAGAAACGCTAGAAAAGCTAGAGAAACGCTAGAAACGCTAGAGAAACGCTAGAAAAGCTAGAGAAACGCTAGAAACGCTAGAAAAGCTAGAGAAACGCTAGAAACGCTAGAGAAACGCTAGAAAAGCTAGAGAAACGCTAGAAACGCTAGAAAAGCTAGAGAAACGCCAGAAACGCTAGAAAAGCTAGAGAAACGCTAGAAAAGCCAGAGAAACGCTAGAAAAGCTAGAGAAACGCTAGAAACGCTAGAAAAGCTAGAGAAACGCTAGAAACGCTAGAGAAACGCTAGAAAAGCTAGAGAAACGCTAGAAACGCTAGAAAAGCTAGAGAAACGCTAGAAAAGCTAGAGAAACGCTAGAAACGCTAGAGAAACGCTAGAAAAGCTAGAGAAACGCTAGAAACGCTAGAAAAGCTAGAGAAACGCTAGAAACGCTAGAAAAGCTAGAGAAACGCTAGAAAAGCTAGAGAAACGCTAGAAAAGCTAGAGAAACGCTAGAAACGCTAGAAAAGCTAGAGAAACGCTAGAAACGCTAGAGAAACGCTAGAAAAGCTAGAGAAACGCTAGAAACGCTAGAAAAGCTAGAGAAACGCTAGAAAAGCTAGAGAAACGCTAGAAAACGCTAGAGAAACGCTGGAAAAGCTAGAGAAACGCTAGAAACGCTAGAAAAGCTGGAGAAACGCTAGAAACGCTAGAGAAACGCTAGAAAAGCTAGAGAAACGCTAGAAACGCTAGAAAGCTAGAGAAACGCTAGAAACGCTAGAGAAACGCTAGAAAAGCTAGAGAAACGCTAGAAACGCTAGAGAAACGCTAGAAAAGCTAGAGAAACGCTAGAAACGCTAGAAAAGCTAGAGAAACGCTAGAAACGCTAGAAAAGCTAGAGAAACGCTAGAAACGCTAGAGAAACGCTAGAAAAGCTAGAGAAACGCTAGAAACGCTAGAAAAGCTAGAGAAACGCTAGAAAAGCTAGAGAAACGCTAGAAAAGCTAGAGAAACGCTAGAAACGCTAGAAAAGCTAGAGAAACGCTAGAAACGCTAGAGAAACGCTAGAAAAGTTAGAGAAACGCTAGAAACGCTAGAAAAGCTAGAGAAACGCTAGAAACGCTAGAAAAGCTAGAGAAACGCTAGAAACGCTAGAGAAACGCTAGAAAAGCTAGAGAAACGCTAGAAACGCTAGAAAAGCTAGAGAAACGCTAGAAAAGCTAGAGAAACGCTAGAAAAGCTAGAGAAACGCTAGAAACGCTAGAAAAGCTAGAGAAACGCTAGAAACGCTAGAGAAACGCTAGAAAAGCTAGAGAAACGCTAGAAAAGCTAGAGAAACGCTAGAAACGCTGGAAAAGCTGGAGAAACGCTAGAAAAGCTAGAGAAACGCTAGAAAAGCTAGAGAAACGCTGGAAACGCTAGAAAAGCTGGAGAAACGCTGGAAAACGCTAGAAAAGCTGGAGAAACGCTAGAAACGCTAGAGAAACGCTAGAAAAGCTAGAGAAACGCTAGAAACGCTAGAAAAGCTAGAGAAACGCTAGAAACGCTAGAAAAGCTAGAGAAACGCTAGAAACGCTAGAGAAACGCTAGAAACGCTAGAGAAACGCTAGAAAAGCTAGAGAAACGCTAGAAACGCTAGAGAAATGCTAGAAAAGCTAGAGAAACGCTAGAAACGCTAGAGAAACGCTAGAAAAGCTAGAGAAACGCTAGAAACGCTAGAGAAACGCTAGAAAAGCTAGAGAAACGCTAGAAACGCTAGAGAAATGCTAGAAAAGCTAGAGAAACGCTAGAAACGCTGGAGAAACGCTAGAAAAGCTAGAGAAACGCTAGAAACGCTAGAAAAGCTAGAGAAACGCTAGAAACGCTAGAGAAACGCTAGAAACGCTAGAAAAGCTAGAGAATGCTAGAAAAGCTAGAGAAACGCTAGAAACGCTAGAGAAACGCTAGAAAAGCTAGAGAAACGCTAGAAACGCTAGAAACGCTAGAGAAACGCTAGAAAAGCTAGAGAAACGCTAGAAACGCTAGAAAAGCTAGAGAAACGCTAGAAACGCTAGAAAAGCTAGAGAAACGCTAGAAACGCTAGAAAAGCTAGAGAAACGCTAGAAACGCTAGAAAAGCTAGAGAAACGCTAGAAACGCTAGAAAAGCTAGAGAAACGCTAGAAACGCTAGAAAAGCTAGAGAAACGCTAGAAACGCTAGAGAAACGCTAGAAAAGCTAGAGAAACGCTAGAAAAGCTAGAGAAACGCTAGAAACGCTAGAGAAACGCTAGAAAAGCTAGAGAAACGCTAGAAACGCTAGAGAAACGCTAGAAAAGCTAGAGAAACGCTAGAAACGCTAGAGAAACGCTAGAAAAGCTAGAGAAACGCTAGAAACGCTAGAGAAACGCTAGAAAAGCTAGAGAAACGCTAGAAACGCTAGAGAAACGCTAGAAACGCTAGAGAAACGCTAGAGAGTTTCAAAGTTGAATTGCCAATGGCAAAGGGGGCGGGGCGTATAAAAGCGGACTCTGCGCCCCCTTTGCCATTGACAATCTAACTTTGAGTTCAAATATCTTGGGCGTTGGGCGGCCCAATTGAAATAGTTTTTGTACCAATCGATAGAGAAAGACTTCGCTCATCTAATGATACCAAGAACATTTAAATTGGACGGCTCAACCCCGAGATATTTGAGCTCAAAGTTAGATCGCCAATGGCAAAGGGGCGGGGCTATCAAATGTCCGATAACCCTAATAAAATACATTAATTTACCCGTGCTACCGTATACCCTTTCTTGGATTTCTTGAAAAATTGAGAGCATGAAGAGAATACAAATGCGGAGCTGGAAAAAGATCGAAACAAAGCTTTCCAGAAAAGGGAAAAAGAAAAGGGAAATTTCTTAAAGGGAAATTTGTAAATAAATAAGCTTTCTGATAGAGCTTTCTGATAAAACAAACCAAAAATCGATTGGTTGATTGTTCACTTTAAAGCTGGAGCTGGAAAAGTAACCTTAAAAAAAGCGTATAAGACTTTCCGGCCAACATAATAGCCGTCTTGTGCCGCTCATTCCGGCGAGCATAATAGCAGTCTTGTTCCGCTCATTCCGGCCAACATAATAGCCGTCTTGTGCCGCTCATTCCGGCCAACATAATAGCCGTCTTGTTCCGCTCATTCCGGCCAACATAATAGCCGTCTTGTGCCGCTCATTCCGGCCAACATAATAGCCGTCTTGTTCCGCTCATTCCGGCCAACATAATAGCCGTCTTGTTCCGCTCATTCCGGCCAACATAATAGCAGTCTTGTGCCGCTCATTCTGGCCAACATAATAGCCGTCTTGTTCCGCTCATTCCGGCCAACATAATAGCCGTCTTGTGCCGCTCATTCCGGCCAACATAATAGCCGTCTTGTGCCGCTCATTCCGGCCAACATAATAGCCGTCTTGTGCCGTCCCTCACTCGCATTTAGCTCATCGAAACGCGTCGAAAATTTAACCCCATACTTAGTCGAGTGATTGGATGGATTGGCGATGATTGGGAGTGATGGGGATTTGAGGGGGTAAGACTTGCGTTGCGTTGCGGTTGCGGACAAGACTTTCCAGTCAAGCTGATAAAGAAGTTGTTAAAAGAATCGAACAGAGCAAATGATCCAACAGAGCCACAGCCAATGGCAAAATTTTATTGAGCTTCCAGAGAAGTGCTTTCTCTTCCCAACAGTCTTTTCTTGGCGGCGACCAACTCCGAGCATTACTCGTTGAGCGAATTGGCGGTAAGTGGAGAATTGGCGGTCTTTCAGATCAGATTTCAGATCAGATTTCAGATCAGATTTCAGATTTCAGATCTTTCAGATCTTGATTTAAATATTCAGACCTGGACATCGGATGTGAAAAACGTTTACCACTCACGGCAAATCCCGCATTTTCTTGAGCGAATCCGAGACGAGATGAGAAAATGTGGAGCCAGCAGTCGTAAAGCGGTATGGCTTTGGAAAGCTTATAAAGCTACCGTAATCCTCAAGCTCAAGCTACCGTAATCCAGCTCAAGCTACCGTAACCCTCAAGCTCAAGCTACCGTAACCCTCAAGCTCAAGCTACCGTAATCCAGCTCAAGCTACCGTAACCCTCAAGCTACCGTAACCCTCAAGCTCAAGCTACCGTAACCCTCAAGCTCAAGCTACCGTAATCCAGCTCAAGCTACCGTAACCCTCAAGCTACCGTAACCCTCAAGCTCAAGCTACCGTAACCCTCAAGCTCAAGCTACCGTAATCCAGCTCAAGCTACCGTAACCCTCAAGCTACCGTAACCCTCAAGCTCAAGCTACCGTAACCCTCAAGCTCAAGCTACCGTAATCCAGCTCAAGCTACCGTAATCCAGCTCAAGCTACCGTAACCCTCAAGCTACCGTAACCCTCAAGCTCAAGCTACCGTAACCCTCAAGCTACCGTAATCCATCAGATAAAGCTACCGTAGCTCTAATTCTTAGCCATCCTAGCCAGCCAGCCAACCCAGTAGTTCGGTATACGGTAACTTTTATCAATTTACAAATTTAGGACCAACTGATCGCCAAAGTCTCCTCGTTGAAGGAAAAAGTGAAACCAAAAGACATCATCGAAGTGGAGGGAAGCGGGGAAGGATCGGGTGAAGAAGTGGAAGGAAGTGGACAAGGGAAAGATATCATCACTGCTGGTGAGTACTAGGAAAGCTGATGAAAATTTTGGCCTACAAATATAGCCTCTAGATTGGCCCCCACCTCAGAAGGTCTAGATTGACCAAAATTGGTTCAATCAAAAATCCGAATCCTAAAAATTCTAGTCTGATATCCAGATCGAAGAAAAAACGGAATTAAAACTAAATTCCTCTTTCCAATTTTTCGGAATAGCCGCAAACTCTTAGCATTGCACATCGAGTACTAATGCTTTGCTGAAAATCAAAAATCTGAATGATAGAAATTCTAGTGTGATATCCAGATCGAAGAAAAAACGGAATTAAAATTAAATTCCTCTTTCCAATTTTTCGGAAATAGCCGCAAACTCTTGGCAGCGTGATGCAAAACTAATTTCTAGGCTGCTTTGTCTCAAGTTGAGCCTAAATAACAAAAGTCCTGTTCCAAGGACAGGCCAGAAGTTCTTGCCGGGACTGGCCTGCCTTTGCTGCTGGTTAGTCCAGACCTGGCTTAGTCCAAGAGTTAGTCCTGATCCTGGACTCTAGTCTGGTCTGACTTTCATGTACTTGGGTTCAGTTGCAATGCAATGCAATGCAAGATTCTTAGTTCTAAGCCAGGGCCAGGTTAGACCTAAGTTCTGCATCTGATTCTGAATCCGCCAGAAAACCAGTCCTAAACCTTGAGCTGAACGGCTCTGACTTAAAGTTGACCTTGACCGAGTTCTGGCCTTGCTTACAGAAGTTCTAAACCGTGACCTGACCTGACCTGACCCGATCTTGGCCCGGGTTCGATTAGAGCATCATTTCTGGCTCTAATCCAGCTCTAGTCCAGCTCTAATCCAGCTCTAGTCCAGCTCTAGTCCAGCTCTAATCCAGCTCTAGTCCAGCTCTAGTCCAGCTCTAATCCAGCTCTAGTCCAGCTCTAGTCCAGCTCTAATCCAGCTCTAGTCCAGCTCTAGTCCAGCTCTAATCCAGCTCTAGTCCAGCTCTAGTCCAGCTCTAATCCAGCTCTAGTCCAGCTCTAATCCAGCTCTAATCCAGCTCTAGTCCAGCTCTAGTCCAGCTCTAATCCAGCTCTGATCTAGCTCTCCAGGCTACACCATTTCAGTTCCATAAAAAACTTCTGTACAGCTTTGAAAACAGTCCTAAACTTTGACCTGAACCGTCCTGATCAGTCCTCAGCCGCTCTGACTTAGAGCTAGCCTTAGCCGGGTCCTGGTCTGACTTACCGACCTTGCCCGATTGGAAAATCTCTTGATATCATTGCTTACTACCCTCAAACACAGTCCAATATCACTCTGATTCCAGATGACGTCATCGAAAGCAGCACAAATGTCACCGAGGACGCGCCGTTGAGCGATGACGGGCATAAAGAAGTTATTTTGATTCTAGATTTCTAATAGATGATGAAAATTAGGTTTTGATGATGAATATTAGCTTTAAATAATGAAAATTAGTTTTAAATGATGAAAATTAGCTTTAGATGATTCTAAGGCTTGAATAAGCACTAAAATTCGATTCCAGAAAATGTGATTCCAGAAAACCCGTGGAATTGACGGAAATCTCAGTGATAAGGAAACAAAAACGCTGACAAAATCATCTTTTGATGGAAGTGAGTTTAAAAAGCTAAAGCTAAAGTAAAAGGTACCGTGAAAAGCTACCGTGAAAAGCTACCGTGAAAAGCTACCGTAAAAAGCTACCGTCAACTTAAAACTACCGTAATTCTAAGCTTAAGAAAACTATAAATTGAATACCGTATTCTCTCTAATAGTAGTGCACTCTTTAATAGTATTGCGGTCCAGGAGGGGTTCAAAAAATAGTAGTGAAAAAAAATGAACCCCCTCCTGGACCGCAATACTATTAAAGAGTGCACTACTATTAGAGAGAATACGGTATTAGCATTTTTACCGAGATCACGCTGATTTCTCGTCGGGTTTTGGAGATTTCGAAAAATTCTTTCATGGAAAGTGAATCCTGGAAGGCACTGCAAATTTCTAAAGAAAAATGGTTTCGAAATTTTGGTTTTAAGCCTAGTGTTCCCATGGCTCAATCGGTTAGCGGCGCGGCTTCGAGTCGAGGGGTTGGAAGCCGGTCCCGGGTTCGATCCCCGCCGGTGCACATCGCTTTGCTAAAAATACTATTAGAGAGAATACGGTAATTAAATAACAATTTTCTTTAGAAGGACCTTGTAAAGTGGATTTAATGTTTGTCATTGACATTTCTACATCAGTTGAAGAGGAATTCGAAGCACAACGGCAGTTCACAATCGATTTGGTGAGTTCAGGGACCAACAAAATGGCAATATTTAAGCAATTTTCCCTTATTTTATATCAAATTTGCATAAATATTTGATTTTGAAAAGTTTCTTCGTTTTTGGGAAAAATTTGAAGAAAAAGTTCGCTCCTGGTTGGGTTCGAACCAACGACCTTTCGGTTAACAGCCGAACGCGCTGCCGATTGCGCCACAAGAGCAGGTAGGCGTAGGGAGAAAAAACGGGTCTTTATCCATCCAGAGCCTCCAAATTCGCGGTTTTTCAAACAAAATTGCTCACTAATTAAGAGTTCTCTTTGAAATAAAATTTTCTAGAAAAGAAAAGCTTTTAAACTCTTTTAAATTTAGCCGATCTGGAGGTCACATAACATTTCTAGAAAAGCAGATTTTGGGGATTTCGGTTTTTTAAAAAAAATTTTGCTGAAAAGAGTTCGGATTGAAATAAGAGTTTCTAGGAAAGAAAAGTACTAAAATCTTTTAAATTTGGCTGATCTGGGAGTCACATAACATTTCTAGAAAAGCAGATTTTGTAGATTTCGGTTTTTTCAAAAAAAATTTTCCTTAAAAGAGTTCTCATCGAAATAAAATTTTCTAGAAAAGAAAAATACTAAAATCTTTTAAATTTAATCTATCTGGAGGTCACATAACATTTCTAGAAAGGGAAAAATTGTTGTTTGAAGGGCTGGTATTCAGTCTACTGTATTCGGCCTACTGTATTCAGTCTATTGTATTGAGCCTACTGTATTCAGTCTACTGTATTCAGTCTACTGTATTCAGGGTATACTGTAGCTTTAAGGTCTATGGAAGATTTTCAGGTGAAACGCCTTCCAAAAGAAGATTTCGAGTCACGGATTCATGTCGGAGTGATCACTTTCAATCATTGGACGAAAGTCGTGCAGCCGATGGATAAACTGAGCTCCAGGCATGTACAGGCATACTGTAACTTGGGGTTTAAGCGTACTGAAGCGTAAAGTACTCTCAAGCGTACTGAAGCGTAAAGTACTCTCAAGCGTACTGAAGCGTAAAGTACTCTCAAGCGTACTGAAGCGTAAAGTACTCTCAAGCGTACTGAAGCGTAAAGTACTCTCAAGCGTACTGAAGCGTAAAGTACTCTCAAGCGTACTGAAGCGTAAAGTACTCTCAAGTTTTAAGCACTAGGGCATACTGTGACTTCAGCTGTAAATCGTTACTGTAAATAAATACTGTAACTAGTTAGGCTGTAACGAGTTAGGGGTGTTAAAGGGCAATGCTCGAAGCAAAGCTAGGTTCGATTCAGAAAAAAAAACACTACAGTAGCTCGCTTTTGAAAGTGATGCCATTGGGAATCGATTGGGAATCGATTTCCCATTGGTAATCGATTGGGAATTCGATTTCCCCGATTGGGAATCGATTTCCCCAATGGCATAACGATCTCGGTGACCTTTGGAAATGGATTTGAGGCTAACAACTGACGTTAGCACACAAATTTGCGTCTAAATGCCGTGCCACCTTCAGACAATCGATCCTTTCCCTTCGCTACAACATCACCAAAGAGGGTGAAGTCAAAGCGGTATATAAGGCGGCGTATATAAGGCGGCCTATCTAAGGCGGCTTATCTAAGTCGGCGTATCTAAGACGGCGTATATAAAACGGCGTATACAAGGTCTTTCAAATGAACTGGAGCCTGAAAACTGACGTTAGCACATAAATTTGCATTTAAATGCCACTTTCAGACAATCAATCCTCTCCCTTCTCTCCAACATCACAAATGAAGGTGGAGCCACAGCAGTAGCTCAGGGAATGTCCCTAGCCGCACAAGAAGTGCAAAGAACGAGAAGGAGTGATGCTAGGTATTGTAGTAAGTACAAAGTCTGGACATGGCTGTACATGGTACAGTAGGCTACAAGCAGCCCCTGAGCAGTCCATAGGTACTTGAGGGGTCTAACGGGTCTAGCAACAAGTCTAGAGTGATCCTAAAGTAATTGATGGCCCTGGCTGACCCTGGCTGGCCCTGGATGACCCTAAAAGGAGTCCAGATCAAACTCTAACTTGATCGGCTAGGCCTGGGTAGCTAGGCCTGGCTAGCTAGGCCTGGCTAGGCCTGGCTAGGCCTACTGTGCTTACTGGCTAGGCAAGTGCAATACTGACTTAAGCAATAGTATAATGCCAGTAAGCACAGTACCCAGATAAAGACCAGGAACTGTACTGTACTGTACAGAAAGTACTGTACTGTACAGAGAGTACTGTACTGTACAGAAAGTACTGTACTGTACAGAAACTTTTCAGACAAATGATCGTTTTGGTTTCCGATGGGAACAGCAAGGATTTGTGGAGAGATGTGAGTTTTGTGGAAAGCGTTATTTAAATGTCTGGAGAAGTGGAAAATCGCTTAAAAATCTATCCTAACTTTAGCTAGGTTAGATTTTTAGCGTTTCAGCGCTTTTAAACTTTAACAAAGCCTACAAACTTTAACAAACTACGGTAGCTTTTAGAAAACTCTTTTCTAAGTTTAGAAAACACTTTCTAAATTCTCGAAAAGCACGAAACAAAAAGAAATGCACATTCAGGTGATTTCCACCTCTCGACAAGTGAAAGCTTTGGCTGCTGACGTTTACGCGATCACTGTGCATCGGAATTATCTATTCAGGTGGGAATAGATCATAGATAATTGCTTTAGAAGGCTTTAGAATTGTATTAGAAGGCTTTAGAAGGCTTTAGAATGCTTTAGGATGATTTAGACTGCTTTCGAATGCTTTAGAAGGCTTTAGAAGGCTTTAGAAGGCTTTAGACTGCTTTAGAGTGCTTTAGAGTGCTTTAGAGTGCTTTATAGTGGTTTAGAATGCTTTAGAGTGCTTTAGAAGGCTCTAGAAGGCTCTAGAATGCTCTAGAATGCTCTAGAATGCTCTAGAATGCTCTAGAATGCTCTAGAATGCTTTAGAAGGCTCTAGAAGGCCCTAGAAGGCTTTAGAATGCTTTAGAAGGCTTTAGATGAAAGCATTTCTTCTAAATATTTCATCTATCTAGAGTCTATACCTTAGCTGAATGTTTCATGACTTTAAAATGATTCAGCGAGCTCGAAATGTACGCGACGAACATCGGCTACGTCTATGTGAACGGCCGAATTGAGCAATTTTTAGGTAAGACATTGAATTTTTCGATCAAATTTGAATCAAAAGAAACTAATGTTTAACAAGACGGTTTGAATCAAAAGAGACTGCTGGCTTTCAATTTCTGGCCCAGTTTAACCCTAGGGCAAGCCGAAGATCATGTCCTCGCTTTGTTTGGATCCTCGGGTTGATTCGTTTGGATTAGACTGGCCTAGCTTCTGGTCAAACTCAAGCGCAAGCTCAAACTCTAGCCTGATCTGTCTTGTCTTGTCCTTGTCTGGCCACCGGTCTAACCTGATTCTAGCAAATGAAAGGCATCGAGTAGCCAAACACAATCGTTGGTCAACCAACCAGCCAGACTGGGCCAGCAAGGGCTAGCCAGGGCCATCCAGGGCTAGCCAGGGCCATCCAGGGCTAGCCAGGGCCATCTAGGGCTAGCCAGGGTCAGCCAGGGTCAGCCAGGGCCATCCAGGGTCAGCCAGGGCTAGCCAGGGTCAGCCAGGGCTAGCCAGGGTCAGCCAGGGCTAGCCAGGGCCATCCAGGGCTAGCCAGGGCCATCCAGGGCTAGCCAGGGTCAGCCAGGGCCATCCAGGGTCAGCCAGGGCCATCCAGGGTCAGCCAGGGCTAGCCAGGGTCAGCCAGGGCTAGCCAGGGCCATCCAGGGCTAGCCAGGGTCAGCCAGGGCTAGCCAGGGCCATCCAGGGCTAGCCAGGGTCAGCCAGGGCTAGCCAGGGCTCAGCCAGGGCCATCCAGGGTCAGCCAGGGCCATCCAGGGCTAGCCAGGGTCAGCCAGGGCTAGCCAGGGTCAGCCAGGGCCATCCAGGGTCAGCCAGGGCCATCCAGGGCTAGCCAGGGTCAGCCAGGGCTAGCCAGGGTCAGCCAGGGTCATCCAGGGCCAGCCAGCCAAGGCAGCCACGCAAGAAATTTGGGACAATCGTTAAATCGAGAGTCGTTATCGTGAGAGTCGACTTTATTTAAACTTTTCAAGCTGCTCAACTCTTTCCATTTCAGACCAAACCGAGCGAGCGCTCCGGAGATGCGTTGGTCCAAATTTACAGGTGAAATCTAGATCTATTCTTTTGCGAAATTTGCAACTAACCCTTTGCGACGCCATTTTTTTCAATTTTTTCATTTTTTTCTTTGTTTTTCCATCTTTTTCTATTCAAATTTTCGATTTTCATTAAAATTTTGCTTTCCTTTTTTTTGCTTTTCATCGACTTTTTATCGAAAATCGACAATTTTCTCTAATTTAGAAGCAATGAAGCGGCAATTCTCGAAAAGCGATCAACAAAATGGCAATATTTAAGCAATTTTCCCTTATTTTATATCAAATTTGCATAAATATTTGATTTTGAAAAGTTTCTTCGTTTTTGGGAAAAATTTGAAGAAAAAATTCGCTCCTGGTTGGGTTCGAACCAACGACCTTTCGGTTAACAGCCGAACGCGCTGCCGATTGCGCCACAAGAGCAGGTAGGTGTAGGGAGAAAAAACGGGTCTTTATCCATCCAGAGCCTCCAAATTCGCGGTTTTTCAAACAAAATTGCTCACTAATTAAGAGTTCTCTTTGAAATAAAATTTTCTAGAAAAGAAAAGTTTAAAATCTTTTAAATTTAGCCGATCTGGAGGTCACCTAAAATTTCTAGAAAAGCAGATTTTTGAGATTTCGATTTTTTCAGAAAAAATTTTGCTCAAAGGAGCTCGGATTGAAATAAGAGTTTCTAGAAAAGAAAAGTACTAAAATCTTTTAAATTTAATCTATCTGGAGGTCACATAACATTTTTAGAAAAGCAGATTTTGAAGATTTCGATTTTTCAAAAAAAATTTTGTTGAAAACAGTTCTCATCGAAATAAAATTTTCTAGAAAAGAAAAGTATTAAAATCTTTTAAATTTAGCCGATCTGGAGGTCACATAACATTTCTAGAAAAGCAGATTTCGGAGGCTTCGATTTTCTAAAAAAAATTTTGCTCAAAAGAGTTCGGATTGAAATAAGAATTTCTAGAAAAGAAAAGTACGAAAATCTTTTAAATTTAATCGATCTGGAGGTCACATAACATTTCTACGGGGCGAGGAAAAACGAGTCTTTATCTATTCAGGTCAGTGAATCGAGCGATCGACCAAATGAACGGAAAAGCAAGAAATCGTAGGTTTAATTGAGAAATTTGATTTGTCGAGCTACTATAGCTGGAGCTACTATAGCTGGAGCTACTATAGCTGGAGCTACTATAGCTGGAGCTACTATAGCTGGAGCTACTATAGCTGGAGCTACTATAGCTGGAGCTACTATAGCTGGAGCTACTATAGCTGGAGCTACTATAGCTGGAGCTACTATAGCTGGAGCTACTATAGCTGGAGCTACTATAGCTGGAGCTACTATAGCTGGAGCTACTATAGCTGGAGCTACTATAGCTGGAGCTACTATAGCTGGAGCTACTATAGCTCCAGGCTACTGTATCCAGGGTTTACTGTAGCTTTAGTACTGTAGGTGTACTGTAGCTAGTGCAATACCTGCCCTATGCCTGCAATTCACCGCCAATTCATTTACAGGATCAACGCCAATGAAACGAGCCCCGATTGTGAGAAGAATCGGTACGTTTAATAAGATTTATTCACAATTTCAAAAAATCCACAATTTCCAACATCCACAATTTCACAATTTAAAGCCAATCACTCCCTCTTCAGCATCCTTTTCTTGTAGCTATCCGGATAATATCCATATGTAGAACTATACGGATTGTAGGTGGAGAAATAGGGCATTGAGACAGCCTAAAGCGGAAGATGGAAAGTGGAAGTGGACTTTTAACTGGTTTAACAAATTACCTAGGTTAAGCTAGGCATGGGCAGACTTCGGATCAATCAGTTTTACCTGGTTAGGGAAAATTTTGGGAAAAAGCAGTATCCGTAGTGCTACAGAACGAGGGAAGGGACCAATTTCAAAAGTATTTCGATTTTAGCTTATCTGGAATGCACACTAAAACTTGTTGCAATCAGATTTTTGATTTACTGAGATTTAATTTTGGGCTCGAGTCCTGCGAAACTAACCCTCAGCATTTCGGCTAGAACTTGTTGCAAATAGATCAAAGTATTTTGTTTTTAGCTTATCTGGAATGCACACTAAAATATGTTGCAATCAGATTTTTGATTTACTCAGATTGACCTTTGTGCTGGTTGTGCTACGATACTGACCCTCTGCATTTTGGCTAAAATTCGGTGCAATCAAACCAAAAGGATTTCGATTTTAGCTTATCTGGAATGCACACTAAAACTTGTTGCAATCAGATTTTTGATTTACTGAGATTTAATTTTGGGCTCGAGTCCTGCGAAACTAACCCTCAGCATTTCGGCTAGAACTTGTTGCAAATAGATCAAAGTATTTTGTTTTTAGCTTATCTGGAATGCACACTAAAATATGTTGCAATCAGATTTTTGATTTACTCAGATTGACCTTTGTGCTGGTTGTGCTGCGATACTGACCCTCTGTATTTTGGTTGGAACTTGTTGCAATCAAACCAAAAGGATTTCATTTTTAGCTTATCTGGAATGCACACTAAAACTTGTTGCAATCAGATTTTTGATTTAGTGAGATTTAAGTTTGTGCTTCGGTACCGCGATACTAACCCTCAGCATTTCGGCTAGAACTTGTTGCAATTAGATCAAAGTATTTCGATTTTAGCTTATCTGGAATGCACACTAAAACCTGTAGCAATCAGATTTTTGATTTACTCAGATTGATCTTTGTGCTGGTTGTGCTGCGATACTGACCCTCTGTATTTTGGTTGGAACTTGTTGCAATCAAACCAAAAGGATTTCAGTTTTAGCTTATCTGGAATGCACACTAAAACTTGTTGCAATCAGATTTTTGATTTAGTGAGATTTAAGTTTGTGCTTCGGTACCGCGATACTAACCCTCAGCATTTCGGCTAGAACTTGTTGCAATTAGATCAAAAGGATTTCATTTTTAGCTTATCTGGAATGCACACTAAAACCTGTAGCAATCAGATTTTTGATTTATTGAAATTCCGTTTGTACTCGTTTGCTCGTGTACTCGTGTCCTGGTGTACTCGTGCTGCGGTACCCCTTACTTTTATCAACTGGCCTTTTCCTATCTTTCCCTGGTCCTGAACTGACTTGAACACTGATCCAGAACTGGGCTTGCCTTGTCCCGGATCTGATCCAGGATTTAGTAACGATAAAAACTGCACCTGTGTCCATCCAGGGTACGGGAAGTAGCTGGGTGCATAGGAGGGGATCGGAGGCGAAAATCCAGTTATTTGAGGTGCTGGGGCGGCCACGGGGATTGGAGCTTAAATTCTATATTCAATAGATATAGATAGATTAGCTGGATTACGGTATTCAGTGTAAATTAAGTTACTCAACCTTAAATAAGGTATTCAGTCTAGATTGGGTATTCAGTCTACGTTAGCTGGATTACGGTATTCAGTCTAGATTGTTATTCAAGTTATAGTTATTCAAACCACCGTAGTACTACACAAAAGGCAAAGTACAGCAAAGTACAGCATGTACAGCAAAGTACAGCATGTACAGCAAAGTACAGTACTACGCAAGTACACAAAGGGCAAAGCTATAAGGCAAAGCTATAAGGCAAAGCTGTAAGGCAAAGCTGTGAGGGAAAGCTGTAAGGTAAAGCTGTAAGGTAAAGCTGTAAGGCAAAGCTATAAGGCAAAGCTGTAAGGCAAAGCTGTAAGGGAAAGCTGTAAGGGAAAGCTGTAAGGTAAAGCTGTGAGGAAAAGCTGTAAGGTAAAGCTGTAAGGTAAAGCTGTAAGGGAAAGCTGTAAAGGAAAGCTGCAAAGGAAAGCTGTAAAGGAAAGCTGTAAGGGAAAGCTGTGAGGGAAAGCTGTGAGGGAAAGCTGTGAGGGAAAGCTGTAAGGTAAAGCTGTAAGGGAAAGCTGTAAGGGAAAGCTGTAAGGGAAAGCTGTAAGGGAAAGCTGTAAGGCAAAGCTGTAAGGCAAAGCTGTAAGGCAAAGCTGTAACTATCAATTTCCTATTTCTATAGTACTACTAGCGCCTAGTGCGCCATTTTGTGCTCCATTTTGGATCAATTACCAAAGAATTTCTCTGGAATCGCTGAAGATCCATAGTAGTATGGATTCGGGGCAATCACAGCTGCCGAGGACCACAAAGAAGAATATGATGGAAGATATTGAGAGGATGAGAGTCGGAATTGAATGAAAAGTAGCCAAGGCAAAAGACAAAAGCCAAGGATGAATCTCATTTTTATTTCTCTGGATTGATAGAGGATCTCTGGGCGAATGGATAGAGCTTGAGCTTGAGCTCTTTAGCCTTGAGGCTAAAGAATTGTGCGTTGTTTGGTTAGGGAAACCTTTTGCAATGAGACTTGCAATGAGATTTGTAATGCGCTTTCGATTTTGGATTTTGCAATTTTGGAAAATCTTCAAAATTCAAGATTTCTCTCGAAATTCTTCAAATCTCGCTTTCCCTTGCCTCAATTTTCCCTCAATTCCCCTCAATTTTCCCTCAATTCCCTCAATTTCCCTCAATCTTCCCCAAATTTTAAACATCAAGATCGAAAGAGCAAAAGTTTTTTCCCAATTTCTCAATTTTCCTCTCAAAAAACCTTTTCTGAAGTGGCTCAAGTGCTTCTTTTTTTGAGGGAAAAGTCAAAAACGAGAGATGTACTTGGAAAAATAAGAATCCAATATCCAATCGAATATCCAATTAACCGGAAAATCATTTTCAAGTCAACGGAAAATCATTTTTCAATCTAAATTCGTAAATTTTTGAAGTTTTCTGGGCTTTGCGAGGGATTTGATAAGATACATTGAGACATGGGACATGGAAGAGACAGAAAGAGACATGAAAAGAGACGTGGAACTTGAAGGAAATACAATTGAGAAGAAATTATTGAGTAAGCAAGGAAATTTGTGGAAAAAGTTTGCACGGTGATTTGACGAAAGCCCGGTGACAAAAGCTAAAGCATGCACAGGGTAGACATGGCTTTTTGGTAAGATCAGATCGGATCGGATCGGGCTAGCCGGGTCAGTTAGACCGAGCTAGGCTGATTGGATTGGATTGAGGTAGGCTGATTGGGTTGGATTGAGCTAGGCTCATTGGATTGGACCGAGCTAGGCTGATTGGATTGGACCGAGCTAGGCTGATTGGATTGGATTGAGCTAGGCTGATTGGGTTGGACCGAGCTAGGCTGATTGGATTGGATTGAGCTAGGCTGATTGGATTGGATTGAGCTAGGCCAATTGATCGAATCGGATCGGGCTGCGCCGGCTCGGATCGGGCCGAACTAGCCCGATCGGTTGGACCGAGCTAGCCGGATTGAATCGGCCTAGCTGGATCGAATTGGGCTAGCTGGATCGAATCGGTCTAGCCGGATCGAATCGGTCTAGCCGGATCGAATCGGTCTAGCTGGATCGAATCGGTCTAGCCGGATCGAATCGGTCTAGCCAGATCCAATCAGTCTAGCCAGATCAGTTCGGTCTAGCCAGATCCAATCAGTCTAGCCAGATCAGTTCGATCTAGTCAGATCCAATCGGATCAGCTGCGCCAGCTCGGATCGGATCGGCTCGAGCTTGCCCGATCGGATCGATCTAGCCGATCGGATCAGTCTAGCCAGATCGATGGATCGAGCGAAAATGTGTTATCTCATATCTCAACTATTAGCTCATATTTGCTGGCCTGTTTAGCTTAACATTATGGTAGATTTTCATTGATTTAGGCGACAAAATGATGTAATTATGAACGTTTGGCAAAAGCGTTAAGGAAACTTGAAAACTAAATGCTATCAGTGGCTATAATCAGAAATTTAGCGACCAATTCTGTAATGACGATGAAACAAAAGATCGATGCGCTTCAGAAAGGCTCGATCTGGTCATTTTGTTTGACAATTCGGGTAAATAAACCAATTTTTTTGCTTTGTAGCGCTGAAAATTCAGAGAAAACGGCCGCGAATGCGAATTCGGCGGCGAATGCTAATGCGTTCTTGATTTTGGACATTCTGGGTAAGTGTACGAGAGCTTCTTGTAAAGGCCGGATCAGCTGGACGACGGAAAAGAGTACTGTAGTGTACTTGCACAGGGTACTGTAGCTCTACAGCTTACGGTAGCTCTTACTGTAGCTCTTACAGCTTACTGTAGCTCTACAGCTTACTGGAAGAGCTACAGTCCCCTGTGCAAGTACCCTGTGCAACCCTGTAGCTCTACAGCTTACTGTAAGAGCTACAGTCCCCTGTGAAAGCACCCTGTGCAACTCCTGTAGCTCTACAGCTTACTGTAAGAGCTACAGTCCCCTGTGCAAGCACCCTGTGCAACCCTGTAGCTCTACAGCTTACTGTAAGAGCTACAGTCCCCTGTGCAAGTACCCTGTGCAACTCCTGTAGCTCTACAGCTTACTGGAAGAGCTACAGTCCCCTGTGCAAGCACCCTTCTCGTTCACTTTCTCGGGCTACACTACATTTTCTCATTTTCTGCTTTGCTGGCGCTTTTCAACTCTAAATCTAAACTCTACTTTCCAGGCTCTTTAATGCCCATTCCGGGCCTTCGTGTCTCATTGATTTCAATGGCCGATCCACCGACAATCCAACTCCCACTTCGGTATTTGACCGAGAGAAGTGAGCACTTCAAAAAGGTAGCTGATTATATAATAAACGGAAAATAAATTATATTATATGAAGAAAATATCAGTTTTCCTTTTTGCCGTTGGCAAGGTAAGGTTTTTTGCGTTTTTCTCAGCAACAATGCTTCGATTTTGCCTATTTTGACTATAATTCGATGCAGAATCGAATTCCGCGTCGAATGACATCAAAAACAACTCAAAATGTAATATCTACGCAAAGTTATCGGCTAAAAGCCTAAACCACGTCCATAATGGGCGGGGCTTGGCCTTTTGCCTCATAACTTTGCTTGGGAAATACATTTTGAGTTGTTTTTGGTATCATTCGACGCACAATTTCATTCTGTCTCGAATGGTAGTCAAAATAGACAAAGTCGACGCCTGGTTGCTGAGAAAAACAGGAAAAAAGTGAATTGCCAACATCAAAAGGCTAGGTTTAGGTTTTTAGCCGATAACTTTGCATGGGAAAAACATTTTGAGTTGTTTTTAGTATCATTCGACGCACAATTTCATTCTGTCTCGAATGGCGGTCAAAATTAACTCAAAATGTAATATAGAGCCAAAGTTGTTGGCTAAAAATCTAAACCTAGCCTTTTGTTGTTGGCAATTCACGTTTTTCGTGTTTTTCTCAGCACGAACTCTTCGATTTTGGCTATAATTCGATGCAGAATGAAATTGTGCGTCGAATGGGACCAAAATCAACTCAAAATATAATATCCATGCAAAGTTATGGGGTAAAAACCTCACCAAGCCCATAATGGGAGGGGCTTGGCTTTTTGCTCCATAACTTTGCATGGGAAATACATTTTGAGTTGGTTTTGGTACCATTCGACGCAAAATTTCATTCTGCATCGAATCATAGCCAAAATCGAAGAGTTCGTGATGAGAAAGACATGAAAAACCTCAAATTGCCAACGGGAAAAAAGGACCAACAGATATTTTCGTTACAAGTCTATTATAGATATACTTTACTGGATTTAGCATACTGTACTGAGATTGTAAGAGTATTAATTGCTGTAGATCAGATTACTGTAGATCAGATTACTGTAGATCAGATTACTGTAGATCAGATTACTGTAGATCAGATTACTGTAGATCAGATTACTGTAGATCAGATTACTGTAGATCAGATTACTGTAGATCAGATTACTGTAGATCAGATTACTGTAGATCAGATTACTGTAGATCAGATTACTGTAGATCAGATTACTGTAGATCAGATTACTGTAGATCAGATTACTGTAGATCAGATTACTGTAGATCAGATTACTGTAGATCAGATTACTGTGGATCAGATTACTGTGGATCAGATTACTGTAGATCAGATTGCTGTAGGTCAGCTTGCTGTAGATCAGCTTGCTGTAGGTCAGCTGGCTGTAGATCAGATTACTGTAGGTCAGCTTGCTGTAGATCAGATTACTGTAGATCAGCTTGCTGTAGGTCAGCTTGCTGTAGGTCAGCTTGCTGTAGGTCAGCTTGCTGTAGGTCAGCTTGCTGTAGCTTCAGGTCCAAGTACAGCACCACATAGCTATGTCAATAGGGTCAGCTTACTGTACAAGGTTAGCTCCAGGTCCAAGTACAATAACTCTTTAATTGAAGGAGAACCGAAGCACTGTAAGGCTCAGTAGCGTGCTGGAGCATCAGATCTAGAGCATCAGATCTAGAGCATCAGATCTAGAGCATCAGATCTAGAGCATCAGATCTAGAGCATCAGATCTAGAGCATCAGATCTAGAGCATCAGATCTAGAGCATCAGATCTAGAGCATCAGATCTAGAGCATCAGATCTAGAGCATCAGATCTAGAGCATCAGATCCCAATACAGTACCCCAGCAACAAATTGGTTACGCTAATTCCCTCAATTTCTAGACAAAATCGATCACCGTTTCACCAAAATCTCCACTTTACTCGAAATCTCTTCAAATCGCTGTTGATCAACTCGTATTGAATGGAAGGTTTTGAAATTGAAAAGTGCATGCTTAAAAGATGAAATGTAAACTATTGATTATGTAGTTTCATCAATTTTCTTGATTTTCTTCAAAAAATACGACTCTTGCCCGGAATTTGGCCGAATTTGGCCGAATCTTTCAATGACTAGCTTGCTTTAAAGCTTCATAACTTTGCTCAGAAATAATATTACCCATAACTCTTTAAATCATCGCCTATAGCACCTTTAAGCTTTCAAATGTTCTACGAATCCCAACTACGAATCTATTTGTCAGGTGTTCTGGGCTTTCTCAGGAATTTGAAAGAGCTACGGAGCTAACTACGGGCAACGTGTCAGTGCCGCTCTCTTAGGAATTCGATTCCGTCCATTCGATTCCGTCCATTCGATTCCGTCCATTCGATTCCGTCCATTCGATTCCGTCCATTCGATTCCGTTTATTTCTGGGTAAAGTTATTGTTCATCAAAGCTTAGCCATTCATTTAAAATGCTTAAATTTTTGGCCAGGAGTCCAAGGCCAAGAAGTCAAGGCCAAGAAGTAGTCCAAGAGTCCAAGGCTAAGAGGCCAAGAGTCCAAGGCCAAGAGTCCAAGGCCAAGAGTCCAAGGCCAAGAAGTCAAGGTCAAGTAGCCAAGGCTAAGAGTCCAAGGCTAAGAGTCCAAGGCTAAGAGGCCAAGAGTCCAAGGCCAAGAGTCCAAGGCCAAGAGTCCAAGGCCAAGAGTCCAAGGCCAAGAGTCCAAGGCCAAGTGTCCAAGGCCAAGAGTCCAAGGCCAAGAGTCCAAGGCCAAGAAGTCAAGGTCAAGTAGCCAAGGCCAAGAGTCCAAGGCTAAGAGGCCAAGAGTCCAAGGCCAAGAGTTCCAAATCATTTCCAATCATTCCAATCATTCCAATCATTCTAATCATTCTAATCATTTCAATCATTCAATTATCATTTCTTATTTGGCTAAAGGCCAAGAGTCCCAGGGCAAGAGTCCAAGAGGCCAAGAGGCTAAGAATCCAAGAGTCCAAGAGTCCAAGGGCAAGAGGCCAAGAGTCCACGACCAAGAGGCCAATAGTCCAAGGGCTAAAGGCCAAAAGCCCAACGCCAAGAGGCCAAGAGTCCAACGCCAAGAGGCCAAGAGTTCAAGGCTAAGAGGCCAAGAGTTCCAAATCATTTCCAATCATTTTAATCATTCTAATCATTTCAATCATTTCAATCATTCAATCATTCAATTATCATTTCTGATTTCAGAAATTTCTCGAAAAAGGCGATAATTTTTGTGGGAAATGGGAAAAACGCAGAAAATCCGATGGAGAGACGAGCGGCTAGAAGCTCTTTGAAAAGGGTAAATTAAAGCGTTTCCTAAAGCTTTTTCTTTTCTCAGATCAGAATGAGATATTTCGATTTCAGTACCCAGAAATCGAGTGCCTAGCCGTGGACTCATCATCGGACACACACATTCGCAGCCTCGCCAAGCTCACCGGCTCTCGGGATCGCGTTTTCGAGTTTGATCGGTAAAGAGATTTAGTTAGTAACAGGAGTTTAACAGTTTAACAATTTGGAATTAGAATTAGAATTAGAATTAGAATTAGAATTAGAATTAGAATTAGAATTTGGGATCTAGAGTTTAGAATTTAGAATTTCAGAAGTTAAAACGTTTGTTCGATAAACAAGCGCTCATTTATCCAAAGCCTCGTCAAAATCCGCCTTAAATTTGCCTTAAAAACCCCCGACTGCCTTAAACTATAGCAAATTAAAATAAACTTTAGCAATTTTTGCAGAAACGCTGAATTCGAGCGCCGTTTGCTCAAATTCTCGAGTGTCAATATGGAGGGATGCGAAGGAGATCGCTTGAAATTTGGCTGAACAAATTTGAACAAATTTGAATAAAGTTGAATAAAGTTGAATAAATTTGAATAAATTTGAACAAGTTTGAACAAGTTTGAACAAGTTTGAATCAATTTGAACAAATTGGAGCAAATTTGTTCAAATTTGAACAAGTTTGAACAAATTGAACCAAATTTGAACCAAATTTGAATAAATTGGAACAAATTGGAACAAATTTGAATAGATTTGAACAAATTTGAATCAATTTGAACAAATTTGAACAAATTTGAATAAACTGGAACAAATTTGAACAAATTTGAATAAATTTGAATCAATTGGAACAAATTGGAACAGATTTGAATCAATTTGAACAAGTTTGAACAAGTTTGAATAAATTTAAACAAATTTAAACCAAATTTGAATAAATTGGAACAAATTGGAACAAATTTGAATCAATTTGAACAAGTTAGAACAAGTTAGAACAAATTTGAATCAATTTGAATCAATTTGAATCAATTTGAATAGATTTGAACAAATTTGAACAAGTTTGAACAAATTTGAATCAATTTGAATAAAGTTGAATCAATTTGAATAAATTTGAACAAGTTTGAACAAGTTTGAATCAATTTGAACAAATTTGAACAAGTTTGAATAAATTTTAATCAATTTGAATCAATTTGAACAAATTGGAGCAAATTTGAACAAATTTGAATAAATTTGAACAAATTTGAACTAATTTTGCTGAATTTTCAACTTTTAAGCAAGTTTCCTTGTTATTAGATCTAAATCCGAGTATCTAGAAGGATTCCATTTGTTCTACCGTTTGAGTTACCCATTTTTGCTGTTTAGCTGCCTATTTCTACTGTTTAATTGCCTATTTCTACTGTTTAGATCCCATTTTTTATTGTTTAGATACCCATTTCTACTGTTTCGTTTCCATTTTGACCGTTTAGGTCCCATTTTGACCGTTTAGATACCCATTTTATTGTTTAGGTCCCATTTTAAGCGCTTAGATCCCATTTAAAGCTTTCATTTCCCATTTTTACGGTTTAGATTCCATTTTTACTGTTTAGGTCCCATTTCTACTGTTTAGTCACCCAGTTTTATAACTCCAACAACTTTTTCACTTGTTATTTTATCTTATTTGCATTTAGTTGTGCTCAAGAATGAAATGAAGGATGAATTGAAATATAAAGTTTATTTGCCATGCGGAAAGACAGGAGTCAACACGGGTTGACCCATAAATGGAGTGTAATTTGGATAGTACGACGGGACATAGACGCTCCCGTCGACGCCAGGGATCACGCGAAAGCCGAGATGTCTGAAATTTGGATTCTCGAGAGGTCGAGATGTCGAGATCTTCATTTTCTAGATAACTAGAGGAAAAAAGGGGGACTGTAGACTGTAGACGGTGGACTTTTTGTACTGTAAATTTGTACGTATAGTTGTTTCCAGTACTTAAGCTTATAAGTACAGCATGGGTACTGTAAAGGGACTGTAAACGGTACTGTAAGTACTGTAAAAGTACTGTAAAAGGCACTGCAGCCAGATACTGTAATCAGAGCCTACTGTAGCCGATCAGAGCATACTGTAGCCGAATAGAGCATACTGTAGCCGATCAGAGCCTACTGTAGCCGATCAGAGCCTACTGTAGCCGATCAGAGCCTACTGTAGCCGATCAGAGCCTACTGTAGCCGATCAGAGCATACTGTAGCCGAATAGAGCATACTGTAGCCGATCAGAGCCTACTGTAGCCGATCAGAGCCTACTGTAGCCGATCAGAGCCTACTGTAGCCGATCAGAGCCTACTGTAGCCGATCAGAGCCTACTGTAGCCGATCAGAGCATACTGTAGCCGAATAGAGCATACTGTAGCCGATCAGAGCCTACTGTAGCCGATCAGAGCCTACTGTAGCCGATCAGAGCCTACTGTAGCCGATCAGAGCCTACTGTAGCCGATCAGAGCCTACTGTAGCCGATCAGAGCCTACTGTAGCCGATCAGAGCATACTGTAGCAACTTCTGTTACCTAGCTTCCTCCCTAACAACACTTGCCAATATTACAAAAAACTAACTTGTTATTTTGTTGGAGTTTCTTCAGGAAAGGCATCCCGGGAAGGCCTGAAAGAATCAAGAAATCTTTAAGAAATCAGAATATTAATAATTGAGAATATTAATAAATGAGAATATTAAAAAATAAGAATATTAATAAATGAGAATATTAATACCGTTAAAACTTTAATAGAACGAACTTTAATCGAATCAAATAACTGGATTTTCGCCTCCGATCCCCTCCTATGAACCCAGCTACTTCCCTTACCCTGGATGAACACAGGTAAAGTTTTTATCGTTACTAAAGCCTGGATCAGCTCCGGGAGAAGGCATGCCCAGCTCTGGATTAGAGCTTAGGTCAGTTGATGGGAAAGATAACCAGGGAATGATAGGAAAAGGCCAGTTGATAAAAAGCAAGGGGTACCGCAGCACGAGTACCCCAGGACACGAGTACAAACGGAATTTCAATAAATCGAAAAACTGATTGCTACAGGTTTTAGTGTGCGTTCCAGATAAGCTAAAAACGAAATATTTTGATCTGATTGTACCAAGTTTCAATTAAAAGCCTTAGGGTTAGTATCACAGCACAACCAGCACAAGGTTTAATCTCAGTAAATCAAAAATCTGATTGCAACAAGTTTTAGTGTGCATTCCAGATAAGCTAAAATCGAAATCCTTTTGGTTTGATTGCATCAAATTTTAACCAAAATACGGAGGGTCAGTATCGTAGCACAGCCAGCACAAAATTAAATCTCAGTAAATCGAAAATCTGATTGCTACTGATTTTAGTGTGCCTTCCAGATAAGCTAAAATCGAAATCCTTTTGGTTTGATTGCATCAAATTTTAACCAAAATACGGAGGGTCAGTATCACAGCACAACCAGCACAAGGTTTAATCTCGGTAAATCAAAAATCTGATTGAAACATATTTTAGTGTGCCTTCCAGATAAGCTAAAATCGAAATCCTTTTGGTTTGATTGCATCAAATTTTAACCAAAATACGGAGGGTCAGTATCGTAGCACAACCAGCACAAAGGTCAATTTGAGTAAATCGAAAATCTGATTGAAACATATTTTAGGGTGCCTTCCAGATAAGCTAAAATCAAAATACTTTTGAAATTGCTCCCTTCCCTGTTGGGATTCCGATACTAACCCTTCCAAGGTTCTGCAACCATAAAGCAAGACGTATTTTAACCAAAATTAGCAACACTGATTGATTCAGTGGGCTTCTATTAGAGTATTTACCGTAATCACTCACAATTCGAAATGGAAAGCTCGGCTTTCTATTTCACTTCGATGCTTACTTACCCGAGTACCAGGGAACCGCCGGATTTTGCGCTGATGTTATCGCGTCTTCACTGTAGAAATGACTCATCGAAAAGGGGTTTCTGGAAAAGTTTTTGAAAAGCTTTGAAAAGCTAAACGCTTGAAAGCTCAAAGCTAAACGATCGTAAAATCAACAGCTCAATCACTTGATTATTATTCTAGTTCTAGGGAAGTTCCCTAGACAAGTTCTATGGAATAAACTTGAGCAGAACCTAACGATCTCAGCTTTGCAGCAACTCCAAACAACTCACCCAATTTGCAGCAACTCCAAATCACTTTTCGACAAACCGCTCTTGGCTTTCGGTGGTCTGAATTTCGGTTGTATGAATATCGTAGATTTTCTACGATATTCTACCGTAGATTTTCTTAAATTAGCTACCAAAAAAACCCAGCCGGGACTCGAACCAGGGTCGCTCGGCGCGTGAGACAAGCTAGCTAACCACTCGGCCATCCGAACTTTGATCTATTTTTAATCGCTGAGCATTTCAAAAGGCTCTGTGAGTTCCAGGATTTACGGAAAACAGCTTCAATTCGCTTAATTTTAGAGATTTCGGGGGTATTTTCGAGAGATCTCAAATCAAGCAGTTAAACTCGAGAAAAACAAAGAATTTTCACCAAATAACAAGTTATTAGTGGGATCTGGATATCACATAACCCATCTAAAATCTTAGTTTTTAAAATTAAGCCAGAATTCTGGTGGCCGATTGGTTAGTGAGCTTGGTTCCAAGTCAAACGATCGAGGGTTCGAGTCCACTTGGCTCCAAAGCTCCAATCCAAGTCCACTTGGATTCCAAAAAGTTCTGTGACTTCCAGGATTCACAAAAAACAATTTCAATTAGCTTAACCTTCGAGATTTAGGTGGATTTTTTTGCAGATCTCGAATCAAGGCTTAAAGCCGAGAAAAAACTGAAAATTTCTACGAAACAACAGGTTCTTCGTGGGATCTGGATGTCACGTAAACCATCGAAAATCTTAGTTTTTAAAAATAAGCTAAAATTCTGGTGGCCGATTGGTTAGTGAGCTTGGCCATCTGAACTTTGATCTATTTTTAGTGGCTGATCATTTCAAAAGGTTCTGTGAGTTCCAGGACTTACGGAAAACAGCTTCAATTCGCTTAATTTTAGAGATTTCTGGGGTATTTTCGAGAGAGCTCAAATCAAGCAGTTAAACTCGAGAAAAACAAAGAATTTCGACAAAATAACAAGTTATTAGTGGGAACTGGATATCACGTAATCTATCTAAAATCTTAGTTTTTAAAAATAAGCTAAACTAAAAAATACGCTTTGTGGCCGAATGGTTAGTGAGCTTGGTTTCCAAGTCGAACCACCCGGGTTCGAGTCCGCTTGGTTCCAAATTTTTTGTTAGATTGAATTTTCGATTTTGGGACCTTTTGGCATTGAACTTACGGTGCTTCCCGTCCGAATTCGGCTTGTCCAAGGATTACGGTAGCCAGAGAACAAAGCAAAAACCACAACATTTTCAAATAGCAAAATTTGGCTCCACAAATGTACAAACAAATGGAAAATGAAAGATTTTTCGGGGAAAAGGTAGAAGAAAAGGCATTTCCATCAAAAGAAACCCTCAAAAACGTCTTTCTCTGCCCTTTTTTCGCCAAAATTTCCATCCAAAACAAAGAATTTTTTGACAAATTTCTCGATTTTCGCGAATTTCTCGATTTTCTCAAATTTCGCAAATTTCTCGATTTTTCCTTTGTCAATGCGTTCTGTGCGTTCCAGGATTGCCATTTTCAACAAAAAATTTATTACTTTACTTGAAAATTTCATTTTTTCAGGCCCCATCTCGTTTTCCTTTGATCGCGCCGAAAAGTTGACTAAAAAAGTCGTCCGGCCGGGTGGCTGAGGCCTGAAATGAGTGGTTTTTTAAAAGATTTGCAGGCATATGCAGATTTGAAGGATAAATTTAACCAAAATTACTGTAGATTTGTATCTTGACTTGCTACAGTATGCAAAAATTACAGTAGTTTTGAAAAATTACAGTAATCCTTATCTTAAACCTCTTCAGTCGCTTGATTAAATCGCTAGAAAACTGGAAAATTCAATTCTATAAAAAAAGAAGAAAAATTTGGAACCAAGCGGACTCGAACCCTCGATCGTTTGACTTGGAACCAAGCTCACTAACCACTCGGCCACCAGAATTTTAGCTTATTTTTAAAAACTAAGATTTTCGATGGATTACGTGACATCCAGATCATGCGAATAGCTGGTTATTTTGTGGAAATTCTTTGTTTTTCGCGACTTAAACAGCTTGATCTGAGATCTCTCAAAAATACCCCCGAAATCTCTAAATTTAAACAAAATGAAACGGTTTTCCGTAAATCCTGGAACTCACAGAGTCTTTTGAAATTTGAAATTTGAACTCACAGAGTCTTTTGAAAAAAATTCGGATGGCCAAGCTCACTAACCAATCAGCCACAAAAATTTTAGCTTATTTTTAAAAACTAAAGCTTTCAATGGATCGTGTGACATCCAGATCCCACTAATAACTTGTTATTTCGTGAAAATTCTTTGTTTTTCTCGAGTTTAACTGCTTGATTTGAGATCTCTCAAAAATACCCCCGAAATCTCGAAAATTAAACAAAATGAAACGGTTTTTCGTAAATCCTGGAAGTCACAGAACTTTTTGAAACAATCAGTGACTAAAAATGAATCAAAGTTTGGATGGCCGAGTGGTTAGCTTGCTTGTCTACCAGCCCGAGCGACCCTGGTTCGAGTCCCGGTTGGGTTTTTCAAACTTGGTATCTTCGAGCAATTTCGATGTGGTTAACTTGCTTGTCTGCTAGTTTAGGAAACGGATTTGGTTAGAGAGGAATACTCGACTCTAGAGTACTGTAGCTATGGATTGGGTAACTGAGCGGGGGCTAATCCTTGAGCTGGAGTTGAGCTGGAGTTTTAAGGGTTTCAAATCGTTTTAGGAAACGGCATTGGACTCTAGCTTTGTTCTGGAGCCTGGTGTACCACCCTGGATTGTTCTGGAGCCTGGTGTACCACCCTGGATTGTTCTGGAGCCTGGTGTACCACTCTGGACTGTTCTGGAGCCTGGTGTACCACCCTGGATTGTTCTGGAGCCTGGTGTACCACCCTGGATTGTTCTGGAGCCTAGTGTACCACTCTGGATTGTTCTGGAGCCTGGTGTACCACTCTGGACTGTTCTGGAGCCTGGTTTACCACTCTGGACTGTACAAGAGTACTTTTTTGTGTTTGGATTGAGTCTTAGGGCTGTGCCTAGATTCGAAATTCCTTATTAATTAATTTCTCTTCAAAACCTCGATTTTCTTATCGCCAACAGTCGCCTTTGAGCCCAAATCGACGCCTTTTTGCTTGTCGAAAGCGATCTTTCCGCCAGCTCCGTAGTCGGTGTTGTTGACGATGGCTGCGTGACCGCCTGGAAACGTCATTTACGTCAATTCGTCATTTTGCGCATACTTTAGCTTGATTTAGACTAGATTTCTAACATTTTTCGATAGTTTTTATTTAATTTAAGCTTTTTGCTCAGCAACAGGGCTTCGATTTTGTCTATTTTGACTATGATTCGATGCAGAATGAAATTGCGCGTCGAATGATACCAAAAACAACTCAAAATGTAATACCCATGCAAAGTTATGAGGCAAAAGGTTAAGCCCCGCCCATAAAGCAGCGTATATAAGGCAGCGTATGTAAGGTTGTGTTTCTAGGGCAGCGTATATAAGGCGCCTTATATAAGACCTTTCAAATGGACTTTAGACTGAAACAAAACAGACAAACAGTGACAAACAGCCTACAAGAAAAATAGATATCGAGGATTAGCTCAAAAAGACAGAAGATCGTAAGGACAGAAGATCGTAAAGACCGAAGCCAAGACCTTGAGGCCTGAGTCGAATCGTTTTCCGGGACAAGCTTATCGCAGCATTCTCTAATGAGAAGATAGAGAGAAGATACAGAGATGACAAGCTATAGAGATGAGAAGCTACAGAGCATCATCCTGATGAGAAGATATTCACCGTTCAGCAAGTTCTTAATAAGCAAAATGATCGAGTAGATGCCGCTTCCAATCCAGATTTTTTCCCTTTTCCACGCCCTCATTCAGAAATCGTTTCCGTAGCGGTGAAAGCGGATGGAAAGCTATCTTTGATTTGTCCCACAGATCTGTCTTTGATTTGTTCCACAGAACGAGTTTAAGCAATTAAGCACAGAACAAGTTTAAGCAAAGCTTATAAGCAAGCAAGTTTAAGCAATTCTCCTCTAAAACAGACAATAATCTGAGATCTGGACTACCGTAGTTTTGTTGGGGCTACTATAGCTCCAGAAACTTACTGTGCCTTCCAGAACGCTCAATTCTTTAACCAAAATCGAGAAGTTACTGTAGATCTGGCTTCTTTTGGCGGACTACTATAACGCCGGGTTACTGTAGTTTTGGATTACCATATTCCTGGGTTACTGTAACTCTAGAAACTTACTGTGACTTCCAGAATGCCCAATTCTTCAATAAAAATCCAGAAGTTACTGTAGCTCTGGCTTCTTTTGGCGGGCTACTGTAGCGCCGGGTTACTGTAGTTTTGGATTAGCATAATCATGGGTTACTGTAACTCTAGAAACTTGCTGTGACTTCCAGAATGCCCAATTCTTCAATAAAAATCCAGAAGTTACTGTAGCTCTGGCTTCTTTTGGCGGGCTACTATAGCGCTGGGTTACTGTAGTTTTCTGCAATCATATTCCTGGGCTACTGTAGCTCTAGAAACTTACTGTGACTTCCAGAAAGCCCAATTCTTCAAGCCATTGTAGAAAACTTTAGTTACTTTTCAAATAAAATAAAATAAACCCACTCTCAGTCTCGAGAGTCCCATTTCCCGAGACGAGTTTCAAATTCCCTTTGCTACCGTAGCCGAAAAAATTCGCCTCCTGGTTTACGCCGACCTCAACCTGTAAGTGGAAATTGAATTCGTGCTGTGCCCAATTCGCAAATTGAGCTTTGGCCTGTGCCTTCCAGATTGACCGTATCCTTCCAGATTGGCCGATCTTAGAGCTTCAGTCAGTTCCTGAGTGTCTTCCGGAGGAAAAAAATCAGGTCTTCCAAAGGAAAAATGCATTCGAATAGCATCTGCACACACATTTTCCAGTCCCCAGCCGGGTCTCGAACTTGCCGAGACTCGACTCGCCCGATCTGGGAGACAAACTAGCTAACCACTCGGCCATCCGAACTTTGATCTATTTTTAGTCACTGATAGTTTCAAAAGGTTCTGTGAGTTCCAGGATTTACGGAAAACAGCTTCAATTCGCTTAATTTTTGAGATTTTGGGGGTATTTTCGAGAGATCTCAAATCAAGCAGTTAAACTCGAGAAAAACAAAGAATTTCCACAAAATAACAAGTTATTAGTGGGATCTGGATGTCACGTATTCCATAGAAAATCTTAGTTTTTAAATATCAGCTAAAATTTTTGTGGCCGATTGGTTAGTGAGCTTGGTTCCAAGTCAAACGATCGAGGGTTCGAGTCCGCTTGGCTCCAGATTTTTTATTGTTTTTAGTCGCTGATCGTTTCAAAAGGTTCTGTGAGTTCCAGGACTTACGAAAAACAGTTTCGTTTAGCTGAAATGTTAAAATTTCGGCGTATTTTTGAGAGATCTCGAATCGAGACTTAAAATCGAACAAAAAACCGAAAATTTCTACAAAACAACAGGTTATTTGTCGGATCTGGATGTCACGTAATGCATAGAAATGCTTAGTTTTTAAAAATAAGCTACTTTTTGTGGGCAAGTGGCTAGCGCCAAAAATCACTCACTTTTCCGTCCTCGCGTTTGCCGAAATTCAAACTGCCGAACGGGAGCGGGATTTGGAATTGGGAAATGGCTGAAAATTAGCATTCAAAGAGAGATTTGCATTTAATTTCTCTTTTTCCGTCAACTCACCCACACAAACGACCGAAACCAAAAGGAAAAAAATTTGCTTTGCCATTTTTGAGTAATTGAATATTTTATTGGCTCTAGTGAGCTCCAGGATTGCGTTATCAAATCAAATCTCACCCTAAATATGCAAATTTCCCCGTCGGCAAAGGGAGTAACCTAATTTCCGCCTTTTTCCGCCTTTTTCGACGCCTTTTGATCGAAAATCGAACAACGAATGAGAAATTTGGCGCTAAATTCGTCTATTTTCAAACCAATTACCGTAATCCGTCCATTTCCGTCCATTTCCGTCTTTTTTTACCAAATTTTCATTTAAAACTATTTATTTGTGTGCAGTAAAGCCAAAAAGAGAGAAAACATTGCTGAATTCAAAGAGAAAACATATTAAAATCGAAAAAATTATCAGAAAAAACTGATGCCAAAAGATACCAAATTCAAAAAATTCAATTCTACAAAAAATTTTGGGCCAAGCGGACTCGAACCCTCGATCGTTTGACTTGCAACCAAGCTCACTAACCACTCGGCCACAGAGCTTATTTTTTAGTTTAGCTTATTTTTAAAAACTAAGATTTTCAATGGATTACGTGATATCCAGATCCCACTAATAACTTGTTATTTTGTGAAAATTCTTTGTTTTTAGCGACTTAAGCAGCTTGATTTGAGATCTCTCGAAAATACCCCCGAAATCTCCAAATTTAAACAAAACGAAACGGTTTCTGGTAAATCCTGGGACTCACAGAACCTTTTGAAATGATCAGCGACTAAAAATAGATCAAAGTTCGGATGGCCAAGCTCACTAACCACTCGGCCACCAGAATTTTAGCTTATTTTTAAAAACTAACGTTTGCTATAGATTACGTGATATCCAGATCCGACGAATAACCTGTTGTTTCGTAGAAATTTTCAGTTTTTTCTCGGTTTTAAGCCTTGATTCGAGATCTGCAAAAAAATACGCCGAAATCATGAAGGTTAGGCTAATTAAAACTGTTTTTCGTGAATCCTGGAACGCACAGAACTTTTTGGAACCCAAGTGGACTTGGATTGGAGCTTTGGAGCCAAGCGGACTCGAGCCCGGATCGTTTGACTTGGAACCAAGCTCACTAACCAATCGGCCACAAAAATTGTAGCTTATATTTCAAAACTGAAGCTTTCAATGGATTACGTGACATCCAGATCCCACTAATAACTCGTTATTTTGTCGAAATTCTTTGTTTTTCTCCATTTTAACTGCTTGATTTGAGATCTCTCGAAAATACCCCCGAAATCTCTAAAATTAAGCGAATTGAAGCTGTTTTCCGTAAATCCTGGAACTCACAGAGCCTTTTGAAATGCTCAGCGACTAAAAATAGATCAAAGTTCGAATGGCCGAGTGGTTAGCTAGCTTGTCTCCGAGCCCGAGCGACCCTGGTTCGAGTCCCGGATGGGTTTTTCAAACTTGGTATCTTTCGGTAATTTTTGATGCAAATGGCAGAGGAGAATTAAACTCTTCGAATTATGACTGGGATACGGTAGAAATTGAACAGAAAAGTCTGGGAAATTCAAAAATGGGACAAAATTGAGAGTTTGCGGCTGAAAAATCTCGGAGAGTTGGGAAAAAGGAAAATTTGCGCGAAAAATCGCAAATCTGGAAAGCATTTGTTCAGTGTACATAGGAATTGCGCGGAAAAAATGGACTAGAAAATTTTCGACATTTTCGACATTTTACAAAAAGAAATATGCAAATTTTCACGAATTTCAATTGAAAATCGAATTTTGTCTGTAAAATCGACATACTTTTCGCGAAAAACAACGGCCATTTTTTGGCCTTGTTACAGTAATTTTGAAGAAAATTGTAAAAAGTTGAGAAAAGTTGAGAGGAATTCAAGAAAACAGCCGAATAGTTGCGTAGATGATGAGTCGAAGCGACGAACTAGGCCCAGATCTGAAACTTGTGCGTTTTGATTGAAGAATTGGGCGTTCTGGAAGTCACAGTAAGTTTCTAGAGTTACAGTAGCCCATGATTATGCTAATCCAAAACTACAGTAACCCGGCGCTACAGTAACCCGCCAAAAGAAGCCAGAGCTACAGTAACTTCTGGATTTTTATTGAAGAATTGGGCGTTCTGGAAGTCACAGTAAGTTTCTAGAGTTACAGTAGCCCAGGAATATGATTGCAGAAAACTACAGTGACCCAGCGCTATAGTAGCCCGCCAAAAGAAGCCAGAGCTACAGTAACTTCCGGGTTTTTATTGAAGAATTGGGTTTTCTGGAAGTCACAGCAAGTTTCTAGAGTTACAGTAACCCATGATTATGCTAATCCAAAACTACAGTAACCCGGCGCTACAGTAGCCCGTCAAAAGAAGCCAGATCTACAGTAACTTCTCGATTTTGATTGAAGAATTGGACTTTCTGGAAGTCACAGTAAGTTTCTACAGTTACTGTAACCCCTAGCACAAAACCACGGTAGTCCAGATCTCAGAGCTACAGTAACCCTACAGTAATCTCGAGCTACAGTAACCCTATAGTAATCTTGAGCCAAAGTCACCCTAACGTACCCGAATTGTGCAATCCCAGCTGGCCGAACAGATGGCCGTCCCGTCGGGCGACGTTCGCAGGCAACTAATCCGATTCTCGTGCCCGTAAAGTACCGAGTGTCGAACCACCTAAAAAATAAAGACTAAAGTAGCTTTAAATCTGTTCCCTAAACCGTGCCAAAACATACCAAACTGGAAAATTCAATTCTACAAAAAAAAGCAGAAAAATTTGGAACCAAGCGGACTCGAACCCGCGACCGTTTGACTTGGAACCAAGCTCACTAACCACTCGGCCACCAGAATTTTAGCTTATATTTAAAAACTAAAGCTTTCAATGGATTACGTGACATCTAGATCCCACTAATAACCTGTTATTTTGTGGAAATTCTTTGTTTTTCTCGGTTTTAACTGCTTGATTTGAGATCTCTCGAAAATACCCCCAAAATCTCAAGAATTAAGCTAATTGAAGCTGTTTTTCGTAAATCCTGGAACTCACAGAGCCTTTTGAAATGCTCAGTGACTAAAAATAAATCAAAGTTCGAATGGCCAAGCTCACTAACCATTCGGCCACCAGAAGTTTAGCTTATATTTAAAAACTAATGCTTTCAATGGATTACGTGACATCCAGATCCCACGAATAGCCTGTTATTTTGTGGAAATTCTTTGTTTTTCTCGAGTTTAACTGCTTGATTTGAGATCTCTCGAAAAAACCCCCAAAATCTCGAAAATTAAGCGAATTGAAGCTGTTTTCTGTAAATCCTGGAACTCATAGAACCTTTTGAAATGATCAGCGACTAAAAATAGATCAAAGTTTGGATGGCCGAGTGGTTAGCTTGCTTGTCTACCAGCCCGAACAACGCAGGTTCGAGTCCCGGCAGGGTTTTTCAAATTGGTTTTTTTAAAAACTAAGATTTTCTCTGGATTACGTAACATCCAGATCCCACTAATAATTTGTTATTTTGTCAAAATTTTGAGTTCTTCTTCGTTTTAACGGCTTGATTTGAGATCTCTCGAAAATATGCCGAAATTTTAGCATTTAAGCTAATTGAGGCTGATTTTCTGTAAATCCTGGAACTCACAGAACCTTTTGAAATGCTCAGTGACTAAAAATAGATCAAAGTTCGGATGGCCGAGTGGTTAGCTTGCTTGTCTCTCAGCCCGAACGACCCTGGTTCGAGTCCCGGCTGGGTTTTCTTGGTATTCTACAATAATCTCGGCTTCTTCTTCACCAAATAAAGCTAGTTGCCCTTTTTTCTGTCTTTCTCACCTTCAGCGAGTCCCAGACGCCGACGCGATAATCCCCATAGCCGGCAAAGAGGATTCGGCCTGAAATTGGAAATGAAATGAAATGGATTATCTTTCGAATTGGATGTCACGCTAGCTAAAAAAGATGATTTTCAGGTCGTTCTGGGTAATTTAGAGCTTCCACTACAGTACTATGCACAGTACTAATACTACAACTTTTCGCATTTTTTCAATTTTCATTTTTTCTCGTGCGCTCCAGCTTTCCAATTGCACTCACCCGATAACGAGAAATCAACGCCGTTCACCGGGAAAAGGATCGATTCTTTCTCGTAGACGCACACTTGACGATCCGCGCGCAAATCGAAGAGACGGCACTGAAAAAGACGGCAAATTGGGAAAGCAGAAAGAGAATGGAAAGCAGAAAGAGCAAATCTCTTGTTTCTTTTCAATTTCTACAATTTCTCACCGACGCATCATCAGATCCAGTCGCAAAAGCGTCGCCGTTAGGATGAAATCTAGAAAATCGTTTATTATGTTTAGTTAGCGAGAACTCAACGCTCATTACAGTAGCCTCCCGTAGCCTACAGTAACCTACAGTAAACTACGATCGAGCTCTAAGGCTTTGTCGTTTGGGATCGTTTATTATTGTCAGCTCCGAGCCAAATTGATATTTTAGTTACTATCGTTATTATTGAATGATTTGTCTATTCTTATGCAAGTGTGTTGCCCTGTGCTTATCCCCTTTATCGCCGAGGCGGTCCTTGGGATTGCCTAGGAGGACCTAGGAGCCTAGGAGGACCTAGGAGCCTAGGAGGACCTAGGAGCCTAGGAGGACCTAGGAGCCTAGGAGGACCTAGGAGCCTAGGAGGACCTAGGAGCCTAGGAGGACCTAGGAGCCTAGGAGGACCTAGGAGCCTAGGAGGACCTAGGAGCCTAGGAGGACCTAGGGAGCCTAGGAGGACCTAGGAGCCTAGGAGGACCTAGGAGCCTAGGAGGACCTAGGAGCCTAGGAGGACCTAGGAGCCTAGGAGGACCTAGGAGCCTAGGAGGACCTAGGAGCCTAGGAGGACCTAGGAGCCTAGGAGGACCTAGGAGCCTAGGGAGGACCTAGGAGCCTAGGAGGACCTAGGAGCCTAGGAGGGACCTAGGAGCCTAGGAGGACCTAGGAGCCTAGGAGGACCTAGGAGCCTAGGAGGACCTAGGAGCCTAGGAGGACCCAGGAGCCTAGGAGGACCCAGGAGCCTAGGAGGATGTAGGGGCGTAGGAGAACCTAGGAGCCTAGGAGAACCTAGGAGCGTTGGAGGACCTAGAAGGACCTAGAAAGACCTAGGAGGACCTAGAAGGACCTAGGAGGACCTAGGAGGACCTAGAAGGACCTAGGAGGACCTAGAAGGATCTAGGAGGACCTAGAAGGACCTAGAAGGACGTTGTCTTGAGTTGGTGGGGTGTTAGAGATGGCGGGACATCAAAAGGATCCACTCTCTTTAGTTTAACCCAAATTCTAGTCCATATCCGTTTATACCTAGGAACGAAAATGATGTTGTTATGTTGTTTATTGTGTTGTTTAGTTTGGCGAAAGCTCAGCGCACGTTACAGTAGCCTACAGTGACCTACAGTGACCTACAGTGACCTACAGTAACCTACGATAGAGCTCTAAGGCTCTAAAGAAACTTTACAGTCACCGTATTGAATCTATTTCCCATCGCCAACCTAACAGTGTTGATGTCCGCTTCATGTCCTTCAAAAGATTGCACGCATTGCCCAGATCGAATATCCCAGACGAGAGTGTGCTTGTCAGCGCCCTGAAATCGAAAAATTACGATCAAATAATACAGTAAACATGTAAAAATCTGTCCGTTCTTTTTTGCCTTTGGCAAGGTAAAGTTTTTCCTGTTTTTCTCAGCACTAACGCTTTTATTTCGCCTATTTGGACTATGATTCGATGCAGAATGAAATTGCGAGTCGAATGACATCAAAAACAACTCAAAATCTTTTTCCCATGTAAAGTTATGGAGCAAAAAGTTAAGCCCCTCCCATAATGGACGTGGTTTAGGTTTTTAGCCAACAAATTTGGCTCTATTATATATTTTGAGTTAATTTTGACCATCATTAAATACAGAATGGAATTGCGCGTCGAATCATACCAAAACCAATTCAAAACCTTTTTCACTATGCAAAGTTATGGAGCAAAAAGTTAGGCCCTCCCATTATGGGCTTGGTGAGGTTTTTACCCCATAAATTTGCATGGAAAAAAACATTTTGAGTTCATTTTGGTATCATTCGACGCGCAATTCGATTCTGCATCGAATCATCGTCAAAATAAATGAAACCAAAGGGTTAGTGCTGAGAAAAAAACGAAAAAAAGTGAATTGCCAACAGCAAAAGGCTAGGTCGAGATTTTTAGCCAACAACTTTGCCTCTATCCTACATTTTGTGTTAATTTTGACCATCATTAAATACAGCATGAAATTGCGCGTCGAATGATACCAAAAGCAACTCAAAATATGATATCCATGCAAAGTTATCGGCTAAAAACCTAAGCCACGTCCATTATGGGCGGGGCTTAACTTTTTGCTCCATAACTTTGCATGGGAAAAAGCTTTTGAATTGTTTTTGGTGTCATTCGACGCGCAATTTCATTCTGCATCGAATTATAGTCAAAACAGCCAAAATGCGATACCCTGTTGCCGAGAAAAACACGAAAAACCTTAAACTGCCAGACAGACGATGTTTTCAGACGATTTCAGTTACAAATCTCGTCTACAAAGCCAGTAAGTACAAAATCTCGTCTACAAAGCCGTCTACAGCTGGCTGCCGTTAGCAGGCTGCCGTTAGCATGCTGCCGTTAGCATGCTACAGCTGCCGTCTACAGCTGCCGTCTACAGCTGCCGTTAGCAGCCAGTTTTTAAAGCTAATTTTCATGTTTAGAAACGTTTTAGGCAGGCGTTTTAGGCAAAAGGTAGTGCAAAATAACCCCTTACCGCTGAAATAAAGATGTTTCCGGTGTCCTGCTTCGGCACATCGACCGCAAAAACGTCTCCAGTGTGCCCGTGAAAATTTTGGATCATTTGCCCGCTTTCTACATCCCAAATTGCACACGTTGAGTCACCGGATCCTAAGAAAAATCAAATTTAAGAGATCTAAGAGATCTAAAAGATCTAAAAGATCAAATCTAAGAGATCTAAGAGATCTTTTCGTATATAAGACGGCCTTTCGCGTATATAAGACGGCCTTTTGCGTATATAAGACGGCGCTTTCGATTCGTTTCAAAGATTAAAAGATAAAAAGATCAAATGTAAGAGATCTAAAAGATTAAACGGTCAAATCTCCAACGCACCAGTTAACAGAAGGTTGTCGGATCGCAGGAACATACAACAAGACATATAAGACGTATGCGTGGCCACACTTCTCTTCTTTTGCAAAATATCGTCCTCGAAAGAAAGCGGAACGACAGAGCATTTGTTGTCCAAACCGCTGAAAAGTGTTCATAAATCACTTAAGCAACAATCGCTGTTTAAGCACTTAAATGCTACGGTACAGTACGGTACAGTACGCGTACAGTACGCGTTACGGTACGGTACAGCGCGCGTTACGGTACAGTGCGCGTTACGGTACAGTACGCGTTACGGTACAGTACGCGTACAGTACGCGTACAGTACGCGTACAGTACGGTACAGTACGCGTGAACAGGTACAGGTACAGCTGGATACTGTACTAAACTAGTCATCTGCAGTATAGCATCTTGCACAGGTCAAGCCAAGTAATGCACTAGATCCAGCCACCCAAATAGTACAGTCGCCGATCTGGGGAAGGTCTAGAAGCTGTTCCAGGCCCGGTAAAGGTATAGAAGGCTTTTGCGTATCTAAGGCGGCTTTTTGGGTATATAAGGCAGCTTTTTGGGTATATAAGGCGGCTTTTTGGGTATACAGGCGGCTTTTGCGTATATAAGGCGGCTTTTTGGGTATATAAGGAGCTTTTTTCGTATAAAGGCGACCTTTTACGTATATAAGGCGGCTTTTTTCGTATATAAGGCGCTTTTTGCGTATATAAGGCGCTTTTTTCGTATAGAAGGCGCTTTTTTCGTATATAAGACGGCTTTTTTCGTATATAAGACCCTTTTTTGGTATTGAAGGCGCTTTTTAGGTATATAAGACGGCTTTTTTCGTATATAAGGCGGCTTTGGCGTATATAAGGCGGCTTTTTTCGTATATAAGGTGGCATTTTGCATATAAGGCGGCTTTTTTCGTATATAAGGCGGCCTTTTGCGTATATAAGACGGCGCTTTCGATCCGTTTCAAAGCGTTTCCCCCACTCACCCGCAAGCGATCATCTGACTGCTCGGCGAATATGCACAAGCCATCACCCAAGTGGTCGGCATCGTCAACGCGTGCTCTTTGTTCGTCGTGAAACCGTCCCAAACGATCACCTTGCCGTCCTGAAAGTTACCGTAATAAGTAGCGTAATTTGGCGTACTGTAGCGTACTGTAGCGTACTGTACTAGCGTACTGTAGCGTACTGTAGCGTGGCCAATTATCAGCTTTTTTACCTGACTCGAGGACACAATATGTCTCTTGTCGGTACTCCAATCCATGCAAAGCACTTTCCCGGCGTGTCCCTTCAGAATTCTCCGCTGCTTAATTCCGAGATTCTGCAGAGGATCGAGTCTTTCAGCGGCTTGTTGAACTAGAAAGTTGGAAATGAAAATTGTACTGCTGCTGACTGCTACAAGGCCTGCTACAAGACCTTGCTATGATTTGAAGGATACCAAGCTTCGAAAACCCAGCCGGGACTCGAACCAGGCTCACCCGACTGGGAGACAAGCTAGCTAACCACTCGGTCATCCGAACTTTGATTCATTATTAATCGCTGACCATTTCAAAAAGTTCTGTGAGTTCCAGGATTTACGGAAAACAGCTTTAATTCGGTTAATTTTCGAGATTTTGGGGGTTTTTTCGAGAGATCTCAAATCAAGCAGTTTAAACCGCGAAAAGCAAAGAATTTCCACAAAATAATCAGCTATTCGTCGGATCTGGATGTCACGTAATCCATAGAAGCTCTTAGTTTTTAGAATTAAGCTAAAATCCCTGTGGCCGAGTGGTTAGTGAGCTTGGTTTCCAAGTCGAACAACCCGGGTTCGAGTCCACTTGGCTCCAAACCTCCAATTCAAGTCCGCTTGGGTTCCAAAAAGTTCTGTGAGTTCCAGAACTCACGAAAAACAATTTCAATTAGCTTGACCTTCGAGATTTAAGTGGATTTTTTTGCAGATCTTGAATCAAGGCTTAAAACCGAGAAAAAACTGAAAATTTCTACGAAACAACAGGTTATTCGTCGGATCTGGATATCACGTAATCCATCGAAAATCTTAGTTTTTAAAAATAAGCTAAAATTCTGGTGGCCGATTGGTTAGTGAGCTTGGCCATCCGAACTTTCATCTATTTTTAGTCGCTGATCGTTTCAAAAGGTTCTGTGAGTTCCAGAATTTACGGAAAACAGCTTGAATTCGCTTAATTTTAGAGATTTCGGGGGTATTTTCGAGAGATCTCAAATCAAGCTGTTTAAGTCGCGAAAAACAAAGAATTTCCACAAAATAACAAGCTATTCCTAGGATCTGGATATCACAGAATCCATCAAAAATCTTAGTTTTTAAAAATAAGTTAAACTAAAAAATAAGCTTTGTGGCCGAATGGTTAGTGAGCTTGGTTTCCAAGTCGAACAACCCGGGTTCGAGTCCGCTTGGCTCCAAATTTTTCTGCTTTTTTTGTAGAATTGAATTTTTCACTTTGTTATCTGTTGGCATCAGCTTTTCACGTAAATGCTATGATATTTACAAGCTCGCGTAGTTGATTCGGTTCGACTTTTTGAGCCTAGAGCTCGGTTGGTCCTAGTTTCACTACAAAGCCGTTTCTGTATCATTAATGAACCTTAAAACACTTATATCCAAAAGGTCTACGATCCAGATACTATCCAGATGCTATCCAGATAATCTAACGAATTTTATTTCTATCGAAATCTATTCTATTTCTAAGCCAGATCTCGCTACGCATCTTTTAAGTTGAGAACGAACGGTTGAAAACGAAAATTTTTTTAAATAATCAGACTATAAAACTAAGATTTCCAGATTGTAGCCTGACATCCAGATTGGCCAAAAAAGCATTTAGTTTTTGTCAATTTTCCAAGAAAATCTGAGATTTTAAGCTGAAAACGAACTGTTCAGAAAAGTCCATTCTTTAAATTAGTCAGACTAGGAAACTAAGACTTTCAGATTGTAGCCTGACATCCAGCTTAGCCAAAAATGCATTTAGTTTTGTCAATTTTCCAAGCAGATTTTCAGATTTTAAGCGGAGAAGGAACCGTTCAGAAATTAAATTTTTTAAATTAGTCAGACCAGGAAACTAAGCTTTTCAGATTGTAACCTGACATCCAGCTTGGCCAAAAAGGCATTTAGTTTTGCCAAGTTTTCAACCAGATTTTCAGCTTTTAAGTGGAGAAGGAACGGTTCAGAAATCAAAATTTTTAAATTAGTTAGACCAGAAAACTAAGACTTTCAGATTGTAGTCTGACATCCAGCTTAGCCAAAAATGCATTTAGTTTTGTCAATTTTCCAAGCAGATTTTCAGATTTTAAGCTGACAAGGAACGGTTGAAAACGAAAAATTTTTCCTTTGTTCCTGTAAAAGCACTATTAGCGTAGGACTACTTTGTGACATCCAGATCTTGTAAAAATCAAAAAAATTCGGTTGTCTATCTTGTAAAAGTCTACAAAAACCCACTCGGAATGTCGTTCAACTTTTGCCGTTCCAAATCCAACTTTTTCCTCAGCTCTTCGGCCTCTTTCGCCAGCAAATCGATCATGTCAGCTTGTCTAGAAAATGACATTGAAAAGGAGGTAGAATATGGAGTAAAGATCTAGAATAAAGATCGAGAAAATGGATCGAGAGCTAGATAATCGAGAAGTAGATAAGTGCTTTTTAAGCTCTTGTTCTTTAAGCTCTTCCTTTTCAAGCTCTTCCTCTTTAAGCTCTTCCTTTTTAAGCCCCTTCCTGCTATAACAATGGCCACTAATTGACACAGAAAACTTGGTTTTCTTCCAGAAAGTTTTTCCATCAAAAACTTTCGATTTCTAGGGTTTAGACCTGTTTTAGATTCGTTTTAAATTCGTTTTCGCTTTGTTTTCGCTTTGTTTTTCTAGTTCTTAGTTCATTTTCTCTATATCTGAATCTTTTTTTGGTCTATTTACATAAGGTTTTTCTTTATTTAAAAGAAAAATGATCCAAAAAACCCTATAGATTTCAAACATTCAGGAAATTCGGTTTTCTTCAAAAACCTTTCCGTTTTACGAGCTAAACTTTAGCTTTCTAAGCTCTAGATCGGTTTTAGAGTCTTAGAGCTGTTTTTGGATCAGTTTTCTATATCGGAATCTATTTTTGATCTATCTAAATGAGTTTTTCTTATCCAAAAAACCCTATTGACTTCAAACATTCAGAAAACTGTTCTAAAAACTGTTCTAAAAACGGTTTTCTTTAAAAACCTTTCCGTTTTACGAGCTAAACTTTAGCTTTCCAAGCTCTAGATCGGTTTTAGAGTTTTAGAGAGTGTTGCTTTTAGAACAGTTTTCTATATCTGAATCGGTTTTTGATCTATCTAAATCGATTTTTGACTCTCTTTCTACCCGTACCTTGTCGCATTGTCGGCGGCGGCGGTCGGAGCCACTGCGGCATTCTCGGGCATCTTTACACCAGCCTAAAACAGTATAAAACAGTACAAAACAGTACAAAACAGTACCCTTTTGCCGTTAGAGCTTTTTTTGAATAACTGAATACTCTGATTTGAACATTTGTGTAGTTTTAACGTTAAAGGGGGGTATTAACCGCGGCCGGGTGACAATAAAAATTTTTTTACGGCAACCACCTGTTTTTTTGTTTTAATATCGCTGATTTTATTATAAAAAGAATAAAAATCACCCGGCTAGAGTGATTTGATGGGTTTACAACATTTTTGGAGATGCTGCAAGGCTTGGAGGAAAACCAGATCGTCACTCATCTGGTCGATCGATAGCTGGTCGATCGATAGCTGGTCGATCGATAGTTAATCTATAATTCTTCCTCTTGCTCACTTTCATCTTCGCTCAAATACAGCAGTTCGGCTCAAGTACAGCAGTACAAATCGGCTTCCTATCTTATCAATTTCCAGCGCATCTTCACCAAAAGTGACTGGATCTCCTCCATCGTAGGACGTCTTCAGCGCTTTGTCTTCAGCGATTGACACAATTAGATCTTTTTTCATTTGTGGTCGCTTATGGTTTTAGTTTCCTCAAATAGGTGCCTTTTAGCTGAGGTGTCTGATGAGTGACGAACTTGTTTTCCTCCAAGCCTTGCAGCATCTCCAAAAATGTTGTAAACCCATCAAATCACTCTAGCCGGGTGATTTTTATTCTTTTTATAATAAAATCAGCGATATTAAAACAAAAAAACAGGTGGTTGCCGTAAAAAAAATTTTTATTGTCACCCGGCCGCGGTTAATACCCCCCTTTAATAGCGTAAGCTGGAGCACACCGGAGAGCCTGGAGCTTGTAGAAGTTAGATATGGATTAGTTGGATAAAATCTATAGCTACACTATAGAGAACTACATCTATCGCTACTCTACGCTACCCCCTTTAAATTGAACGCTAGATTCGGGTTGGATTTGGCGAAATTTTTCAAAATTCCGTTTGGATCTCGAATCGGACTAGATTCAAGTTTCTAGACTCAATTCGATCTCTGAATTTACTGGATCCTTTTCTTTTGCTCATTTTTCAACTCTCCTTTTCTTCTTCTTCAAAATCAAAAAAAAATAGAGACGAAATGGGCTAAAGTTAAGAATTGTCACTTGCTCTGGCTTTGCCTTTCGATAACTGACTGTTTGAATAAGCCCTAACCCTCCGGCTAGCGTAAATTTAAGCAAACAAGAAAATTCCAGCGATTTCGCAGCCATTTAACCCTTTTGGCCAACAGCTTCAAAGCTTTGCGTTTCAAATCTTCCCGACGCTTATTCCTCTTTTCTGAGTGCGCAGAATTTGTTCATGTTTCGCGAATTTCTTAGCTGGAGTGCACTGAGCTGGAGTGCGATATTTCAGATTTCAAATTTTTGATCTATCGTTACAACTTTTTGTAGTGCACGGGAAAAGGGAAAAAGATTTTAGTAAAAAATCTGGGTCAATCAAAAATCTGAACTCTAAAAATTCTAGTGTGACATCCAGATAGAAGAAAAAAAAGCAATTTGGATAAAATTGCTTTTGTCAATTTTGCGGAATTGCGGCAAACTCTTGCGAGTGCACATCGAGTACAAATTTTTTGCTAAAAACCAACAATCTAAATCATAGAAATTCTAGTGTGATATCCAGATCGAAGAAAAATCGGAATTAAAATCAAATTCCTCTTTCCAATTTTGCGGAATAGTCGCAAACTCTTGCGAGTGCATATCGAGTACAAATTTTTTGCTGAAAATCAAAAATCAAAATCATAGAAATTCTAGGGTGACATCCAGATCGAAGAAAAATCGGAATTAAAACTAAATTCCTCTTACCAATTTTTTGGAATAAGCACGAACTCACGAAATGTCAAGAGTTTGGGACTTTTCTGAAAAACTGGGAAGAGGAATTTGATTTTAATTGTCTTTTTTCTTCGATCTGGATATCACACTAGAATTTCTATGATTTAGATTTTTGATTTTCAGCAAAAGATTAGTACTCGATGTGCACTGCCAAGAGTTTGCGAGTATTCCGCATTGAGTACAAATTTTTTGCTAAAAATCAACGATCTAAATCATAGAAATTCTAGAGTGATATCCAGATCGAAGAAAAAAGACAATTAAAATCAAATTCCTCTTCCCAGTTTTTCAGAAAAGTCGCAAACTCTTGACATTTCGTGAGTTCGTGCTTATCCCAAAAAATTGGTAAGAGGAATTTGATTTTTATTGCGTTTTTTCTTCGATCTGGATATCACACTAGAATTTCTATCATTCAGATTGTTGATTTTCAGCAAAACATTTGTACTCGATGTGCACTCGCAAGAGTTTGCGAGTATTCCGCAAAACTGGAAAGAGGAATTTAGTTTTAATTCCGTTTTTTCTTCGATCTGGATGTCACACTAGAATTTCTATGATTCAGATTAGAAAACGGATTGAAATCGAGTCTACTCACTTGCGAGGTGCTCGGTCGGTCGGCGTCGATTTTCGGTGAACCCGATTCGCTCATTTAGAAATTCGCTGAATCCAGAAAAGCCCACTTTTTTGAAGGAATATTACAACAACATCGTTTGCTTGGAAAAGATTGATCTGAAAATGTTTTTTTTTAAAAATTGAATCCTTTTAAGCAAAGTTAAAGGGAGAAAAATCGAAAAAATGAAAAAAAAACAGGAAAGAAATTGGTTTAAAAAAATACTGAGGCTCTTTCCCTGAATCGCGGTGTTTTGTGGTCTACAATAAGCCTAGAATAAGTCTAGAATAAGTCTAGAATAACAATAAGAAGGGGGGCAAAGAGATGCGCCACAAATCGTGACGATCAACAGCCAAGACTCGAAAGCGAGACGATCAACAGCCAAGAAAATGGAGCCAAGAAGATGGAGCCAAGAAGACGCTGAGGGACCAATTGAAATTTCCGGATTGGCTCTGACGGGCAGAAGCCCGCAGAAGCCTACAGAAAGCCTGCAGAAAGCCTGCAGAAGCCTGCAGAAGGCAGAATTCATGCTTTGCTGAGCTGAGACGGCTAGCCATCGATTGGTGAACAGGCATCAAGCCACCACCAAAAGAAACTACCGGCTATAATGCAAACACTGGACGCTGAAGCCGATAACGATGTCGTTCTACCTCTATTGGCTCGAGTTGAGGCACTAAGGGCCAATAATTCGGGCCGATAAGCATCCGGCTGATAAGCATCGGGCCGATAAACATAGCCAATAAAAGATGCTGGTTTTGTAACTCGATGGCTGGAAACATCTTACGGCAAACATCCCCAGATGGCCGGATGGCAAGTGGCCACGGTAGAGAGAAAGCTTCTGTGCCGTGGCCACTTCAAGGGGCCAACGTTGGGCGAAATAGCACAGAATTCTTTGTGTTTTAACAGGACAAGTCAAGTTGACAAGGATGTCTCTCTTGGTCAGCTGAAGGCTAGCTCTGAAGGCCAGCTCTGAAGGCCAGCTCTGAAGGCCAGCAATGAAGGCCAGCAATGAAGGCCAGCAATGAAGGCTAGCTATAAAGGCTAGCTCTGAAGGCTAGCTATGACAGCTAGCTTCACAAACATTGCGTGCCCGAGGAAACGGAAAATGGCGTGTCAAGTCTTGCGTTTTACTGGGATACTAAAATTGTTGTTCTTACAATTGTCCTTTAAATTCTGATCAAATAAACTGGTGCATGTGGAACTTTCAAAGACCAAGAGACTTTTAAAAGACCAGGAAACTTTCAAAGGACCACCAGCCTTCAAAGGACCACGAGACTTTTAAAAGACCACGGAACTTTCAAAGGACCACGGAACTTTCAAAGGACCACGGAACTTTCAAAGGACCACGGAACTTTCAGAGGACCACGGAACTTTCAGAGGACCACGGAACTTTCAAGGGACCACGGAACTTTCAAAGGACCACGGAACTTTCAAAGGACCACGGAACTTTCAGAGGACCACGGAACTTTCAAAGGACCACGGAACTTTCAGAGGACCACGGAACTTTCAAAGGACCACGGAACTTTCAAAGGACCACGGAACTTTCAGAGGACCACGGAACTTTCAGAGGACCACGGAACTTTCAAGGGACCACGGAACTTTCAAAGGACCACAAGACTTTAAAAAGACCACGAGACTTTTAAAAGACCACGGAACTTTCAAAGGACCACCAAACTTTCAAAGGACCACGAGACTTTAAAAAGACCATGATTCAGAGAAAGAGCCAAATTATCCAATCCATTATCCAAAAAAGGTCAACTTTTGACCGCTTTCTGGTCCAGAAAGCGGACGAAAAGACCCGCTTTTCTGGACAAAAGCCCAGAAATCGGTTTATTTACTCACTTGGGTAAGTAAACTGGCTCGAAGTTCGCTTAAAAACAAAAGAAACAATAGCAAGTTACTAAATGACATCCAGATAAAGATCTAGTACAGAAATCATCGATATAAATGTTATCTAAAGGCTTTAAAGGCCTAGGAACCGGTTTGGTTACCCACTTGGGTAACTGAACCGGCCTGAAATTGGCTCAAGACGCTGAAAATGATAACAAGTTACTAAATGACATCCAGATAAAGATCTAGTACAGAAATCATCGATATAAATTTTATCTAAAGACTTTAAAGACGGAGAGATCGATTCATTTGGTAATTAAACCGATTCAAAACCAAAACCAGCTCAAAACTAAAAGAAAAGCGGCTCAAAAACAAAACCAAAGCAGCTACAAAGCTGTTACAAAGCTAAAACACAGGCGGCTACAAAGCCAAAGCTGCTACAAAACCGAATTTTCTTTTTGTTCAAAAAGAAAATGCGATTCCGGAGTACTCAGCGAAGGCTGAGGGTGATGTGGGCCATCTTTCAGCAAAAGATAAGCAAACTAGAGAGGATTTGAGAAAAAGGGCGACCAGAGAGGGCCTGGGCACCCCTTTCTCCCTGGCGAACCGCCGCGCGACCACCTAGCCCCGGCGTCGCGCTCCTTTTTCCAGGACTACTGCCTTTTCTCCTCTGAAACTCCAGCGGATCACCGATATTTTCTTTTTTTTGAGCTTTCTGGAACGCACAGCACCCTTTTGTGTTTTTGGTTTTTCTCGTTTCTCTCTTTTTAGCTCAGTCACTTTATCCATCTCCTACTCTTACTAGTTTACCCACTTTTTAGCTAGTTTCTGGTCTTTTTGAGGGATATGGATGTCACAAGGAATCCTGATATCTTTTTCTTTTCAATATCTTGAGTCAGCAAGCTTTGAGTCTAACCAGGTTATTCAGCTAACAAGTCTACAGGTGTCAAAGTGCTCGGAGTGCTTTTAGGGGAAAAGAAGCAATTCAGGGTCTCCTGTGCGCTCCAGATAGCACAAATATTTCTTTAAAATACTCAAATCCTTAGCCATTCATCCTAAACAGTGAGCCAGAAGGGACGCGTTTGCATCAAATCACCAAGTACGTTTTTTAGCCAAACTGAATAGTTCAGAGTTCCTTGTGACTTCCAGATAGCTTAAATATTTCTTTAAAATACTCAAATCCTTAGCCTTTCATCCAAAATAGTGCGCCAGAAGGGATGCGTTTGCATCAAATCACGAAATACGCTTTTTAGTCAAACTGAATAGCTCAGAGTTCCTTGTGACTTCCAGATAGCACAAATTTCCTTTTCAATATCTCTATTTTATCTCAAGCACACCATTCATCAACTGCCATTTTCACTGACTGAGTTTTTTGAGATCTATCGACAGCAGAAAGATCTAAAACTAATACCAGATGAAAAAAGAGACCCTAGAATCCATCTAGACGCTTTAGACGCCTTTCCCCAGCAAGCTTTGAGTCTAATCAGATTATTCAGCTAAAAAGTCTAACCAGATTATTCACCCGAATACCCAAACTCAGAACTCTTTGTTTGCTAGGGAAAACCAACTGAATTTTTAGATTTTTACAAGATCTGGATCTCACAAAGTAGTCCTATGCTACAATTTCTTTTATAGGAACAAAGGAAAAATTTTCGTTTCGAACCGTTCCTTGTCTGGCTAAAATCTGGAAAGCTGATTGGAAAATTAACAAAACTAAATGCCTTTTTGGTCAATCTGGATGTCAGGCTACAATCTGAAAAGCTTAGTTTCCTAGTCTGACTAATTTAAAGAATAGACGTTTCCGAACAGTTCGTTCTCAGCTTAAAAGCTGAAAATCTGCTTGGAAAATTAACAAAACTGAATGCCTTTTTGGTCAAGCTGGATGTCAGGCTTCAATATGAAAAGCTTAGTTTTCTGGTCTGACTAATTTAAAAATTTAGATTTCCGAACCGTTCCTTGTCTGCGTAAAAACTGAAAATCTGCTTGGAAAATTAACAAAACCAAATGCCTTTTTGGCCAAGCTGGATGTCAGGCTTCAATATGAAAATATTAGTTTTCGAGTCTGACTAATTTAAAGAAGGGACGTTTCCGAACAGTTCGTTCTCAGCTTAAAATCTCAAAATTTCTTGGAAAATTAACAAAACTAAATGCTTTTTTGGCCAAGCTGGATGTCAGGCTACCTAATTAAAATTTTGGTTCCCCTCCTTGTCCGAAAAAATCTGCTTGGAAACTTTACAAAACTAAATGCCTTTTTGGCCAAGCTGGATGTCAGGTTACAATATTAAAGCTTTAGTTTTCTCGTTTTTGTTGCAGACCTATTGGTACGCACTCTGAGGAGCACCGCTCGGTTTTTCTGACTTTCTGACATGTCAGAGAATGTCAGATTCTGGTCTTTTGGAGGTCTACAATTCTAGGATATGGATAAGTTGATTTATGGATAAGTTGAAGGTGGGTTGAAGAATTCCGAAACAGAATAGGTTTCTATTTCTCATTAAAAGAGTCAAGAAAATCGGAGAACTCGAAGATTCCCACAAAACTACAAATTTACTAAATCTCAAAGCACAAAAACAAAAGGAAATGGCTGAGAAAGATTCGAATGAATGAAGATTTTCCAGAAAAGGAAAAGAAGAGAAGAGGAAGAGAAAGAGAAAGAGGAAGAGAAGAGAAAGAGGAAGAGGAAGAGAAGAGAAAGAGAAAGAGAAAGAGAAGAGAAAGAGAAGAGAAAGAGAAGAGAAAGAGAAAGAGAAGAGAAGAGAAAGAGAAGAGGAAGAGGAAGAGAAAGAGAAGAGAAAGAGAGGAGAGAGAGGAAGAGAAAGAGGAAGAGAAAGAGGAAGAGTAGGAGAAGAGAAAGAGAAAGAGAAAGAGAAGAAATCTGAGAGAATGCAAAAAAAAACGGGAAAATCTCGGGGGAATTCTCAAGCCGAAAATGGAGGAGTGTATCGGCTGGATAAGACAAAAAAAGGGGGAAAAGAAGAGAAAGCTGAACTCTAGCTTATAAACTTTCTATATTTGGTGTAATTTGTACTTAGCTTTGTAAAAGCTTTCTTTCTGATGCACTGGACTCTGCGAAAACTGCATTCCAAGCCAGCCGCCATTCGAGCAGACAAACGGGAAAGATAAAGCACACAAACAGGAAAGATAAACCAAGCAAACGCTCTTTTTAAGATCCTTTTAGAGGCGAGGGTACCCAGAGCTGGACCTGAGGCTTTCTAGAGTTGGGGGAAGGAATGGAAGGGGTAGAGGAATGGAAGGGGTAGAGTGCCTTGCCTTGCCCTGGGTCCTAGAGTCTCCCAACTCTCCCTTCCCTTCCATTTTGCGTGTGTATCGACAATTGGCCTCTTCTACTCTTCCTTTTCTCTTTTCGAGGCCTCAGGGCTCTTCCCTAACCCCTTCGGAGCACTCCAGAGTTCTCTTGAGTTTCCTATGAGGTTCCTATGGGATAGAAATGATAGAATTATGTTGTTGAGCTAAACTTTAAACTAGTAACTCGGTTAGAGGATTTACAGTACTCCAGCTAGAGGCGTTACAGTACTCCAGCTAGAGGCCTTACAGTAATCCAGTTAGAGTCGTTACAGTAACCCAGTTAGTAACATCCTCGACGTGTTCAGCCCATTTACAGGTGTCAAAGTGATCGGAGTGCTTTTAGGGGAAAAGAAGCAATTCAGGGTCTCCTGTGCGCTCCAGATAGCACAAATATCTCTTTAAAAGACCCAAATCCTCAGCCTTTCTTCCAAAACAGTGCGCCAGAAGGGATGCGTTTGCATCAAATCACCAAATACGTTTTCTAGTCAAACTGAATAGCTCAGAGTTCCTTGTGACTTCCAGATAGCACAAATATCTCTTTAAAAGACTCAAATCCTTAGCCTTTCCTCCAAAACAGTGCGCCAGAATGGATGCGTTTGCATCAAATCACCAAATACGTTTTTAAGTCAAACTGAATAGCTCAGAGTTCCTTGTGACTTCCAAATAGCACAAATATTTCTTTAAAAGACTCAAATGCTCTGATACAAGTTCAATTTGATCAACCAAATACCAACTCAATTTAAAACAATCACTTGAAAAGGTTTATTTACAAAAATAAAATGAAATTTGACGATCTGTTGAGAAAAAAAAAGCTATAAAAAGCCATAAAAAGCCAAAAAAAGCCAAGAAAAACAAATTTTTAATGATTCCAACGAAAAAGGCTTTATCAGAAAGCAAATTTTGGCATTAAATTTAACGATGTGTTAACGATTTTCGCTGTTTAGGCTGAAAACTCGAATAAAAATGCGATAAAAATTTCGGAAATGAGAATTTTTGGGCAATCTGGAATGCACAAAAGAGAGAAATTAAAAAAAAACCAAAAAAATTCAAAAATAAATCCAAAAAATTTCAAAAAAAATTTTTTTTAATTGAAAAAATTTTTTAAAAAAATTCAGAAAAAAAATTTTTAAAAAATTTTAAAAAAATTTCAAGAAAATTTTCAAAAAAAAATTTTAAAAAAAATTTCAAAAAAAATTCAAAAAAATTTTAAAAAATTTCAAAAATTTGACTTTAAATTTTTTCAAATTTCAAATTTTAAAATTTCAAAAAAAAAAGAAATTTGACAAATTTGAGGCTTTAAATACAGACTTTAAATGCAAATTTTAAATGCAAATCGATTCACACAACGAAGAGAATAAAGCTTTTTTTCAAAAAATGAGGTTTAAACTTTTGAAAGTCTCAAAAAAATCTCAAATTCGACTATTGTGACGTGGCGGAGAGGTGGAAGAGGTGTAATAACGGTCCTCTGCTGTGTAAATTACCTGAAAAACTCTCTAAACTGCTGCAAAAATGTATCTAAAATCGCTAGCAAAGAATTAGCAAAATTCAGCAAAAATTTCGAGCCTAGCGGACTCGAACCCGGGTTGTTCGACTTCGAAACCAAGCTCACTAACCACTCGGCCACAGGGAATTTAGCTTAATTTTAAAAACTAAGAGCTTCTATGGATTACGTGACATCCAGATCGCACTAATTACTCGTTGCTTGCTAGAAATTTTCAGCTTTTCGCGGTTTTAACTGCTTGATTTGAGATCTCTCGAAAATACCCCCGAAATCTCTAAAATTAACCAAATTAAAGCTGTTTTCCGTAAATCCTGGAACTCACAGAACCTTTTGAAATGATCTGCGACTAAAAATAGATCAAAGTTCGGATGGCCAAGCTCACTAACCATTCGGTCACAAAAATTTAGCTTATTTTTAAAAACTAAGATTTTCTATGGATTACGTGAGATCCAGATCCCACGAATAACCTGTTTTTTTGGTGGAAAATCAGTTTTTTCTCGGTTTTAAGCCTTGATTCGCGATCTGCAAAAAAATCCACCTAAATCTCGAAGGTTAAGCTAATTTAAAACTGTTTTTCGTGAACCCTGGAACGCACAGAACCTTTTGGAACCCAAGCGGACTTGGATTGGAGCTCTGGACCCAAGCGGACTCGAACCCGGGTTGTTCGACTTGGAAACCAAGCTCACTAACCACTTGGGCACCAGAATTCTGGCTTAATTTTAAAAACTAAGATTTTCTATGGATTACGTGATATCCAGATCCGAAGAATAGCTCGTTAGTTGCCGAGTATTTTCAGCTTTTCTCGGTTTTAACTGCTTGATCTGAGATCTCTCGAAAAAACCCCCAAAATCTCGAAAATTAACCGAATTAAAGCTGTTTTCCGTAAATCCTGGAACTCACAGAACCTTTTGAAATGATCAGCGACTGAAAATGAATCAAAATCTGGGTGGCCGAATGGTTAGCGAGCCGATTCACCAGGCAGTCGGTCCTGGTTCGAGTCCGGGCTCGGTTTTTTGCTTTTTTTGATTTTCTTTTTTAATTTTTGTGCATTCTAGCTAAATCTAGTGACAATCTAGACAGCTTTCTGTTATCTAAAAGCTCAAAATCTTACCGGTTGCAGTAGATCAGCCTAAAAGCTTCAATTGGCTTTCAGATAGACTTTAGACTTGTTTTTAAGCTCAAAAATGCAAACGCATACGATCTGGCACACAGCGCACACATACCTGTTCAGCGGGGGCCTGTGTGGCAAAAGTGTTACGAGTTGGGGAAAGGGAACGGGCACGAACGGTTCGAATGACAGGTTGTGGCTCGGAGTGTAGTTGGACAACTGAATTTTTTCGATTTTTACGAGATCTGGATGTCACAGAGTAGTTCTACGCTAAAATTTCTTTTATAGAAACAAAGGAGAAAATCTTGGTTTTGAACCGTTCGTTCTCGGGTCAAAAACGGAAAATTTGTTTGGAAAATTGACAAAACGAAAAGCTTTTTTGGCCAAGCTGGATGTCAGGTTACAATTTAAAAAGCTTAGTTTCATAGTCTAACTAATTTAAAAAATTTAATTTCTGAACGGTTCCTTCTCGGGTCAAAAACGGAAAATTTGTTTGGAAAATTGACAAAACTAAATGCTTTTTTGGCTAAGCTGGATATCAGGCTACAATTTGAAAAGCTTAGTTTCCAAGTCTAACTGATTTAAAAAATTTTCGTTTTCAACCATTCGTTCTCGGGTCAAAAACGGAAAATCTGATTGGAAAATTAACAAAACTAAAAGCCTTTTTTGGTCAAGCTGGATGTCAGGCTACAATTTGAAAAGCTTAGTTTCCTAGTCTAACTACTTTTCGTTGCGGACCTAATATGGGTACGCACTCTGGGGAGCCGGTGCACCGTACGCCACTCCTTGAGACTTGAGGCGTGCATCGCGGCGACCCTTGATCCCGAACCAGCCCATGAACCAGATACCTGAAAATGGGGATGCTTTGAGCATTTTTTTTTTGCACCACTCACCAGCCAAGCAAATCAACGGCACACAGCAGCACAACATCAGCAAGAAAATGCCGAGAATCAAGCCGATAAAACGACCGCCATACCACCAATCACCACTGAAAAATGGATAGTATTGTTTATTCTTGTTTGGGCTGCCACAGCTTGGCTTTAGGCCTGCACAGCTTGGCCTTAGGCCTGCAAAGCTTGGCTTTAGACCTGCACAGCCTGCCCTAGGCTAGTCTACCTGCTCAAGAGTTAGCCTTGTTTATTGACTTGGACTTGGACTAGCTATAGCCAAGCCTGGTCTAGATCTAGGTCAATGCCAACCCTGCCCAGGGCTTGGTTTGTCCAGGATCTGACCGAGGCTAGGCTTTTGCTAACCTTTTCTCTGACCTAGATTCAGATCTATGTAACCAAACTGTCCAGAATTCATAGCTTGCTCTGGTTCAGATCTGGCTTTTCCTGGCTTATATCCGAATTGACCCATCAAACCAGTACAGGCAAATTACCATTGACAGCCGCCCCCTTTCCCATTGACAATCCAACTTTGAACTCAAATTTCTCGGTGCTCGGCTGCCCAATTTGAACAGTTTTTGTACCAATCGATAGAGAAAGACTTGACGCATCTAATGATACTAAGAACATTTAAATTGGACCACCCAACACCAAGATATGGTACCACAAAGTTGGTTTGCCAATGGCAAAGGGGGCGGGGCGTATCAAATGTCCCATGATCTTAAACTTGTACAAAATGAGCTCAAAACCTGGTAATCTATTGGCGCCCATAGATTCTGAACACCTTTGAATTGACCTAAACTTGTTTGCGTCTAGATCTAGCATCCAGAGTTAGCCTGATCTGAATTTCAGCCTGGGTCTTGACCTAAGCCTGGGCCTAAGCCTGGGTCTGAGTCTGGGTCTGAGTCTGAGCCTGAGCCTGGGCCATGGCCTTGCCCTAAGCCTGGGCCTGTGCCTGGGCCTGAGCCAGAGCCTGGGCCTGGGACTGAGCCTGAGCCAGAACCTGGGCCTGAGCCTGAACCTGGACCTGGGCCTGAACCTTGACCTGAGCCTAAGCCTAAGCCTAGGCCTGAGCCTGGACCTGGGCCTGGGCCTGGGCATTGGCCCAAGCCTGGGCCTGGACCTGAACCTGGACCTGGACCTGGGCCTGAGCCTTGATCTGAGCCTAAGCCTAAGCCTAAGCCTAAGCCCGAGCCTGGGCTGGAGCCTGGGCCTAGGCCTAAGCCTGGACCCGGGCCTGGACCTGAGCCAGAGCCTGGGCCTAAATCTGGACCTGGACCTGGGCCTGAGCCTTGATCTGAGCCTAAGCCTAAGCCTGAGCCTGAGCCTGAGCCCAAGCCCAAGCCCAAGCCTGAACTCTGAACCTTTCAACACCAGGATCTCCCCTCCAAACCAACACAAAATCCCGTAGTGTAGGAATCTTTGGGAATGTGTGAAAATAAGGATTTTTAAGGTTTAGGGATAATAAAAGTGCCTGAAAAACTTACAATAACCACTCGAGACACCTCAAAAATGAAAATTTAAAGAAAATTAGAGATTTTGACGTAAACTTAGAAAACGAATCTTTTTGCGGACTCAAAATTTCTTAAGCTAGTGCTTTACCAGAAAGTCAACACGGGAAACGCCTGGCACCTGCAAAACTAGCCTCACAAAATGCACAAAAATCAGAATTAAAAGAAGCAAAAACCAATCCCGGACTCGAACCAGGACCGACTGGCTGGTAATCGGCTCGCTAACCACTCGGCCACCCAAACTTTGATTCATTTTCAGGGGCTGATCATTTCAAAAGGTTCTGTGAGTTCCAGGATTTACGGAAAACAGCTTTAATTCGGTTAATTTTCGAGATTTTGGGGGTTTTTTCGAGAGATCTCAAATCAAGCAGTTAAAACAGAGAAAAGCTGAAAATACTCGACAAGTAACGAGCTATTCTTGGGATCTGGATGTCACGTAATCTATAGAAAATCTTAGTTTTTAAAATTAAGCCAGATTTCTGGTGACCAAGTGGTTAGTGAGCTTGGTTTCCAAGTCGAACAACCCGGGTTCGAGTCCGCTTGGCTCCAAAGCTCCAATCCAAGTCCACTTGGGTTCCAAAAGGTTCTGTGTGTTCCAGGGTTCACGAAAAACAGTTTCAATTAGCTTAAATGTTAAAATTTGGGCGTATTTTCGAGAGATCTCGAATCAAGGCTTAAAATCGAGAAAAAACTGAAAATTTCTACGAAACAACAGGTTCTTCGTGGGATCTGGATATCACGTAATCCATAGAAAAGCTTAGTTTTTAAAATTAAGCTAAAATCCTTGTGGCCGAGTGGTTAGTGAGCCTGGCCATCCGAACTTTGATCTATTTTTAGTCGCTGATCATTTCAAAAGGTTCTGTGAGTTCCAGGATTTACGGAAAACAGCTTTAATTCGCTTAATTTTCGAGATTTCGGGGGCATTTTCGAGAGATCTCAGATCAAGCTGTTTAAGTCGCGAAAAGCTGAAAATTTTGACAAAATAACAAGTTATTGGTGGGATCTGGATATCACGTAATCTATAGAAAATCTTAGTTTTTAAAAATAAGCTAAACTAAAAATTAAGATTTTTGGCCGAGTGGTTAGTGAGCTTGGTTTCAAGTCAAACGATCGAGGGTTCGAGTCCGCTTGGTTCCAAATTTTTGCTAATTTTTGCTGAAAACTTTGCTATTCATTTTGGCTCGATTTCAACTCACCCCCATCCATCGTATCCATATCCACCGTAGTATCCGTCGTATCTTTTGGCTCGATTTTGTGGCTCGTCGTTACAGTAAACTCCAATCATCAAAACGATGAGAAAAAGTAGAGAATAAAGTTTTGAAATCATTTTTAAAGCTGAAATTTGAAGATTTATTGATAATTTATTCAAAAATCTTTATAGAAAACGATCAAAAAAAACGTTTTTTCTTGAAAAACTCGAAAAATCAACTTTTTTCCTCAATTTTTGACCTTGAAAATCATTTTTCTTGTTTTCAAAAGCGAAATTTTCGCTTTTTTCCAACAATAACATGATTTTCGAAAAGAAATAAACAAGTTTTTCAATTGAAAGCATCAAATGAACAAGCTAGAAATCGAAAAACACCGCCAAAACGAGTTCACCTCGATTTCTCGCTTATTGTTTGAGATTTTAAAAAATGCCTTTCATTAGGCTAAATGCTGGAAGTCACAGAAGAATTTTAGCTGAAAAAATCACAAAAAATTTGCATTTAAAGCTTTTTGCACCATAGCGCAGTCGGTTAGAGGGTGGTTTTTCGAGACCAAGCGACCCCCCCTCCCCCCCGGGTTCGACTCCCGCCAGTAACAAACTTTTTAGATTTTTGATTTCTTTTAAAAAGGAGATGGAATGAATTGGATTGGAGGCTGGATTGGCCTTGAAAAACGCTCAAATTGTTCTGTTGTTTCTCTGGAAATTCGGAAAACAAAAACAAAAAAAGCGCAAAAGTGCAACCTAGGCAATCCGCGATGAAATTTGTTTACGAAAAAGATTTCTTTTCGCTTTTTTTTGTTTTGACAAAGGTGCGCGTGCTTTTCGAAAGGGTTGTGGGATGATTTTGAGATGATCATTGACGATAAGTGACTCAAAACTTATTGAATAATACTTTTGTGTTATCTAGGAAAATGTGAATGGACTAAAATTGATTAAAATTGGTTAAAATTGATTAAAATTGATTAAAATTGGTTAAAATTGGTTAAAATTGGTTAAAATTGGTTAAAATTGGTTAAAATTGATTAAAATTGGTTAAAATTGGTTAAAATTGGTTAAAATTGATTAAAATTGGTTAAAATTGATTAAAATTGGTTAAAATTGGTTAAAATTGGTTAAAATTGGTTAAAATTGGTTAAAATTGGTTAAAATTGGTTAAAATTGGTTGAAATTGGTTAAAATTGGTTAAAATTGGTTAAAATTGGTTAAAATTGGTTAAAATTGGTTAAAATTGGTTAAAATTGGTTAAAATTGGTTAAAATTGGTTAAAATTGGTTAAAATTGATTAAAATTGGTTAAAATTGGTTAAAATTGGTTAAAATTGGTTAAAATTGGTTAAAATTGGTTAAAATTGGTTAAAATTGGTTAAAATTGGTTAAAATTGGTTAAAATTGGTTAAAATTGGTTAAAATTGATTAAAATTGGTTAAAATTGGTTAAAATTGGTTAAAATTGGTTAAAATTGGTTAAAATTGGTTAATTCCTGTTAATTCCAAAGCTGTTAAACTCAAAGCTGTTAGATTCAAAGCTCTTAATTTCAAAGCTCTTAATTTCAAGCAGCTCCTACTTCGAACTATCGAGAAATACATTCCGCCTGGAAACCCGATCATTTCTGATTGATGGCTTCATCGAAGTATCGCTTGTATCCCTTCCCATCCCCACTATCAGTTCAATTGAGTCACACCATACAACAAGCTTCATCGATCCTGTCCATCGTCCACACACAACAGAGGATGTAGCGCTCATTCAAAGCTGTAAACCGTCGCCACCACACAATTCATCGAACAATCACCGAACACATGAACAATTCACCGAACAATTTGGAATCTAGAAGATGAACTGTGCTCGTCCAGTCTTTGTCAACAATGGATTCATCTTGGATTGATCCAAGTGCTGAACCAAGTGATCTAAGAGGTGACGAATGTCGTCTGGATCCGAATGAGATCTGAATGAGGGCTAGCTTCTGAATCGGAATGAGGGCTAGCTTCTGAATCGGAATGAGGGCTAGCTTCTGAATCTGAATGAGGGCTAGCTTCTGAATCTGAATGAGGGCTAGCTTCTGAATCGGAATGAGGGCTAGCTTCCGAATCGGAACGAGATCTAGCTTCCGAATCAGAATCACATCTAGCGTCCCAATCCAAATGAGATCTAGCTCCAACCGTCCCCACACAACATCTTGATAGGATGTGACTCCACATTTCACATTTACAAATATGGAAGAGTTTTTTGATGTCAGAGATCAGAGAGCTTTGAGAATGGCGACGAAAACTGGAGGAGCACAGTTCATCTTCTAGGTTCCTTCAACGATGTAAACCGACGCCGCTACGGAACTCAACAGGAAGGCAAATCGTTGAAGGAACCTAGAAGATGAACTGTGCTCCTCCAGTTTTCGTCGCCATTCTCAAAGATCTCTCATCTCTGACATCGAAAATCTCTGCTCAGCCACTCCCAAAAAGCATTTCCAAAAAATCTCTTCCATATTTATAAATGTGGAAGGACCGCGAGACATGTTGGATACGGTAAAAACGCTTAGCGACTGGATACTGTAACAGTCTGCATTTAGAAAGGGATACGGTAGCTGAGGGAAAAGATAAGTACGGGAAGTACGGGAAGTACGGGAAGTACGGGAAGTACGGGAAGTACGGGAAGTACGGGAAGTACGGGAAGTACGGGATAAGTAACTCATAATAATATAATACTAGAATCAATATTCCGAAAAAAAGATCTCCTAGCCTTAGTCAGACTTAAGAAAACACGAAAAAGCGATTCGTTTTTGGCTAAAGAAAGCTCTCTTTTCACATCGACAACAATGGTTTTTTGTGAGGAGGCGACAATCGTAAAAAGAAATATTTTGACAGCTTTAGAAATTGAATAGGGAGATTTATAGGGAGATTTCTCGAAAAGCATCAATGTCTAGCTGGTCTAGTGGCCTAGCTGGTCTAGTGGCCTAGCTGGTCTAGTGGCCTAGCTGGTCTAGTGGCCTAGCTGGTCTAGTGGCCTAGCTGGTCTAGTGGCCTAGCTGGTCTAGTGGCCCTGGCGCCTGCTGGCCTAGCTGGCCCTGGCCGCGGCCTGCTGGCCGCTGGCCTGCTGGCCTAGCTGGCCGCTGGCCTGCTGGCCGCGGCCAGCTGGCCTGCTGGCCTAGCTGGCCGCTGGCCCGCTGGCCTGCGGCCCGCGGCCTAGCGGCCGCGGCCTGCTGGCCTGCTGGCCCCTGCCGCTGGCCGCGGCCTAGCTGGCCTGCTGGCCGCTGGCCTGCTGGCCTAGCTGGCCTAGCTGGCCTAGCTGGCCTAGCTGGCCTAGCTGGCCTAGCTGGCCTAGCTGGCCTAGCTGGCCTAGCTGGCCTAGCTGGCCTAGCTGGCCTAGCTGGCCTAGCTGGCCTAGCTGGCCTAGCTAGAAGTCAACCAAAACCTGGACTCTGACTTGAACTTTGTTTTGCTGTGATCTGACAAGGGAAACACCGCTGATCGACACTGCCGATCGACACCGACACCGCTAATCGCTAGACCCTCCAAGAGAAATTATAGAATTGGCCAAGCTGATCAAAAATCACAAAAATCATAAAATAATAATCGTCATTTGTACGGCCAAAAATAAAAGTAATTTTTTAGAAGATCTGTCTTTCTAGAAATGTTATGTGACTCCCAGATCGGCTAAATTGAAAAGAGTTTAAGGCTTTTCTTTTCTAGAAAATTTTATTTTAAAGAGAACTCTTAAGGACAGGTGGTAAGAATTTTTTTTAGAAAACCGAAATCTGCTTTTCTAGAAATGTTATGTGACCTCCAGATCGGCTAGATTGAAAAGAGTTTAAAGCTTTTCATTTCTAGAAAATATGATTTTTGATGAGAACTCTCTTAGGCAATTTTTGTTTAGAAAACCGAAATCTGCCTTTCTAGAAGTGTTATGTGACCTCCAGATCGGCTAGATTTAAGAGATTTTCAAGCTTTTCATTTCTAGAAATTCTGATTTCAATCAGAACACTTTTCTGTAAAAATCAGCTGCAAGAAATTCGGCATCGAAGCTCAGCTCGCTTAAAAGGCTTTTCCGGGGGCGGCGTTAGATGAGATGAGCTGGTGGTCTAGTGGCTTATATGTATACAAAGCGAGCTAGATCCTTTTGCTCGGGTTCAAATCCTCTTCTAAAATCGCAAAAACCGATTGGACTCAAATCTGTACGTCCAGCTGTACTCCGGGTAAGCCGGGTCATCCGGGTAAGGCGGGTAAGGCGGGTAAGCCAGGCCAAGCCAGGCTAAGCCAGGCCAAGCCAGACTAAGCCAGGCTAAGCCAGACTAAGCCAGACTAAGCCAGACTAAGCCAGGCCAAGCCAGGCTAAGCCAGGCCAAGCCAGACTAAGCCAGGCCAAGCCAGGCTAAGCCAGGCCAAGCCAGACTAAGCCAGGCCAAGCCAGGCTAAGCCAGGCCAAGCCAGGCCAAGCCAGGCTAAGCCAGGCTAGCTAAATCGAGCCTGTAGGTCCGGCTAGCTAAATCGAGCCTGTAGATCAGGCTAGCTAAATGAAGCCCGTAAGCCAGCCTATCTAAATCGAGCCTGTAAGCCAATCTAGCTAAATGGAGCCCGTAGATCAGGCTAGCTAAATCGAGCCTGTAAGCCAATCTAGTTAAATCAAGCCCGTAAATCAGGCTAGCTAAATCGAGCCCGTAAGTCAGTCTAGCTAAATCGAGCCTGTAAGCCAGTCTGTCTAAATGAAGCCCGTAAGCCAGGCTAGTTAAATCGAGCCCGTAAGCCAGTCTATCTAAATCGAGCCTGTAAGCCAATCTATCTAAATGAAGCCCGTTAGCCAATCTAGCTAAATGAAGCCCGTTAGCCAGGCTAGCCAAATGAAGCCCGTTAGCCAGTCTAGCTAAATAAAACTCTAGAGGTAAGCGTTTATAAAAAAAAACTATTAAATAAGCTTATGAATTTTTTTAAAAAATGACAATGACAATTTCTGAAAAGAAAAAAAAAGAAAAATTTGTGATTTCATAAAATTTTTCGAATAAAACACGTTTTGGATTACTCAGTTTTTTCAGTTTTTTTCATTTTTTTGCTCAAGAATGAGCAATTGTTCGTAGGGGAAAACGAGAGAAAACTCATCGAATCCACCAAATGGGAATTTCTATTTGCTTTGGGATTGCTTTGTGTTGGTGATTGGTGAATTCGAAATTCTTTTAAACTTGGATAAAAGCTCTGCGTTCTCTTTGCTCGTTCTCTTTGGAAACGCTCGCCACCTGGCACACTAAATGGATGGGAGAGATTTGAGGAATTAAAAAGAAACAAATTTGTATTTTAAAAGAATCATTAGTATAGCCAAAAATAAAAGTAATTTTTTCGAAAATCTGCTTTTCTAGAAATGTTATGTGACTTCCAGATCGGCTAAATTTAAGAGATTTTCAAGCTTTTCTTTTCTAGAAACTCTTATTTCAATCCGAACACTTTTCAGCAAAAAAATAAAATTTTCTAGAAAAGAAAAGTTTGAAAATCTTTTAAATCTAGCCGATCTGGAAGTCACATAACATTTCTAGAAAGGCAGATTTTGGAGATTTCGGTTTTTTCAAAAAAAATTTTGCTGAAAAGTGTTCGGATTGAAATAAGAATTTCTAGAAAAGAAAAGTTTGAAAATCTTTCAAATCTAGCCGATCTGGAAGTCACATAACATTTCTAGAAAAGAAGATTTTAAAGATTTCAGTTTTAAAAAAAAAATTTTTTTTGAAAAGTGTTCTGATTGAAATAAGAATTTCTAGAAAAGAAAAGCTTGAAAATCTCTTAAATTTAGCCGATCTGGAAGTCACATAACATTTCTAGAAAGGCAGATTTTGAAGATTTCGGTTTTTTCAAAAAAAATTTTGCTGAAAAGTGTTCGGATTGAAATAAGAGTTTCTAGAAAAGAAAAGCTTAAAAATCTCTTAAATTTGGCTGATCTGGAAGTCACATAACATTTCTAGAAAAGCAGATTTTGAAGATTTCGGTTTAAAAAAAAAAAATTTTTGAAAATTGTTCGGATTGAAATAAGAGTTTCTAGAAAAGAAAAGCTTTAAACTCTTTCAAATTTGGCTGATCTGGAAGTCACATAACATTTCTAGCTCATCCGCGCGTTTAATCCTCTTACATTGTTGATTGAAGACAGAATGAAGAGCCTGAGGCTTTAATATTCGTCCGGTTGCTGATATCGTTGCTGATATCGGTTCCTATTTCTAGCTACGCCTTTGACCAAGGGATCTTTATGACCAAGGGATTTATAACGATCTTTATCAATGCCTCAAATGAACAGACTAAAAGCCTTTAGTTCAAGCCTTCTTTTGAGCCTTTCAACTCTTCTAATCATCTATTCTATCCTTTACAAAGCATTCAACAATTCTAGAGTTTAAAACAAAGCTCACAATTCGCTGAAGGGTTAGCAATTCTTGGGTTAGCAATTCTAGGAATTCTTGCGGAAAGTGGCAAAGTTTTGTGAGTGAATGAGAAAAGTGACAAGCTATAGGACAGAATCTCAGTAATAAGTGAAGAGTTTTGAAGAGCTAGTGGAGAATGGGATGAGACCGGCTGGTACAAGAGCTACTGGAGTACTGGAGTAGTGGAGTCACTTTTGAGACGCCACCCACAAGTATTCAGACATCACTTTCACTATGACGGGTAGTGAAAGGAGGTGGGCCATCTCTTGAAGGGCCTAGGGACTGAAGGACTGAAGGCTGAGGGACTGAAGGCTGAAGAGCTGAAGAGCTGAAGGACTGAAGGCTGAGGGACTGAAGGCTGAAGAGTTGAAGGACTAAAGAGCTGAAGAACCAAAGAACTGAAGAGCTGAAGGACCCCTGAAGTACTGTGTCTCTTCAACAAGACCCATTGACACCGTAGAAATATCGTTTGTTCACGTTTTCACCCCTTTCACTTCTTCATTTCCTTTTTTCACCCCTTTCACCTCTTTTCGCTTAAAAGTTACCAATTTTTATAGAAACCGGAGCACTTAAACCTCACGTAGTGTCACGCGAATCTTTAAGGCCATAAGGTTTGAGAAGAATTCAATCTTATGTTATGTTGTGTATCCGTGAAATTAGATTTTATTGCCATCCTCTCATCCCAGCGCTCCGGAGCTAATCCCAGCGATCTGGATCTCCTCCCAGCTTGCCGGAGCTCCTCCCCAGCTCTCCAGATCTCCTCCCAGCGATCCGGAGGTAATCCCTGCGCTCCGGATCTCCTCCTAGCTCTCCAGATCTCATCCCAGCTCTCCAGATCCCCTCCCAGCTCTCCGGATCCCCTCCCAGCTCTCCAGATCCCCTCCCAGCTCTCCAGATCCCCTCCCAGCTCTCCAGATCCCCTCCCAGCTCTCCAGCCCCTCCCAGCTCCCAGTCCCCTCCCAGCCCCAGTCCCTCCCAGCCTCCAGTCCCCTCCCAGCCTCCAGCCCCTCAGTCCCTCCCAGCCTCCAGTCCATCCCAGCCTCCGTCCCCTCCACCCCAGATCCCCCACCTCGGCCCCTCCGCCTCGTCCCTCCCAGCCTCCAGTCCCCTCCCAGCCTCCAGTCCCCTCCAGCCTCGCCCCTCCCAGCCCCAGTCCCCTCCAGCCTCCAGATCCCCTCCAGCTCTCCAGTCCCCCCCAGCTCCCAGTCCCTCCCAGCTCTCCAGATCCCTCCAGCTCTCCAGATCCCTCCAGCTCTCCAGATCCCCTCCCAGCTCTCCAGATCTCATCCCAGCTCTCCAGATCCCCTCCCAGCTCTCCAGATCCCCTCCCAGCTCTCCAGATCCCCTCCCAGCTCTCCAGATCCCCTCCCAGCTCTCCAGATCTCATCCCAGCTCTCCAGATCTCCTCCCAGCCCTCCAGATCTCAGGCAAGGACCTCTTATACGCGCTCCGCCCCTTTTACGATTGGCAATCCAACTTTGAACTCAAATTTCTTTGTGTTGAGTCAGTTGAGAAAGTAAAAGGCTAAATAGACGTCGTGATATCCAGATCAAAGAAATAATACGCAATCTTACTGCACCACCTTGTATTTTCACTGTCTTGTAGCACAGTACCCTTGCTACCGTAAACCACTCCATCCAAAATGCCGCCTTTTCCCATTGGTAATCCAACTTTGAGCTCAAATTTCTTGGTGCTCGGCTGTCCAATTGAAATAGCTTTTATACCAATCGACAGAGAAAGACTTGGCGCATCTAATGACACCAAGAATATTGAAATTGGACTTGTATGCTTCGGCTTTTGCTTGCTTGGCTTTTGAGTCAAAGCTTTGACACCCGAGCGCTCTGGAAACGGGAGGATTCAATTGTGGATTGTAACCGGAGCGATGCTTTTTATAACGAAACGAAATGATAAAAATGGTATAATCTAGACTAACTACCGTAATCTAGCTATTCTAGACTGAATATCCTATTCTGGATTGAATACAGTAATCCAAACAGTCTAGACTTATAAAGATGAAGCTTTTTCCTGAGTCTTGAATCGAAATGCAAAATTTTTGAGGCAGCTTGGGGAGTCGAACCCGCGGGGGTGACCGGACCCGCTTGCCTCGCAGCCAAGCGCACTACCCACTGCGCCATTGGAAAAGGTTTAGATAATTAAGCTTTAAGTAGCTAGAATCCGAGTGTGACATCCAGGATTACTGTATTCGGGCTTGGATTTCGATTTCACTCAATCAAAATGAAGAAATACCGAGAAGAAAAGATTGAGCTTCCTTGTCGTGTACTTTTGAGCCAAAAAACTTCAAATAACATTTTTTGGCTTTCCTGGATGTCACTTTAGATTATGAAGCTTTCCTGAATCTAGAATCAAAATGCAAGTTTTTCTGGCAGCTCGGGGAGTCGAACCCGCGGGGGTGCCCGGACCCGCTCGCCTCGCAGCCAGCGCACTACCCACTGCGCCATTGGAAAAGGTTTAGATAATTAAGCTTTAAGTAGCTAGAATTCGAGTGTGACATCCAGGATTACTGTATTCGGGCTTGGATTTTGATTTCGCTCAACCAATGAGTCAGAATTGCTGAGAACAGGAAAAAAATGTAGATTTGACGTGAATCTAGATCTAAAGATCTAGAATTCGAGTGTGACATCCAGGATTATTGTATTCGGGTTTGGATTCCGATTTCATTCAACCAATGAGTCAGAATTGCTGAGAACAGGGAAAAAGGTCTAAAGATATCTATTTCTAGATTTAAAGATCTAGAATTCAAGTGTGACATCCAGGATTACTGGATTCGGGCTTGGATTTCGATTTCACCCAATAAAAATGAAGAAAAACACGAGGTAGACCCGGTAAATTGTGTTTTTTTGGTTTGTTTGTTTTTTGAACAAGTAAAGTATTAATAATTTATTTCAAAGCCATTTATTTCATTTAATGAAGATTTATAAATGGATAAGCTTTATAAATACCCGTAAATAAGTTGAAAGTCGAAAAGCAAAAAGCTAAAAAAACAAAGCTACAAACTACAAGATTTTTTAAAGAAATCATTGAACAAATTTGAGCACCATCGAAGTTTTACCGTTTTACCGCTTCAAGAAAATGCAAGCACCAGTTTCGTTGAGCTGAAAAGGTTTTGAACATCACTGACAATGAGAAACACGACGCTAGCTCTAACAATAAGACCAATTTATAGAAAGCCATTGAATCAGTAGAAAAACTGAAAATCTGGTTGAAAACTTTACAAAACTAAATGCCTTTTTGGCCAAGCTGGATGTCAGGCTACAATCTGAAAAGCTTAGTTTCCTAGTCTAACTAATTTAAAAAATTAAATTTCTGAACCGTCACTTGTCGGCTTAAAATCTGAAAATCTGGTTGGAGAATTGACAAAACTAAATGCCTTTTTTGGCCAAGCTGGATGTCAGGCTACAATATGAAAACCTTAGTTTCCAGGTCTGACTAATTTAAGAATTTCGATTTCTGAACCGTTCCTTCTCCGCTTAAAATCTGAAAATCTGGTTGAAAACTTTACAAAACTAAATGCCTTTTTGGCCAAGCTGGATGTCAGGCTACAATCTGAAAAGCTTAGCTTTCTAGTCTGACTACTTTTTGTTGCGGACCTATTGGTACGCACTCTGAGGAGCCGGTGCGCCGCCTGTCTAGCTTTAAAGCTGTCTAGCTTTATAAAGCTTACTGTAGCTTTTGAAAGAGATTACTCCAGGATTACTGTAGAACTTACTGTAGTCCTCGTTTTCTTCTCATCCAATTTTCACACTTCATCCCCGAAAAACGGCCTTCTTCTCGTCCTTTTCTCACCGCCCAAAAATTTCATGAAGTAAACCCATAAAAGAAATGAGCACAAGCACATGATCCCCAAAACGGCTACGATCATCGCTGTGGCGCTAAAATTGATGTAATGAATGTAAATTGATGAATTTGGGAAAAGATTGAGCTTCCTTTTCGTGTACTTTTGAGCCAAAAAACTTCAAATAACATTTTTTGGCTTTCCTGGATGTCACTGTAGATTCTGAAGCTTTTTCCTGAATCTAGAATCGAAATGTAAAATTTTCAGGCAGCTCGGGGAGTCGAACCCACGGGGGTGACGAGACCCGCTCGCCTCGCAGCCAAGCACACTACCCACTGCACCACGGAAGAAAATGCAGATAATGGAGCTTTAAGTAGCTAGAATTCAAGTGTGACATCCAGGATTACTGGATTCGGGGTCGGATTTCGATTTCGCTCAATCAAAATGAAGAAATACTGAGAAGAAAAGATCGAGCTTCCTTTTCGTGTACTTTTGAGCCAAAAAACTTCAAATATCATTTTCTGGCTTTCCTGGATGTCACTGTAGATGAAATTCGTGTTTTTGAAGCTTTTTCCTGAAATGCAAAATTTTCAGGCAGCTTGGGGAGTCGAACCCGCGGGGGTGACCGGACCCGCTCGCCTCGCAGCCAAGCACACTACCCACTGCACCACGGAAGAAAATGCAGATAATAAAGCTTTAAATATCTAGAATTCGAGTGTGACATCCAGGATTACTGTATTCGGGCTTGGATTTCGATTTCACTCAATCAATGAGTCAGAATTGCTGAGAACAGGGAAAACGATAGATTTGACTTGGATCTAGATCTAAAAGAGCTAGAATTCAAGTGTGACATCCAGGATTACTGGATTCGGGGTTGGATTTCGAAGAACGATCTCTTTGCGCGTTCTCTGGGCTCAAACTTGTACCCAGGCTTTCTGGTGCATTTCTGGTGCATTTCTGGTGCAAGCTATTCGGTTCCTCTACGCAATAGTCTTTCTGGAACTCACACAGTGACAATATCACTCGTCTGAGCTTCGATCCGCTCAATGGAAGAAACCTCTTCGATTGGGAGCATTTTCTGGAAGGATTTTGAATGTAAATTCGAGAATTAAATGAATTTGAATGGATTTGAATGAATTTGAACCAATTTAAACCAATTTGAACCAATCTAAACGAATTTAAACGAATTTGAAACCAATTTAGACCAATTTAAACGAGTTTAAACCAATTTAATCCAATTTAAACCGATCTAAACGAGTTTAAACCAATTTAATCCAATTTAAACAAATTTAAACCAATTTAAACCAATTTAAACCAATTTAAACAAATTTAAACCAATTTAAACCAATTTAAACCAATTTGAAAGCAATTTGAACGAATTTAAACCAGTTTAAACCAGTTTAAACCAATCTAAACCAATTTAAACCAGTTTAAACCAATTTAAACGAATCTAAACCAATTCAAACCAATTCACCCCAATTTGAAAGCAAATTTGAAAGCAAATTGAATCTGAAACAAATTTGAAACCAAAATCTCATTTAAAATTGAAATAAAGACAATTTTCCAAAAAAATTCAGAATCCCTGGCAAGGATTTTCAAGAAATTTTGAAAGAAATTTCGTTTTTTTTTATTGAAAAAACGAATCTCAAGGGTAAAGTTGTCAAAAAAAAAAAAAAAAAAAAGATTTGCTATGAAATTTGAGAGAAGCCTTTGCCTTAAAGACAAAGAAAAGTTGACGTTTAAGGCTGGAATTGAGGGAAATTGAGGGAAATTGAGTATAAAGTAACAAAAGTAGTCAAGGAAAAGCTTGAACTTGAAGAAGCTTGAAGCTTGAAGTCAAAGAAGCTTGAACTCTAGAATTAGTGTTTTGAAAGCAAAGAAATTAGTGTTTGGGAGGCACAGGAAAGGGGGAAAAGACGTTATTGACGTAAAGGGATGTAAAGGGATGTAAGGGGACGTAAGGGGACGTAAGGGGACGTAAGGGGACGTAAAGGGACGTAAATGGACGTAAATGGACGTCAGGGGACGTAAGGGGACATAAGGGGACATAAGGGGACGTAAATGGACGTAAATGGACGTAAATGGACGTAAATGGACGTCAGGGGACGTAAGGGGACGTAAGGGGACGTAAATGGACGTAGGGGACGTAAGGGACGTGGGGACGTAAGGGGACGTAAGGGGACGTAAATGGACGTAAGGGGACGTAAGGGACGTAAGGGGACGTAAGGGGACGTAAGGGGACGTAAATGGACGTAAGGGGACGTAAATGGACGTAAGGGGACGTAAGGGACGTAAGGGGACGTAAGGGGACGTAAGGGGACGTAAATGGACGTAAGGGGACGTAAGGGACGTAAGGGGACGTAAGGGGACGTAAGGGGACGTAAATGGACGTAAGGGGACGTAAGGGACGTAAGGGACGTAAGGGGACGTAAGGGGACGTAAATGGACGTAAGGGGACGTAAGGGACGTAAGGGGACGTAAGGGGACGTAAGGGGACGTAAATGGACGTAAGGGGACGTAAGGGACGTAAGGGGACGTAAGGGGACGTAAGGGGACGTAAATGGACGTAAGGGGACGTAAATGGACGTAAGGGGACGTAAGGGACGTAAGGGGGCGTAAGGGGACGTAAGGGGACGTAAGGGGACGTAAATGGACGTAAGGGGACGTAAATGGACGTAAGGGGACGTAAATGGACGTAAGGGGACATAAATGGACGTAAGGGGACGTAAGGGACGTAAGGGGACGTAAATGGACGTAAGGGGACGTAAGGGACGTAAGGGGACGTAAGGGGACGTAAGGGGACGTAAATGGACGTAAGGGGACGTAAATGGACGTAAGGGGACGTAAGGGACGTAAGGGGGCGTAAGGGGACGTAAGGGACGTAAGGGGACGTAAATGGACGTAAGGGGACGTAAATGGACGTAAGGGGACGTAAATGGACGTAAGGGGACGTAAGGGACGTAAGGGGACGTAAATGGACGTAAGGGGACGTAAATGGACGTAAGGGGACGTAAGGACGAGGGGGCGTAAGGGGACGTAAGGGGACGTGGGGACGTAAATGGACGTAAGGGGACGTAAATGGACGTAAGGGGACGTAAATGGACGTAAGGGGACGTAAGGGACGTAAGGGGACGTAAATGGACGTAAGGGGACGTAAGGGACGTAAGGGGACGTAAGGGACGTAAGGGGACGTAATGGACGTAAGGGGACGTAAATGGACGTAAGGGGACGTAAGGGACGTAAGGGGGCGTAAGGGGACGTAAGGGGACGTAAGGGGACGTAAATGGACGTAAGGGGACGTAAATGGACGTAAGGGGACGTAAGGGACGTAAGGGGGCGTAAGGGGACGTAAGGGGACGTAAGGGGACGTAAATGGACGTAAGGGGACGTAAATGGACGTAAATGGACGTAAATGGACGTAAATGGACGTAAGGGGACGTAAGGGGATCGAAGTTTTACCGTTTTACCGCTTGAAGAAAAAGCAAGTACCAGTTTCGTTGATCTGAAAAGGTTTTGAAAATCACGGACAATGAGAAACACGACGCTAAGCTCTAACAATAAGACCAATTTCAAGAAAGCCATTGAAACAGTATAAAAACTGGAAATCTGGTTGGAAAATTGACAAAACTGAATGCCTCTTTGGCCAATCTGGATGTCAGGCTACAATCTGAAAAGCTTAGTTTCCTAGTCTAACTAATTTAAAAATTTAGATTTCTGAACCGTTCCTTGTCCGCTTAAAATGTGAAAATCTGGTTGAAAACTTTACAAAACTAAATGCCTTTATGGCCAATCTGGATGTCAGGTTACAATCTGGAAATATTAGTTTTCTAGTCTGATTATTTTTAAAAAATTTCGTTTTCAACCGTTCGTTCTCAGCTTAAAATCTGAAAATCTGGTTGAAAAATTGACAAAACTGAATGCCTTTTTGGCCAATCTGGATGTCAGGCTACAATCTGGAAATATTAGTTTTCGAGTCTGACTAATTAAAAAATTTAGATTCCCGAACGGTTCCTTCTCCGCTTAAAAGGGACGTAAACTTAAACTTAAAAGGGTAAGGGGACGTAAAGAGACGTAAAGAGACGTAAAGAGACGTAAGGGAACGTGAAGGGACGTAAAGAGACGTAAAGAGACGTAAAGGGAAGTAATTGACGTAAACTGATGTAAAGGGAGGTGATCAAAAGTCAACGTAAACCACTGGAACCGAGATCAGTCAGATTTTCGTCAAAAATCCATCAAAATCTGTCAAAATCCATCAAAAAGCAAAAAGACTCGGTCAATGAGGCAAAAAAATGATCAAAATTGTGGAACGGTTCCACAATCACTTTTTGCATCATTCAATGAAATAGTTTTTGAAGGAATCGACAGAGAAAGACTTCGCGGATCTAATGATGTTAAGAAGATTCAAATTGAACAGCTCAACACCAAGAAATTTGAGCTTAAAGTTAGATTGCCAATGCCAAAAAAACGCGGGGCGCCCAGAACAACTACCCAGTACACTACCCGATCCTGGATACTGTATCGAATCTAGTTAAGGAGCTAGACCTTCCAGGCAGCGGTCAGATCTGATTGTGGTCTGATTGTGCTAGTACTGATGCCAGGCCGAGGTTCTGCTAACGAGCAGGTGAAAAGCGCTTTTGTGCTTACACCGAAACTTTTGGACGAGGCAGTTGATGAGATCGAGGCCGACTACAATGTGCTTGGTGAGTTCCAGATCGAAGAAATATAACGCAACTTTACTGCACTACCTTGTATTTTCCCTGTATTGTAGCGCAGGGCCCTTGCTACCGTAACCCAGTTCAACCAAAATGACGTATTTTAAAAAGTAAAAGGCTAAATAGACGTCGTGATATCCAGATCGAAGAAATAATACGCAATTTTACTGCACTACCTTGTATTTTCACTGGATTTTAGTACAGTACCCTTGCTACCGTAACCCGCTCCATCCAAAATGGCGTATTTTCAAAAAGTAAATAGCTAAATAGATGTCGTGATATCCAGATCAAAGGAATATAACTCAATTTTACTGCATTACCTGGTATTTTCACTGGATTTTAGTACAGTACCCTTGCTACCGTAACCCCGCTTCAACCAAAATGGCGTATTTTAAAAAGCAAGAAGCTAAATAGATGTCGTGATATCCAGATCGAAGAAATATGACTCAATTTTATTGCATTACCTGGTATTTTCACTGTATTATAGCCCAGTACCCTTGCCACCGTAACCCACTCCATCCAAAATGCCGCCTTTTGCCATGGGCAATCCAACTTTGAGTTCAAATTTCTTGGTGCTCGGCTGTCCAATTGAAATAGTTTTTATAACAATCGACAGAGAAAGACTTGGCGCATCTAATGATATTAAGAAGATTGAAATTGGGCAGCCGAGCACCAAGAAATTTGAGCTTGAAGTTAGATTGCCAATGGCAGGGCGCGCCCTGCCATTGGCCCGCCCGGGCGGGCCGTATTAAATGCTCGATAACTGATTGTACGCTGTACGAAAAAATACGCTGATTGACTAGGGATTGAATACGGCGATTGTCCTACGACGATTTCGGCATTACAGGATTTCGTTTAAAGTTTAAAGCTTATCTAAACTTTTCGGAAAACAGCAAACCCGCATTCGAATGAATTCGAATGAATTTTTCATTTAAAACATGAAAGAGAGATTTGATTTGATGTGGAGCCGGAAGGAAAAGGAAAAGAAAAGGAAAGGAAAGAAAGAAAGGGAAAGAAAAGAAAAGGAAGGAAAAGAAAAGGAAAAGAAAAGAAACTTTGATGCAACTTTTCTCTATGTTTTTGCACATGAATCTACAAAACAAATTTCACTTTTCTATAACCAAATTTAATGAGGATCATTTTAAAACTAATCCCAAATCGATCTGACAATTGGAAGTCGAATTATAGAGTAAATTAGAAAAGTTCCCAAACTCCGAGAATTCTATTTGGAAGGTCAACTTTGACGCAAATTTTCTCTATGTTCTTATCGGTGAGTATACAAAACAAATTCTACTTTTCTATAACCAAATTTGATGAAGATTCTATTAAAACCAACCACAAGTTGATTCAGCTTCTATACATC